CCTCTGAGTTCATTGTGCTTTTCAGTTTTACTCGGCTTTTGATTTTCAAAATTCCTTGCTTTTTTATTTGTAAGAATAAAAACCTGTTTTTCGGTTTTGGTCGTTCGCAGTTAAAGTCGGAAAAATCGACGTGGGATGTTCGCGGCACGCACCTCATTCGTAAAACTCCGCGCGGCGCGCGAACATCAATTTTTTTTCTCGCTGACTTTTTTGGACTTGCACATGTCTTACATGGACTTAGCCTAAAAAGGAAGACGTGCTCCTAGTCTCCATTTCTATGCTTGTTTACGGCACACACGTTTTAAATTTTGCTACAAGTTGCAACTTTTTATTAAAACAGATCTCTCAGAATAGCTCACGAAATCTTGCATGGATGAACACCCTAAAATCAGCCTGCATGTTCCCCATACTGTTCTTCGTACATAAAACGCTAACAAGGAAAATTTGTTTAACAACCATGAGCTTCTTTGGTCGGTGAGAATTTCCTTTATTTTCGCGACCTTAATGTGTTATTTAGAGGTGATATGGTATAGAAAAATTAGATGCTGGTCTCTCTTAGGATTCAAATGATTAAAACAAGTTGAAGTACTGCAACAGTTTTAAATCCAGAATTTAATTTATTCTCAATTAAATTAACTAGTTTCATTCTAATGCACGTGATTACAAATGATGTGAGACACAAAGATTGCAAACTTCAAGACATTATCTTAACAAAGTCAGGGCGCTTATTCTGTTAATAGTATTAATCATTTGGGGTGAAAGAGCTTCTGGGTATAAAATCGATTAACAGTTGTTTGTGTTACACCTAAGTCCCAGTTCTCGTGTAAAATGCCTTTCACTTCGCTAATTGTTTTCTTTCACGTGCACATTTTGCATTTGCATTGCACTGCCGATTCTACTTGCACTATAGGAGAGATTCCTGATCGGCAGTCTGGAAGATTAAACGTTACCATTTGTGTGCTAGACGGCTTGCAACATTCGCAAACCTTCTTGAAATGAGGTGAATGGTCCAGCGGTAGTGCGTACGACGCGCATGTGCCAAGGCAGGCTTTTACTCGGACCTTCTGGGATCCACAACCTGATTTGGTGACGGGTCGTGTATAGGTTTCTGGTTTGCAGTACACTCCAAACTTTTCAAACGGGTTGTAGGACGTGCTCGACGAGATGAGGGCGAGAAAAACAAGACAACAGAAAACCCCAAACGGCCTAGACATGGCTAAAACCTAAAAACATAGTGAGCATCTATTTAAATTTGTTTCATATGACTTCTACCGAGAAAAGTTGACTTGAATCACAGTACGTTCATACAAATCAAAAGCTTTTTTAGTCAGTGGTCTTTCGCTTAAATACTGGTCACTCTGAGGAGTTTTAAAAAGGGTTAATTGCCTTGAATCGACGATGAAATTGAAGAAAAACTGAGTTTCTGACGACAACTATCTTGTCTAGGACTGAATGTATTGAAACGCCGGAAAGCCGGTAAGATCAGATGAAAGAGATCCTAGTAAATCAAATGCAGAACAACGCTGGCTGTGAAGGAAGATTTTTACAAATATTCCACCAATTTTAAAGATGGGTCGTAGCAACTCAAAAATGTCAGTCACTCTCAATTTCATCGTCGGCCGATGAGCCACACAGAGTGGCTAAATAGTTAACACATATATGAGAAATATGATTACAATTTGACCAACACTTGATCCACTTTTTAAGGTGTCTTTCCACCACGTTACCCTTTTAATGCTTGACTGCGTTCCACATATCATGAACAAAGCGAAACCGCAGTTTTTGGTCATTTGACTTCACTGAACTTCAACGTTTATAGAACTTTTGTATCGCAGCAACAGAAGGCGCGCCAAACCTCTCTTATTTCAAGAGTCATTCATCTCTCTTGCAACACAGAAAAAAACGCAACAGACAAACTATAGCCGAGCAGCATTTTAATTATTTTAATGAAAGACAAATACGCTATGAAACATTGTAACAGAATTGCTAGCGTCGTATTTCCCTTTCATTCCTCAGAAAAAAATATCGTTAAGTCTTTCCTTAAAATCGTTAATTGCAGTCCAGCGAGAAAACGACATTACTATTCTTTGCAAAAATAAACGATGTTTACTATAAAAGCTAGAACCGCTACAAACGCGCATTATGAGCGTTCAAAAAATTTCGCGGCCGCTTTCTCAATATATCTTCTTACACCATTAGAGAGCGTTAAGAAAACAATTTTGCCCATTAGCCTCTATTTCCAATTAACCTTGTTTACTTTCCCATTCGTCACCTGCAGTGTAGTAGTCGGCACGTCCTCTGTTCAAAAAAATTATGCCCTTCAGTTTAATGGGGCGCGTCTAAAGGGCGCGTCTAACAGAACTTTGTTCGTTATTGAACCAAAAAAAACGATGGATTCGGAAGAAAAATTGAAATTCCATATGTTAACGATCGCTTTGAAACGCGCGAATTTTGCCATTTGACTGAGGCGCAGAAGTACAAACAGAAACATATTTTTCTGTATAATTCGTTTGCAGTGTTGGAAAGGGAATATTTCTCATGGAAATCGTGTACAACAACCACCTGCTGAGGAGTTAATTGTAAAATTCAAACAGAAACGTTTTTTTTTTAAATTGAAAGATTTGCAATTTTCATTCGAATATAATCATTTTGGGCAGAATTTACACGTAACAAATTTGAATTGTGCGCCATCCATTAGGAATCGGAAATTCCTTTAAAAAAATACGTTTTTCACTTCAGCAAGTTTCGATTTCCAATAAGGATTATTCTCGTAGTAGAAATCGGATTAAAACAAAAGAGGCTTTTTTTAAGCAAGGGGAAAGGAAATCTTTCTGTTTTTTAATCCTCTAAAGTTGCTAAGATAACACATGTGGAAACTTTCATTGAATGCATTCAGAGACCATTGTGGTTTTGTTTAGAAGGTTCAATCTCACTCTAAAATTTTCACTCAATGTTCTAAAATTATTTCGAATGGCACTGCTAGGGAGAATCTGTTAGCTATCATTCGTCCTATTCTCAAGAGGTTAATATTTGATTTAGCACTGTTACTGTAAGGAGAAATTAGACGCTGGTCAACCTTATGGTTTTAAGGGTTTTGCCATGTTTACCAAAGCGAAGAGCTTGTCGAGGCTGCAAAAGCACCCTTTTTATTTTAGAAAACAAATTCGTTTTTTTTCCTCTTTCTTCGACCGGAACACGAAGTAAATTTATACAAAACTATGGTGAGTGGGCGAGGGAAGTTTAAATTCAATTTTTTTTGCTTTTCGTGGAAATTAAGAGCACTTCTGAATAAATAAGGAAGAATATTCAAGTTGCATTAACATATTTTTAGCTCCTAACAGATCTTTTGAGATATTTTGTCAAATTTAGGAAATAATTTCGATTTAAAATACGGATCACTTTAATACAGATCTCACTCGAACATCGAAGTATATAGAGAAACAACAATTAATATAGAGAATTCAGTTCATTGGAACGTCCTTTAAAACGAGGCCTGAGGCAGATTAAAACTGTTCTAGGAAGCAATAACGAATGTTAGGCGTCTCTTAACCAGTGATAATTGCACGATTTTGTTATAACGTTAAAATTTGCATTTCAAATCAATATTTTGCACCGTGACGCCTCAGAGGTATTTTTCAAAGCATTACTGTAAAAAAATCGAACCCAATTTACACATTAGCGAACAAAGAGAACCATAATAGCGCGTACAAGTGCTGTAATTGTGCCAAAGCGCATTAAAATTGGCGGGCAACACAATCTAAACCGTTGCTAAATTTCAGAGACAAACGCTTACCTCAAATAACAGTCTGGAAGATACAACGGAGCCACAGGATCGCAACAATGAAGGTAAAACGACAGAGAACCGCTCCTGTGTTAATGACGGTACTTGCCAGTAGAAATAGCGAATGAAATCTGAAAGATACGTTCACCGCCTACTTATACTATAGCTCTCACAAGATTCAGAAAAGCGCGCTCTAGATACCTGATCCTCTTTGGCAATTTGATCATTTAAGGTCACCTCGAGATGGCCAAAAATAACAAAATTCCACGTGGATCGGTCGGGGTCCGGTTTCACTTTTACCAGGGGGTTGGAGGGTGGGGCATTTTAGTCGCTGCTTATCGGAATAGGGGTCCCTTTTGTTTTCTGTTGAAAATAACAAATTTGATATTCTGTCCTAAGGCATGACAAAATCCTTTCCACCCACTTCACTCGTGATGTACCTGCAATAAATTTCTCAGGTTCTGACAAAGCGCTGCATTAATTTTTCATATTTAGGAGACGAAACTTCGTGGGTTACGTAATTTTTATTTTTAAGACGAATATCTCCTCTAAACGCATGTGTGAAGCTGAACCTTGTCTCATTAGTCGGACTCAAAAGAAGTACTTAAAAACTCCGTTTTAAGATGCTTTTACTAACGAAGACCCGGTATTGATAAAGGATTTTTTCTACTCGGAACCAAGGTAATAGGCTCCGTCCTGTTTCCACCCAATACGAGAAAAAATACTGCCGCATAATAAACGGAATATTTCTTAGCTCCCCAACCTGGTCACTCCTTGTAATATACAGCCAGCGACCCTGATAGATTTAACGAACTCCGCTATATTAAATTAATTTTTTCCGAGCCTAACATGTGGGAAAGCACTCTCCGAGAAAAGCGACGAGGATAAGAGCCAGAGACCCATGACATTTGATTAATATCTTTGGATTGCAACTGCATTTCATTTCAATCTCAAGCCTAACTGTACGGGCAAAAACGAGAGCAAATAGGAAACTAATAATATCTTCAGCTCGTCACAGTCTTAGCCTGATCTTAGGCTTTTGCCATGTTTCGCGCAAAGAGAAAAGAGGTTTACGTTTGGGCCCTGGTCGCGCAGGTGATTCTAGCTTATTATCGCATGTGCCTAGGACGAGCGGCCTTTGTTTGGGCTTGTCACGCCACAACAACAAACTCAGCCACAAGGGAAGAATATATATGTGGAATTATTTCTTTGCAAATAATTTTGAAAAACGTTCTATTTTCATTTTATTCAAGAATACTTCTCGTAATAAATCACTCTGAATTATCGTCACAATAAATTCTGTTAAGTTAAATAACCAATTTCAATCACTTTACGACAGTGAAGTCATAGACATCTCAATACATTAATAATTAATAATTATCAATAATGCTTCAAACATTTCCATTACTTTTCATCACTAGTACAATCATTGTATTAATCCATTCTTGTATCTTGCCAAGACTTCCGAGGCGTTTGTTGTAGCGTGACTCGACGCTTGCTTGACAGATTGCTACATCCAGGAACATTGCGTGACAACCAAAAAGCGGTCGCAAGAGGAGTATTTACAATTCACTAGAGATAAAAAATACTAAAAGAAAATAAAAAAAAGGCTAGCTTCTCTAACAGGCATAATTGTTTTCATCAAAATAATCGTTTCGGCGGCAAAATTTCGCGTCAACCATAATCGTCACTGTTTCGTATTTTGGATAGGGAACAAAGAATCCCGAAGCATCATTTGAACTAAAATTTACTTTTGAACATCACTGAAACTGAAATGCATGAAGTAAGCCTGCGCCTGCCCCTCGATAAAAAAAATACAAATACTCTTAAATTGCTTCTTATTGTCATGTCAGGCACAACGAGTTTTGGAACTAAATCAAATGCGAAAACCTTCGCGTTGTGCTAGAGGCGATCTAACTTTCACACCTAACTGATGACGACTATGTTGCATTGGACGTCACGAGGTAACGCAACATTCGTGACAATTCAGCGCAAGCAGCGCTAACACTCCGTTCGGCTAAACTCTGCAGAATTCCGCGGACCTTGAACAGATAAATGAGGGACAGTCAACTAGAAAAATTTTAGGGATGAAGACGAGGATGAAATAAATAAAATTATTATATGTGAAGGTAGTCTTGAGGCAAATCCGAGCGTTCTGATTGGTTCTTTACTTAATTGGTATTTTGTTTCCAAAGCAACGGTTGTAAGCCACGTAATCTTGAATGAAAAAGTCGGATAATTCAAAATAAACAAGTTTGGTCTAAGTACCATATAATAAACAACTGAACGACTGAAACATTGGCCCTCGGTAGATTTTGTACGGACATCGCTGCGCTTAGACCGTACTTCCACGACCTCGCACCAATATTCGCCAGTATGGCCCTCACGTTTGGTCAATAAGAAGTTACCTTACAAGGGATAAAAGAGGAAATACAAACAAACAAACAAACAAACAAACAAATTCCTCCATCCTTTCCTCCCCTAAGAAATTTAGTTCTAATGGTCCGTCCCGAGGATATGATGATCACAGTTAGAATTTTAGTTGACAACAAATTGATCAAGAAAACCATATAAATTTTCAAGTTCTCGGTTCTGGGAAAACTAACAGAGGATATTTCAACACACATTCCATGATATGCTTAATTGCATAATTTAACGACTAGAAGGACGGTGAATTCAATTTATCCAGAAGGCCTTGCGTCATGTCTTCCCAGCAATCCGCGCAAGATTCTGTAGTGGTTTTGTGGGTAGTGGGCTGAAATCAGAGATAGAAAATAAACTTTAAGATAAGTTCACAAGTGGGCTAAAAAACGCCCACAGCCCCCTTCGCTCTGGCGAAGGACTAACGCTCGAAACGTCAGCCTTTAAACTCTTTACGGTGGCCACATTACGTTTTCAACTCAGTTGATAACACTAAATTACCCTGTTATACTCTCCCACCGACGCAGCAGCACAGTTTCTTTAGAAACTTTCCCCCTTTAGAAAAGGCCGTTGACACTGTTTCTTGAATGTTTCAACGACTTTCAGAAATTAAACACAAGTAAAAATGTCCGCTTTTATCATCTTGATCGTCCTGAGATTTCAACCCTTACCGAAAAGTTGACGGCACTTGAACTGATAGTAACGATATAAAAGATTCTCATGAAAAAGTAGATGTTTCCTTGTAGAGTTCAAGAGCTTTTCTATCAAGTGATGTTAAACCAAAACAGCGATAACTATAACAGCCAATCAAAACAAATGAAAATATCGCTAGCAGCCAATGAGAACTCAAAGTCGGAACAAGTAAACTCATTAAAGCGCGGGAAAAAGCGCGTGACCAAGCCACAAGTTGAACATATATGATTGGCCAAAAAGGTGGCGCGAAGTTTCTCAACAAATCATGAAGCAGTTAAGAATTCTACGATTACTTTCCACAATTAATTAAAATCTTTTTAAAGCTCACATCTTGGAGCAGTTTTCAAACGATTAGCGAAACACCGAAAAAGAAGTATTCATTCTAGCTAATCTTAACTCTTTACACCCTAACTTCAGTATGCATATTCTCCATACTGTTCCCTATACATTTCCTAATGTGCTAGAAAGGAGAATTTGTTAAACAATCAAGAGGTTCTTCAGTTGATTATCACTTCCTTTATTCTCATGACCTTAATGTTTGATTCATGGGTGATACTGAAAGGAGAAATTAGATGCTGGTCACTCTCCGGGATTAAAGGGTTAACAAAGATAAACATCATCGTTAACCGGTGATAACTCATAGTAACAACGGACAAACGAAAAGCGCGGGAAAACGCGGGTCACCAAGTCACATCTAGTATTCGTTTAGTGTTGGTCGAGAAGCAACGAAAAGCGCGGGAAAACGCGGGTCACTAAGTCACATCTAGTATTCGTTTAGTGTTGGTCAAGAAGCAACGAAAAGCGCGGGAGAACGCGGGTCACTAAGTCACATCTAGTATTCGTTTAGTGTTGGTCGAGAAGCAACGAAAAGCGCGGGAAAACGCGGGTCACCAAGTCACGTTTAGTATTCGTTTAGTATTGGTCGAGAAAAAGGGGCGAATTGTCCCAGAACGATCACAGAGCGAGATGGAACAAAAAAAAGTAACCCCGCCTTACCTTCGAGACTTAAATTTAAAATTGCTCTCATGATGACCACGATTTGGACTTCTCGTCTATTAATTACCAAGTTTGGTAGGTAAACAACACGAAGCAAAGACCAAAACGCCCCCCTGAATTACTAAATTAAGATACTAATATTTGAGTACTTACCTTTTCTGTTTATTCGCAGGAGCCTTAAGGAGTTCTTTATACTGATCACAGCGGATAAAACGCCGATAGCTGTCGGATTTCATCAGCTGAAATATGTGATCCTAAAAACGAAAGCATGAGATAACAGTTTAACATAATCAAGCCTAACGCCGCAAACACGTAAAAGTGACGCGCGTTTCTCCATCCTCGAGAAGATCTGAAACGAGTCGGAGAGAGGTTTGCCGGGGGTCTGGCACTAATAATTAGCAGTGCTAGACCCCTTACAGCCTTCTTCCTGACTCGTGTTGAGCAAAAACTCCATACTTTCCCACAGGCGAGAAACACTCGTGCTAAAGAGCTTACGATGAGGACCTGCCCGCTGTCTAGTTTCCATCTTTCCGAGCCAATATTCTATTTCCAGTTAAAAGCCAATTGGCGACGTTGGACAAATCTTGTTTCGTCTTGAAACTCACCTGAGCGGCGTCAAACATATATCGGCCGGGATTTTTTAGATTTAACTCCACTTCTTCTCTTGTCTTGCAGTCCACGTTAATCGGAGACGTTGCACTATCAGATAAATACTCGCTGAAAAAAAAACAAAAAAAAATTTTAAAAAATAGGAGTAAGAGCATTTGTGATTTATAACATGGGAATAACCTTAACTTCTGGGTGTAGTAGCCCCTCAAAAATCTTTTAAAACAAGTCAAAAAGAAAAAACCAATTCCCCACATATAACTTCGTGGTCACCACTTAGATGTTTTTGCTACACCAAGTCACCTGCCTCTATTTTTCCGACCATGTCACCGGAGTGTTCTGTACTTACGTGTTTGACACAGGTGGATTGAATCCCTGCGCGTCACATATTGTAAGTGTGCATCTACACTACCATCTTTGTGGCTCGTGATAACAAACAGACCAACAAACGAAAAAAAAAACACTTACTTAAAAATTTCTTGAGCTTTACTTGGCACATTCCGTATCGGCGTTGCTTTGAGTTGCTCACAAGCGAGCCAAAATCTAAAAGAAATAAGACACATGCAAACTTAACCCCTTCACTCCCAAGATCTCATTAGTAATTCTCCTTACTGTCTGCTATACAATTCTCATGATGTTAATTCAGAGAATTTGGTAAAAGATCAATTCATTATCTCCTAATTGATATTTCTCTTTATTCTCGTCACTTGTCTGCTTGATATTGTATTGATATTGTAAGGAGAAATTCAGTCTTGGTCACTCGTGAGAATTCAAGGGTTAAGGAACAAGCTCTTCTATTCAAAAACAAAACAAATTTTTATATCAACCACTCACTATAAAAGACTTCTTGTGAGGGATCAGTCTTCCTTTATCGCCATGGGGGTGGGGGAAATTACATGGTTTTCAGGGAGATGGGGAGGGTAAGTGACTGCTAACAGAGTAGAAACAGGAACTAAAGAGGAAAGAATGACAATAAAAAGCGAACGGGGGGGGTCAAAGAATATTACAGAGCCTTACAAGGGGAGGGGGGGGTCAAGTAAATTTTATCGCGACACTAACAAAATCCTCCGTGCCCCCCTTCCCCCCCAGGTGATAAAATTGACTAGTCCCTGATCATAAATATACGTTTCAAAGAAAAAAAAGGACAAACAAAACACAAGTTTAGATTTTACCCTAGATTTTCAGCGCTAATTTCTTTTTCCAAAAAGCGCGCAAAATGTCTTCTGCCCAAAGGATCAGCAAGAAGTTCTGATAATGAGAACGCCCATTGTTTCACACGCTTTGGAGGAACGTAATGTCTGGAAGACAAGAAAACGTTTAGTGTTAAAACATAGACCTACACACAAATACACCGCTTTCTTATATGGCAGGTAGTCCTGAGGTACATCCGAGCGTTCTGATTGGTTCCTACTTGGTCAGGTTTTTTCCCCCGACGTTTCCACGTAAATTGTCATAAGCCATGGTCGCAAAAGCCGGCAAATTAAAATTAAACAAGTTTGGACTGAGTGCCATGTAATTAACTACCAACTAACCTCCCTTACTCGAGCCGTACAGAGGAATATTTGCCCTCAGCTGTTTTCGTATGCCACGATCTAGGGCCAATATTCCCCAGTATGCATCAACTTTATTTAATCATGGTGACGACAGCCACATAAACACTGAAAAACTTGCGGCCCTCGCACTTGACAAGTAAGAAATTTCTCTCTTTTTTTAACTCGGGTTCGAATCCAGGAATTTTGGATAGGGCAGGTTCAACTTCGATTCAGAAACACAACTTCTTTCCTTTAACACTAGAGCCTAAATAAGCTATGAAAAATTTCAAAATAGGGAATTTTTAAATAGTTAAGTTGAGTAGTACCAATACCCACAGGTCAGACGGGACGGGCCTCTGGATCCCCCACCCGACCCCCCTGGATCCCTGAACAAGTAAATACGTTGTAGGTCTGACGGGAAGGGGGTCCAGATACCCCAACTGACCTCCCTCTGGACCCCAAAACAAGTAAATAACCTATAGGTCTGACAGGAGGTGGGCCAGACCCCCCACCCAACTTCCTCTTTAAGTTTCCATAAAGTAGCTTGTCTAAAACGGTGACTTACAAACTCTTGTCTTGCTCCCAGAGTGTGATATCATCAGATATCCATGGATTTGACGGCTCTGGCGCCCAAATAAATGCATCATATTCTGCATACTGTTCACACCTCTGGATAAAACTGAAAAAAAAAAAGGTTTAATTCAACTACACGGACGAAAAGCTTGGAAGCTAAGCAGGCAAACTTCCCCGGTTGAATGCTTTCGACCAATCACATTTTTCATAGTTGGTGTGATGTACAAAAACAGGTAGAATGCTCAGGAGACGTTTTATTCGGAGGGTTACAAGCTTGCCTATCGTCTACCCCCAAGGTTATTGTGTGAGACGGAGGCGGGTGGGGGAAGAAAGATTCCTTTCTCTTCCCACTCTCTCTCAGCTTTTTAAAATTCAAGATGACGTTTAAACTTTCCACAAGCAAATACGGAGCTCTCGCTCGCCAAAATATAACAGTACTGCGAGCTAAAATCAAGGGTTGGTCCATATCTGACTACGGTGACACTCAAGCGAATTTTAAACGTGGTCTACCACAGGCATCCCACTTGATAAAGAAAACATTGCCGATGATAATGGCCTCATTTGTTCATCAAAAATATATCATCATGGATAAGAAACTATCACTAAACATGTGGAATTCTACCAATCATATCAAAACATTGTTGGACACCTTTCAGAGGCTTGTGAAGTTTTCATTCGTCTTCTGTGAAGTTTCTCCCTTAATTCTTTGACCTGGAATAAAAACATAACTATCTAATTACAGCATCTAATTTTTTTTTACACGCTTGTGAACCAGACATTTTTTGAATTTGTATAAAGAAGGGAAAAAAACTGAAAAAGAACTAAAAAAAAAAACCGAAAAAAATCAGACGGTCTAACAGGGTTCGTACCCCTTTTCAGAAACAAATTTCAAGGATTTTCCCAGGACTCAGATTTATTTTTCCAGGACCCGTAGTCTTTTTTTCCAGGACTTTCTGGTCTTGGAAAATGTCAAAATAAAATTGCAGGATTTTCCAGGTTTTCAAGACCCGTACGAGCCCTGTCTAACAAAATGTCGATCATGAAATTGGTCAACTTTTAACCCTTTCTTGATTCCTTTTTTTTCCAGGGGGGGGGGGGGGGGGAGGGGGGGACAAGGTCACTAAAATCCCAAACTGATATTCAAATGGTAGCCTGTTCCAGGCCTTCAGTTAGTAAAACCAAGCGCGATGGTATCGGAGGAGTGAAAAAATGAGGAAAGCTTGGGTCGGGTTGCGACTCTACCCAAAACTCCCTCGTTTTTCGCTCCGCTGTGACTAGATCGATCGCTAACTGCGTCAACACGCAAGCCAAGAGCTGTCAGGTGGCGGTTTCAAATCTGGACACATTCTTTTTTTTTCTCTTCTTTTACTTCTTATTCTTCTTCTTTTTTCCTTCCATTTTTTTTCGCAAATGTTCGCTAAGATATAGGGGGCATATTGACACAAGTGGCTTTCACCCCAAAAGAAAACATTGATCAGACGCCAGAAGTGTCAGCACACAATTCTGATACAATAAATCATGTCCAATGAGATATTATTGAACTGTACCTCTTGTTTGACGCCATCCAGCGCAGACAAGGACGACAATGACATCGACGAATCCTCTTGTAGAAAGTTCACCTGTGTTGAAAAGTCATGAACAATCTTGTTGTGGCGTCAATTTTTGCAGTTATTTTCAAAAATTATTTTCACACTCAAATACCTTGTTAATCTTGTTACAAAAAACTCAGGCCAAGACAGGCGCCAGATTTGGAATTCAATCCGAGGCCACAACAACAACAATAACAAAAAAAGGAAAGTAAAAAAGAAAGAAAGAAAAAAGGAAGAAAAAAAAACAAATGAACAAACGAACAACGAAAAAACGAAGACAGAAACGAACGAATGAACAAAGGAACGAACGAAAGAACGAACTAACAAACGGACTGAGGAACGAACGAACAAACAAACGAACAAACGAACAAACGAACGAAAGAACGAACAAACGAACAACGAAAAAACGAAGACAGAAACGAACGAACGAACGAACGGACAAAAGAACGAAAGAACGAACAAACAAACGAAAGAATGAACGAACGAACGCAAAAGAGCATGAACGACGAACTACAGAAAATGAGAAAGAACAAACGAATGAAAGATAAAAAGAAAAAAAAAGAAAAAGAGAAAAAAGCAAGAGAAGGAAGAAACTAAACAAAGACAGGCTTCTGGTTAGAGCTGAAGTACTAATGGAGGACCCTTGTAAAGATGGGGCTGCATGAGGAGGAGGGAGAAGCTGATTTGAAAGTTTACAGTATACAGTCGGATGACTTACCTTTCTTTTTGTGGTCGGTGATGAGTCCACCGCTTTACAAGCCTTTTTTATATCTATTTCTGTTACCGACACACAACCTGGCTAAAAATAAAATTTCAATAGCCTATTTTAGCATATTAGCCAAGCAAAAGGTCTTAAATAAATCAAAACACCTAAATTAATCGATGTAGAAAACTTGTACCTCCTTCAAAGCCAATCAGAAGCCAATATAAGACCTGTAACGACTTGGTCACTAATTTCCTTGTTTTTACTTGGAGGTTTTGTTTAAGAATGATGTTTAAAACTTTGTTCGCAGTAAACTGCTGTAAGTGGGTTCAGACGCACAGACTTAAAAAAAAATTAACGCGTCAGGCATATAAAAGGAATAAATTTAAATTTCACTCCTTGCAAACATGGTTTCTGGGAAATCTTGAGGTTTTCAAGGACTGTGAAAAAAAATTCAAGAGTCACTTATATTTCAGGAGCCAAATCACGCCTCACGCTGATTCATAAATTCTTGAATAACGCTCACCTTTCATTAAAATTCCCGCGTCACTAACGTGTCACGAATAAACCCTTTTCCACCCTCCTATAGTCCTTCAAACTCATTTCTAATGAAGCTGCACGTGGATGAATTTTTAATCACTGACTATGGTTACAATCTTTTATTCTTACCGGCGGTCTATGAACATTCCAAAATGCTCTCTCCTGGCTATCCAATATTTGTCTTTCCATTTTGTCCCTCTTCTTATCAACCCTGCAAAATAAATTTTAAAAAAAACTGGTGTTAACACAGCAAGTACTCTCTTAATAGTGCGCATTTTGATTTATGGTCGTAAAACACACCGGTTCGTGTAAACCAATCAGAATCAAGGGACTTCTCACAAGGAGCCAATCAGAATTCAAAGTATAAACAAGTGAACTGCCTAAAGCACAGGAAAACGCAGGTAACAAAGATGTGATTGAGTTCAGTTTTTAATCTAATTGGTTGTTAAAGTGGCGTGAGCTTCTGGACCAATCATAGAGTGTACAAAGCAAAACCAAATCAATCCTAGATTACTTCTTGACACTCATTTGAAAATGTTCAATGGCAATTTTAGCCAATCAGCATTCACTTTTGATGTGGCTTGTGTAATAGTTTGCATAAATTACTGAAGTAGTTTTTAAAAAAAACAACTCACTTTGCTTGTGCCTCCGCTTGCATAAATATAAATTCCCATTTCCGCGACAACGTTCTTTGTAGCTTCGCAAGGTTTTCCTACAAACAGTTTTATCTATTAGTATTACTTAACTCAATTAATACGAGCGTTACTAAAAATGTATTAAAACATATAAACAACAGACTACGTAGGAGAAGGAAGTCTGTCAAAAGTAGGTTAGTAACATACATATGTATGAACTGAAAATTAAAAACTTTATTCTTCAAAGGCAAGGTAACGAAACAAGATTTTGCGCACTCACTGCTTCATAATCATCTAATTCCAGTCTGGACTTATTTTGCATCGTTCTTTTACACAAATACACAGCTGTGAAAAGAAAAAATAAAATCGATAAGAAGTATGGATACAGAGAAGCAAGGCCAGTATCATCCAACTTAAACCCATTTCACTTCCTTGAATAATAATCCTTCATGCCTCATACGTGACTCCTAAATTGTCCTCACTGCTTTCCATACATTTTCTTTTCACTATTGTGAGAATTTGTCGAAGATCTGGACAATTTCTTGTTGAGAATCAGTTTCTTGATTCTTGTGACTTTGCCCCTGATAATGGGAGGAGAGATATGATGCTGAATCACTTTCATGGTGCCTCTGTAAAGAGGCACTTCACCACTGACAAAACCGCCTCGAACAACTAATTTTCAGAACAATATAAAGAAATCACACTAGGATACAGCGCCTAGCTTTGTAACCACTACCACAATACTCAGCACCAGTCCTACACCTCTCTTTCCTCCTCTCAGGGAAAGGAGCAAACAGTCAAGGGAAGGAAGGAGGGGGTGGGGATTGGGATTGAGATTGGGAAAGGGGTCGTGGAATAGAGATCTAGAGACCAATGATGAATTATTTGAGATGATGCATACAGAGTGAAGGGTCAGAGATGATGAACATGGATTAAAGTAGAAACACACCTTCCAAGGACTTAATGTTAATATTGATATTCTCCCCACTGTTCTCTTTACATTTGCTATGATACTGGCAAGGAGAATTTGTTTAACAATCACTTCCTCTTTTCTTGTGACCTTCATCATAACCTTTAGAATTTTTTATAGAATGAAAAAGTGGGGATAAATAAGAGGCCAGTCACTCTTAGGGGAAAAAAGGTTAAACTGTGTTCATTGCCTGCAGTAAGAATTGTTTATAGCTTCTTAACCCTTTGACTCCCATGATTGACCAAGACAGAATTTCTCCTTACAATATCAATACAATATCAAGCAGATAATTGATGAGAATAACGAAAATATTAATTAGGGGATTATTAGTTGATCTGATACCAAATTCTCCAAACTAACATCACAAGAACTATATGACAGACAGTAAGGAGAATTACCAAATGAGATCTTGGAAGTTAAAGGGTTAAAATATGTGTATAATAAACTTACCATAATCTACATTCTCAGGTTCCCAGTTATTTGATAACCAAAAGAATGGTGTCTAAAAAAATAAAAATAAATTAAAATTTTGCAAACTGAAGCACAATTCATATACCCCAACTAGCACCACATATAGATGTTTAATATATAGATTTAGGTAAGCCTAAAAGCAGAGCTCGCATTTTTTTTTCCTGCATGTCTCTTCAACAAAACTAAAGCCCCTTTTATGGATAAAGTGCGTGGTAATATTAATGGATTTTCATTCGCAACTTCTCCATGTCCGTGTAGAGGACTGATTATAAGATAGTGCCTGTGGCACAGTTGGCCGAGCATGCTAAAAGTAGCACCTTGTATGGTTGGTCGTACAGTCATACAGTCATACGGTTGTACATCCAAATTTTATCGGCTTGATGGGGTACTACTATTTTGTATAATTATGGGGCTACACTCTGTGAGCTCCACTTTAAATAGGGGATGTGAAGCTATAGACCATTCAAATAACATCACAACCGGAATGAATTTCAGTAGTAAAGCACTTAAGCAAGCAATCAAATGGTCCAGCAATTAATTCCACATGGGGCACACAGCCTGTTTTTTTTGTCCCATGCTTGAGACAAGAGAGATAACATCTTTCCCTAGAACTTAACTTTTGACTTTTGTGTATCCAGTATATAATTGAAGGGGGTGAGTTTCTAAAGAAACTATGGTGCTGCGTCAGTGAGGGAAATCACAAGATAATTTGGCTTTAATGGCTTTGAATATAAGAAAACCATATATGAAAACTGCAGTTTAACCCATTTAACTCCCACGAGTGACCAAGACAGAATTTCTCCTTACAATATCTACACAACATCAACCAGATAAGTGATGAGACTAAAGAAAAATATCAATTTGGGATAATTAGTTGATCCAATACTAAATTCTCTGAACTAACATTAAAGAATTGTATGGTTGACAGTAAGGAGAATTACAAATTTGATCTGAGAGTTAAAGGGTTAAGAAATGAATATGAAAGTGATCTTTGCAGTAATGAGCACTACTTAAATAGGCAGTAGTGAAAATAAGGCCTGAAAAAAATTCAGGTCTATATGGGATCCCACTTTCTTTTTATAATTTGGTTTTGTCAACTGAGTTGACAATATAAACTGGCCACGGCAGATAGTTTCTAAAGCTGACAATTCAAGCACTTGGTCAAAGAAAATGATCAAAGGCTAACACTCAAAACATTAGCTTTAAAAACTACTTTTACGGTGGTCAGTTTACATAGTCAACTCAATTGATAAATCCAAATTTCCTAAAAAGTATATAATTACTAATCTGCCCACAGTGTCTCCAAAAAAAAAAGAATTTAAGTTATAAAAATGATTTTATAAAAAGGCCCCTGAATGTGACAAATGTGCTTATTCTCACCTGAAACCTATAGTAAGAAGCATCATCTTTCACCATCAAGTGGTGATCAGTGATAGAGAAGATGTAACCATATGCTGCGAGGAGTGAAGCCAGGTGCACTGCAGCCCCTGATGGTGAAACAAATAATGGTATTCAAATGAGTAATACATGAAAATTTATTTTATGATAAGATGAATAATACATGCTTTGACATCAGTATCCAATTAGCAAGATAACAAAGTAATTTGCATTTGAAAAGCAGCAAGGTTTGTATCATAACAAGGTCACCTTTAGCCTCATTCCTGTTCAAAGGCTTGGCAACCAAGCACACAACTGCAAAACAGACTATTACAATTATACCCTTATCCCTTTCACTAGGTGTGACGAAAATAATAATTTCTCCCCATAATATGTGACTCTATGGCTATATTACGTGATGTGGTACAAAATCACTGGACAGTCATCACAAAATAACCCCTATTTACATCAATATTTGTCCCCTGTTTATCTCCGTTGAGAAGAAATGAAACCAGTGGAAAAAAGCCAGCCCAAGAGTTTCACTTTTTCATGTTTATTACTTAAAATGAAAGAAGAATGAACTCATTTTGTAGACTCCAAGGGTAGTGATAAGCAAAAGTGATATCAATTGCTGCTCCAGACAGTACAAAAAAGTCAACAAAATTTTGTTGTCGACAAGTACTATAAAAAGTGATTGGAGGGTTATAAAAAAAAATCCCTATCTGACTTGCTGACATATTAGCTAAGAATGGCCTCTGCTGAGCTATTGTCCACAAGAATTCACCTTTGCCCTCCAAGCTTCACCACTCGGCCAACTAAATACATTCCTTTTTTGGACAATTTTTCAAACACAGACATTTGCAGCCAACATACCAGGTGTCTGATTAGACATGAAGGGGTTTATTTACTAAATACTTACATAGAAGAAGGAAAAAAATATGTAACAATAATATCAATGAATACATAAGGTACCAAAAAAAAAACAATTCCAAGTGGAGAGGTGTTGGGAAGAAAGAAGATATCAACCCAGGGATATTGTTTGATTTAACAGCAACTTCTCAGAGATGAAACAATCCACTATGAGAACTGTGTTGCAGACTGCAGGGAGAAAATTAATATTCAGATCTTGCGAGTGGAAGGGTTAGATATAACCATGCATTGTATGTTACCTCTTTCCTCAATGGCAATATTGCCCATGATCCAATCGACTAGGTCACTCCCTGAAAAACAAGCAACTTATTATTAGAAGTGGAAAAAAATCTCAATGGTATCAGCTGTTTTGAAAAGGTAATCTGAGTGAGTATCCTGTAATCTGTGAATTTAAAGAGTCTAATGAATATATGAATTAATCAAACTTGCAATGCCTTGTCCTCACAGTGACTTTTTCTCAGATTTCCCTGAAATCATGAGGTCAAGAAATCATGACTGAAATATACCCACAACAATTGTTGCAGGTATTTTTACACTTGTTTGTGCAACAACAGTTCTCAAAACAGCTGTAAACTGCTACTTTCAGAAAATTTCAAATTTTTTACCAGATGAAAATGATATGTTATGGGCAGCAGTCATTTGGCAGTTGATTATTGAAGTCCTATATATCACAAACAAAGGAATATCAAGCTTGCACAAACTTCAACCCTTTGACTTCCGAGACATAAACATCAATTTCAATAACTGTATGCCATTTATTTTTGACAATTTCAGCTCTGAGAATTTGGTGCCACATGTTGATTCAAACAATATACTGTATTTGATATTTTCCTTCTGATCTATCACCCCTCTGCTTAAAAATGGAGAAAGGCCTTTTTTGTCACTCTTGAAATTAATTTGGTTCAGTAACTTTTGATACCCTTCTACCAGGAGAGTATTCTGAGCTAATTTACAACACTTTACAAGGGATTCTGGCCAGACTGCACTGAGCAGTTTAAAACCATTTTTTCAAGCGCCCCAATTTTGGAATCAACTACAATTCTAGCTACCCTTTACAAAACAAAGTGAAATCCCCAAAATTTGCCTAGTCTAAGAACCAAACACCAGACAGAATATTATTTATTTGGAACTTAACACCACTCACATAGGTTATGCTGAAGTTGATGTGTGGTGCTATAAAAGACAGTAAACACATCTGGTCATTCGCGAAATTCTCTCTTAAAGCATAAATTGATTTTTTTAAATCAGCATCTTCCCAAGTCAGCATTTTTGCCCACACTGCTTAACACTCTGCCATATCAAAGTGCAGTGTAATAATTAAAATAATCTCACCAGTAAAAACACTTGGAATCTTGGACATGAAGCTTTTTACTGTTCTGATGGGTACTCCAGCTTTTTCGTCTTGCATCTGATTTATAAGCTTCTCCATCTATAACAAAAGATTGACAATGACTTGCTGGCAATGTGTTGGATCCCCTACATGAAATCTTAAGTACAATGACCAGGCTTGTAAACGTGAACGAGTTATTGTGTGACAACAACACTGTAAAGACTCATCATGTCAATTGGTCAGATTTTTAAAAAAAGCCTGGCTTTCTAGACAAAATCTTTGGTTAAAAAAAACAATTATTTTTATTTCCAACAAAGTTTATAGGGATCTCAAGGCAAATAAAGCAAGGTAAACATCACCAATGACCAAAACAGCTTTAGATGTGAAGAAGTTAAAACTTGTTCGTATCAAAAGCTTTTTTGGTCGTTGGCAATGTTTGCCTTGCTTTACTCACCTTGAAATCCTCATAAACATTGTTGGAAATAAAAAGAATTGTTTTTTACTAAAGATCTAGTCTAGAAAGCCAAGTTTTCTTGAAAAAATCTGACCGATTGACATGATGAGTCTTTATGGTGTTGTTGTCACACAATAACTCATTCGTGTCTGAAGCTTTTATAGTCATTGGCGTTGTTTACCTTGCTATATTCACCTTGAGATCCAAATAAACTTTGTTGGAAGAAAAAATGTTTTTTACTATATGTTTAACTTCTAATAAGTTGTAATGGATTGAAGACCAACTTGCTGATGTCTCTATTTGATTTTTTATGTCGGCGAGTTGGCGTTGGCAAGTTGAACTGTAGGTGACTTGACCTTAATTCATAAAAACATATTATAAGATCTCAAGGTAAACCAGTTTTAAACTTATTTGATTTGCGTTTTTCTTTGTTTACATATTATGGTAATGTATTAGAAAATAGAGAAATACAAAGCAAATGAGTTTCAAACCAGTACAACCACATATTAATTTTGAGCCACAACATTTTGGTTGGCTTCTGACCTTAGTTAAAATTGGCTTCCACGCAAGACAGAAGCCATTCCTTTTATGAGGAAACTTCAAAGAATGGTCTGATAGAGGCAAGATTTTCTTCGGCATTCTCTTCCCCACTGTTTTCTTGCTGGCATAAGCTTCTTCTCAGTCCATGCAGCATTTATACTTTTGTGCAATTCCTTTGCTTATAAAGGATTATCTAAGTACATTTCATCTTAGACTCTTTTGCAACATTTGGTGCAACTGAATTCACATGTGGTTTACTTGTGTAATTTTTCCCTTCACAGGTGTGAGTACTTATCTCAGTCTGAGGAAAAGATTTTTTTGATTCCGGTGTGGTTTTTTCGAGGCTGCTTTGTGAATATTGTCTTGAGAGAAAGTTCACATCCAAAACAATGGCAAATCAATAAAGAACCATGCTTTAATTGAATCGAACAAGCTTGATCTCACTGAATAAATGACCTAATGGTAAATTTACACCAATGGATTAAAAAAAACATCAAACACCACACTGTTTGCAGCTTTTCTCCCTTTTTTGTTATGACTATCTTCAAGAAGAATGATAGCTGTATTTTTTTCACTCCACTGATGTTACAACTGCTCTAAGACTTGTTTTTTGGGAAACAAATTCTCCTTGTCAGCACCTTAAGAAATGTTCAGGGAACAGTACGGAGAATATGTATGTTTTTTGTTCAGGTATAAAGAGTTAAATGGTTTTTAAACTTCTAAAAGATAGCTGAAATTGGTCCAAAGTTCCTACTATCATCTAATGACTCAAAAGAGTGATGCACCATGACAAATGCATCATATTAAACATCTGTTTCACACATTCTGTTTAGTTAACCCTTAGACTCCCATGAGTGACCAAGACAGAATTTTTCCTTATAATATTGACATAATATCAATCAGATAAGTGATGAGAATAAAGAAAAATATCAATTTGAGGATAATTAGTTGATCCAATACTAAATTCTACAAACTAACATCAAAAGAATTGTATGGCTGACAGTAAGGAGAAGTACAAATTTGATATTAATGGGAGTTAAAGGGTTAAAGAGTACAAAACCTGATCAAGTTTTCAATTTTTGATTGGATGAGGGGGAAGGAAGGGGAGAGTCAGGAAGGTGTGGTTGCCCCTCCTTCCTTGCTACCTGCTTCCAAATTGTTGCCTACCCTCCTTCCACCCCACTCTTCATTGCAAAACACCACACATCAGTGTAATGCAAATGAAGGTTTTAATAACTCTTGCCCTCATACAAGTTGGAGCTGTTCTCCCAAAATAAACAATCTATTTGAAAAATAAACCTATGGGTAGTTGAGACAAAAAAAAATATTATTCATAAAATAATGAAATATGCAGTGATTAGTTCTTCAAGGGTCACTGAACAGATAGAAAATTTTGTCAAAAGACAGACACAAAGTGTTTATGGTTCCAAGAAAGTTCTGCTCCTCAGCAGAATAGTGGCCTTTTTTATTCCTAGCTATGTCTATGTCTAAAAACCAGTTGATCACACTTGACAAGGTCATCTTCAGACAAGATTTTGACAGGTTTGGAGGTTTTTAAAACAGACTTGTCTGAATTTTGTCTTGAGTGCAACCTAAGCTTTAACTAATCACTGGTGCAAACTGTTTATAATTTTTAACCGAGAGATGAAATTAACGCATAAACAATTGGAACAAAAGAACAGTATACAACTGTTGAATTGGTTCAAGTATAATTATAATTTCTGCTAATCTCCGCATTTGAGGTGTTTTCCTAAATATTCAATACATCTCCAATACAACTGTGACTGCGGTATGATGCAGAAACATTGCAATTCCTTAAAATCAAGCTTCGTTTAAAGAAATGAAGACATACTGTATATTGTAACGCTGCGGTACTGTACTACGCTTTGGTTAGTTTGATGGAATGTCAAATATCGAAGGCGATCGTGAACATATCATCAACGATTTCTTCCCCACATGACTTGGTTCCGATGCGTGTTTTCTGAACGAAATTGTATTTAATTCGCTTTGAAATGAATCCTATCGTGCGTACGTGATTCCAATTAATGATCCACAAGAGAAACTACGGTAACCAGCTGAAAACGACTGAGACAATAGCCCGACCTCTTTCTCAAAATACCAGACCCCGCGTGAATATATTAGGCAAGTACAATTTCTAAGAGTTTTAGAATCGCTTTTTTGAATCATACAGGACAAAAATCCTTGCGACCTTAACTCTAGTTTTAAGATAAACACCTTAATAAATCAAACGAACAAAAATAAATGTTTATAATATTGCCGAGCGAGAAAAATCGTGTAAAAGTATTAGTGAAATATGTCATGTCAATTTTAAAGAAATTCATGTATATTGCTCAATACAGGCACTCAGGCACGACCCGATGCTTGGAAAATTATCTGATATTTTAAAAATTACGAAATAAAATAAGATATTGCAGCAAAATAGATCATGTGGGTGGTTAGTAAACTGGAAAATATATCAGGAATTGCGGTTTTGACTTGTGTGAGATGGAAGATTTGATCTCAAACGCTCCGTCTTAGAAACCGAAATATTCATCAAAAGTAGCAAGTCAAAATTCAAAGAAGCCAAGAGAGCATTTGGTTTTAATTTAACTAGACAAGATGGCTCGGAATAGCTTAAAACACCAGTGATCTCGAGGCATACAGAAGATAAATTCCTAGAATACATATTTAACAAGCATCGGGCTCTCAGCTTAAGTAGAGCCGTGGTCTAATTTCAAGCTGACATTTGAGCGATGCGCCGCACTGAATCGAAAACCAGCGAGACATTCTAGTCACCTTTGAACAAAGCCACGGATTATTACTGCTCTTCCCTTGACCAGTTATAAAGCGAGTAAATTATTTAAAGCCTTAAGTTAGATTTCTGCATCCCTGACTTGACACCTACAGAAAAAATCTACCGCCTAACCTTTTTGCATACTGTCGCATGTGGAGGTTGGTCATCTGAGAGAACACCATCGTGATCTGAATCTGTCCGATCATCCATTTTCGCCAGGGATTTACAACCACAGAAAGCAGCCGATTCATGCCAATACTCCTTCCATGACAACTTCAGAAATGACCACGTCCATATCCTTGCTCAGCATTACATTCGCCGCAAAGAAAGTATATAGTTACGTTTGAAAAAATCGTGTTATTATGCTGACAAGAATTCCCTCGCTTCAGTGCAGGTCATATTTGACCAATGGCCACATCCATATGCAAAGAGCTCTTCGTCAAAATAAACAAGATCTGCTCGCCTTCGCAACTCTAGCAAATTCTTTGGATGTTATATTTTGACTCAAGAGGCCAAGCCTTAGAAATACAAAGCTTACTATTCGAAAAATACGTTCTCGATCGGTGGTCAGCGAAATATAAACATGGAGAATTTGTTTACTAGTGTACCCGAGGAGGTACCTGGGAAAATTGCTCAATCCTTGGGCGCCAGTCAACAAACCCTAAGGGACAACCCCAGGCAATCAGTTAGCAATCAGGGACTGGAGGGTAGGGATTTGCCTTTTTTTGAATCGACCGCATATTCATTTCTCCAATTTGAAGAGTATAGGAAATCTTACAAAATGACTATGGGAAAATCAGGTAGGTCTTTTTCCGGAAACTTTCTGATGCATTCATGAGTTTGACATCATGAGAACTCTTTTTGGTTTAGACAATCATTGCAGTACAGAGTATTTCTTGTACTAATGACATTAATGTTGAGATATATACGGTGCCTTCACATTGTGAGAAGCTAAGTACTTTTCAATCCTAACATCAGTATGTATATTCACAAATACTGTTCTCTATACATTTCCTGTAGTACTGACAATCAGAATTTGTTTATCAATCAAGAGCTTCTTCACAGTTGTTGATTTCCTTCATCCTCGTGATCTTAACGCTTGATTCAGTAGTGATACAGTTCGGAGAATTTAGCCTGTCCCGAAAGCCAAGCGCGATAATAAACGAAAGAGGCTTGGGGCGGGTCCCGTGAAGAACTGGATGCCAGTCACCCACTTGGGTACAAGGGGGGGATCGAGGAACAACCACAAACATGATGTCCAAGGAAATAACTGATATGTGATATGAATACAGCGCATTCTATAGTGTCGCAGACGAAACCCAAGGTAAAACAACGTTCAATCAGAACAAAGAATCTATTATAAGGAGTGAAAACTTAAAGTATAGTTCAGTAAATTGCTGCATCAGGACTAAGCTGCGACCGATTTCAGTTTTAACATCTGATTGGTTGAGAGAATGGCACGTGTTTTTTAGACCAATCATAAAGCATCAGAGAACAGAAACAGAGCATTCCCGGATTATCAAAAAACTAAAATGAAAATTATTGTAGCATAAGAAATATGAAAACAGGATCTAAAAGCTCGTCCTAATACTATGAAACTCACATGAAAGTGTTTTATGAAATCGCGAATACGTACGACTTTTTACCTAAATTTAATTTGGAGCAACAATTTTGAGGCAATGGTATCTCGTGTTGAGCCCTTTGTAGACGGCAGGGCAGTTTGAAAAGCCGAGGGTAGGGGTGGGGGGTCATGCTGCTTCAGCTTTCCTAAAAATGTATTTTACCTAATTCGTTGTTACAAGCAAAGCTCTTCGCAGTATTAATGGTAACAAGGGACCAGTTATTCAAAGAGTGGGTAACGCTATCCAACAGATTAATTGTTTTCCAGTGGATGAGCGTTAAAAAAATAAAATGATAATAATAATAATAATAATAATAATAATAATAATATTAATATTAACTTAATGCGGTTTTCACCGGATAGAGATCTATCTAATGGAGAGCGTTATTCATCCTTCGGTCAACCGGAGCCCGGATGTTCGTCATATATTTTGGGACAGTGCATAAGCATGTCGTTGTCCAAAAAGGGTCTTGTAGTGATATTTGATACGATCACTCGCGTGAGACTAAATATTGTTATAGGCCAGTTCATGCTTCAATTGCGATAACTTTCGTTCTGAAAAGTCTTAGCGGGGAAGGGAAAGCTTTGCCCCCACAATTATCGTTCGAGGAGAGGCTGAACCCCTCCTCCTCCTCCTCTCCCCTTCCCTCATTGCTTCGCCTCGATCCATAGTGAAGGACAGATCTTCCGGTGTTGAATGAAAGTAAAATTTGGTTTAAGGGCTCTCATATCTATTTGTAGCACGGTATTGCACGATCGTCTCAAACATAAGAGTCTTGAATTCCATATGCGTGCGTCTGCGAAATTTTTCATGCAAGGCTATTCTCATAGCTTGTGACCTACCCGTAGTTTTTGTGGGTATAGATTTCTTCATTAGTGTAATGATAAGTGTTTTGCACATAGATAAGATCAATTAGACAACATAGGAGCGCAATGCGTTCAGGAATCTCCTCAGTGAATGTCATTTAAGCAATTTTCTGCTATCGAACACTGAATAGTAATATCGCTTGTAGCGTCTTATATAAGAAATGTAAATGTCGAGCCTTACCTTAAGAGTAACTTGTTGCCTACATCGTTTTTCTGAGACAGCTTTTTCGAGCAAAGAGCGAATTTAAAGCGGATTCTTTCTCTAGTTTTTAAACCCGGGTACCCGGCCAATCCCACAAGCCGCGAATGTTCACGGCCCAACGAAGAATGATGTAACATCACGAATACAGTGTAAAACCGCCAAAATAGCACAGGAAATTCATGAGTATTCCCTAATAAGCACCCTGGATTGGCAATCTTACAAAGTTTCGTTCATCCGGCTGATGTTTCAGCCGAGAAAATGCCATTTTAAATTCGACAAAAATATTATGTTTTTATTGTCGAAGGTATATCTTATACCCGCTGTTACATAAATATCTCTAAATTGCAAAAATTTAAACCGCCTTCTCTCCGATTATCTAATTGCTTGACGTGATATTTTCTGCTTTGAGAATGCAATCCTTGTCGCAAAGGTTATTTTTCCTTAGAAAAATTTTAATCGGAGTCGCTATGATGAGAGCATGTAAGGTCGTTTCCCCCAATGAAAACAAATCTTACCTTTACGTGTGGCACGTCAAAAAAATCACCATCCAGCCTTTTTCGAAAAGGCCGTTCCCTGCTATCTTTGGAGATATCCTGTTCCATTCGTCGAATATTCAAATTAAAACAGCTTTTAGTTAAACTCCCTTCCTCAGCTCGATAGCTGTAGAGAAATTGTTAATCTAGTTTCGCTAAAACCGTTCAGTTTCGAAAGTCGCCAATTAGTACCCAATAATCTTTCACATTCAGGCTTAAATGGTCATGTTTAATAATAGCTCCAAGAGTTTATTGGCTTTTGAGTTTTAAACAAATTGTCGTAATTGTGCGTGATACTTTCGCAGACGTTGAAGCGTCGACTTGCGTCAAGGGAGGGGTGGTTTGGGGAACAGGGAAAATAACAAAAGATCAAGAAGTCAAAGATCTGGGTACGAAAAACAATTTTGTCTCAAGTGGGGGACAAATAATGATGAAGAATGGAATTTCCGGACCTCGAATGCTTACGGATTAGCCGGAAATTAAATGCTTCTGCGGCACGAGAACAAAAGGCCCTAGGCGCCGGCATCTTCGTGGGTTGAATGATGGGTAATGTTGTACGGATATTTCATCTTGAGATTGCAAATGAGCAATTAAAGCCGACACCGCTCATTGTAATCTTTTCTTTTTTGAATGTTATTTAATATATGGCCTCGTAAGATGGTCTAAAAGAGCTTGTCCCTGGTTGCCACCCAGATTTCCTGTCCTTTTTCCTTGTTTTTCAGCAGTTGTTTTTTTTCCGACCAACATTCCTACCACTTTGTTTTGTAACTGGTTGCCCAGCTGTTGTTCTCTGTTTTGTTATGATGTTGTAATTGGCGGTTACTAGGTAGAGTAGAGTGATATTGCAAACGAAGATAGCAATTTCTGTTTTTTTCCTCTCTCTCTTTCGAGTGATATTGTTCATCATAAAGGGCTTGTTACCTATGGCTTTTCTTCATTCATTGTATGTTTTCTGGCGTTCGGCCGAAACACGCAAATTATAAGCCCAATGGCTCATACAATGTCATCTATCTGTTGTGAAGTGGAGCTGAAATTTTCCAACTCGGGGAGTTACAAACAGTACCAAAGAGGAGGTATACAAAGAAATCACTCTCCATTGTTCACTACTCAGTACACTACTCAGCTTAGAATCTGAACGAAGCCTCTTATTTCACACAATGCACTAATATTGCAATACTTTATTCCTTGTTTTTTCGTCGTTTTTTTTTCAAATATAACAATCTATTTCACTGTCTCAAGCTGTTTGCCAAAACAAATTTGTCGACAGCTGTTGGAATTACTTTACATTGTAAGATCAGGAGTCACTTAAACAATTTACATAGGCTCCAGAGTCCATTTTGAATGACGAGCCACCGAATGAGGTGAATATTTACGTATAAATTAAACTAACACGAAGTAGCTCTAAGTGGTGCTGTTTGTTGGAGCAATTGTCAACTGGGCGTTGACAATAATCGGGAATTGCATTGGTTTTGCTAGACTTTCCTTTGTAATTGGTCCAGAAAACTGGCGCCATTCTCCCAACCAATCAGATGCAAAACCAACACCAACCTCGACATGGTCACACGCGTTTTCCCGCGCTTCAGACGGTTTGCTTGTTTTTACTTTGAGTTCTCATTGGCCCTTCAAGATGTCTTCCTTTCTTCTAATTGTAATTACTTTGGTTTTGTTTTAACGACACTTATCAAAAATCACCCTTTAATGCTCATGATTTATGTCTGTGAAAGATACCCCTGTGACCATTAAAATGAAGTAGTACTGTTAAGTGGTATTGTGTATCACGATGTACAAAGTAGTTCTCGTTTAAAAGTGCGTGGAAGAAACCCTTATGTCTAGAAGCCAATGAGCAGAACTTCCGTGTGTTATGACACCGAGTCATTTTAGCTGGAGCCGGAGCGATGGTTAAAATGATCTGAGAAGAGCCCAAAACATATCAGTATCCAAGAACACACACCGTCTTACTATTATCATCACTTTGGAAGGCATTAAGAAAATAAAAACTTTAAAAAAATGACCAAAAAAATTTTGAACAATCACGCGAGCGTGCAAGCGGGCTAAAGTACATTTTAGCACGCAAAATGCGCTACAATGCCCGACAAAGTGATAACAATTCTTGTTCTGCTGCAAGGTGTGGTTCCAAGGTTTAGCGATTTGGATGAAACCATGGTGGCGATCTTTAAACAAGAACTACTGATTTCATTTACATTCATGCCACACATTCGACAGTTTATTATGGGAAGCGATGAATTGTCAATGAAAATATTAATTATTTGAATTTGGGCTTTGTAGCTGGAGAACTAAGAAAGCCATAAATTGATCTTTTATCGATGAAACCTATCTACAACCTATGCCTTATCTACAGCAGTATTATACAATATAAATTTTCATTGTATGACTTATTGAAGCAAGCTGTCATATAAAATATCACTTGTTCAGAACGAACAAAATTCGAAAAAACAGAACGCCTCTATTGACAAGCTTAATTATTTACATATCGTAAAAAAACTCAATATCTTAGGCTTCATGTACACGCTTCTTTAAAATAATTTCAGAGTAACCAATTTAAGATCTCCGGTTGACTTAAATCTCTTTTGGTCTCATTGACACTAGTATCACAATTGTCAAACTCAAACCCACAAACCCAGAAACCTTCACGCAACGGAAACATGGACCAGTGGGACCAATCAGCATCAAGCGCGCAAAAATTTTTGGCAGGCGCGCCAAATATGTACCAAGCGAAAAGAAAAGAGCGGGAAAAAATAAATTAAACTGACAAAACCTGAGTCAAGTGCAAGAAACATGTGGCAATTGAGAGCGCGCCAATCATGTAACCGGTGAAAAGTGGAGGACAACTTGAAGTCAGATTCACGCTTGCCAAGCACGAAAAAAAGAACATGTGAACTATTTTGAAATCACTACTAATTTCAGATATCCTTGGAGGATCTAAGAAAACAACCAACTTCGTGTCGCGATATTTCCGCACTTGGACATCCAATGCTGAATATAGTTGTTCTCCAATAAGAGATTCAAGTTACATGTCTGGTAATTGTGACACTATTCTCAAGAGACCACAGAAAATAGGTCGGAAAATACATTGTGAGGGATTCCTTTAACTCTATGTTCATCGCAAGGAAGCCAGCCTCTAAGCTTAATACTCTCTTGGTACATACACAATTCCAACATAGCTCTACAAAGAACTGAAAATATCACTCCTGTTGCCAGAATGTTTGTAGTTATCACGAGCAAGCTTAAAAGTCCACGACTCGTGCAATCTTCAGTACAATTTCGTGAAAAGTCGGTGTCGGCTTTGAATGGCACGAAGAAGCAAAGAATCACATATTTATAAACAATTAGAGTACAATCATATGTAAATATTTTCTCGTCTTCTTCGTAGAGGAGTAAATCTAAAAAATATTGGCTTTAAAACTTTTATACTCTATACCACAGCCTCTCCTGTTAAGGATGTTTTTTTAGCCTCCACGTCTAACGACAAGAATTATCGGCAAAAATTTCATCGCTTGTAAAATGTATAATTAATACTACTGTGAAAAATTCTTCAACTCTCGCTCGTAGTTGAAATCAACGTCAATGCGTTCTAGTTCAGTTTGCTTCTCACTTTGTATTTTGAATTTCTCTTCTTGATGCTTGAAACTTCCCTTGATTATTCCATCGGGATGATAATGCCTTCGTATCACAGATCCTTAGCTTGCCCGCATCAAATGACCTTTAGCTCAACGTTTTTAATTGGCAATTTTGTTGTAAAGTATACTTTGATGATATTCCTAAGGATTGACTGCAAAGTCGTGATGAAGTTCATCACCCACTCTTTTCAAACGACAGAAAGTCCTTGACTTACAAGGATACCTCGTCATAGACATCGCTCGCTCTTTTCGATCGTCATAAACATGTCGTTACTGCGGAGTTTACAACGAAGGTGAAGTTCAGCAGTTCGTCAGCCGAAGGCCTTTGCCAAGAGTTCCTATGAAGCAGCGAGATTACTTAACCATAGTTGACAAAAAGGCGAAACCTGATGAAGCTTCTGTAACAAATTTTCATCCACTGCTAACACTAACAGTAACTGACAGAGATGCTACTACTCTGAACTACTACCTCATCTCTCCTTCGACTTCCGCTCTCACTACCGCATGTAGTTCCTGCTTCTTCTAACTCCAGTGCCGCCACTTCCTACTGAACATGACGCTGAACTTACCACCACTAGGCTTGCCAAAACCTGGGATAGCCAGCCACGCTGTAACTATCGTAAATATTTCTTTCCCTGATCTCCTTAATCAACAACTATCTCTTCTTTTGCATCTACAACAAGTAACGCATCTATCACTGCATGGACTACCCCCGAAACAATGCCTGCCTAGCCTACCTACGTATCTCACTGCGGCAAGTGTTCTTGATTCATCTTCTCCCAATTCCATTATTACCACACCCTCCAGCATCTAAAGCTATCACCGCTTCTACCGAAGCCGTGGCTATCAACCTTGATATTGCCTGGCAAGGCTTTCTAAAGTTGCGTTCTCTCGTCCCAAGCAACTACTTCCTATGGCTATGGTCACCGGCATCCTTGCTCACTCTTTGCAATAATCTCTAGCTACAACCGCTGACGCCATCTTCAGAGACTACTGCTACTACTGACTTCTGACACTAATGCTGATGCTTCCATAGCTAATGCTGCGGCATATAGGACTGTTGCTTCGTCTGTGTTTCCTTGATGCTGCTAATTTTTTCAACAACTACGTAGTGTAATTTAAACTTTTCCGTTTTGATGATTTTCCTTGGCAATACTATTGTAAAGCCGATTCTGCTCTGTTACTCTCTAAGAGTGCTGTTGCTGCTACTAACCAACGCTTCCTGATACGATATAACAAGCTACAGTTATCATTCTTCTGAGGAGGGTTAGTGTCTTCTCTTGAATTTGGTTAATTGAAACGGTCACAGTTTCCGAGACAAAGCAAGCTAGATAGAGCAGAATATCTCACCAAAAGTGCGTCGAACCAGCATGATGCCTAGCAACATCTTTGGAAGCATCGCAGGCTCATCGTATCATCAGAGCCAAAATTGCCACCTAGAAAATGTACCTGTGAATCTACGCTAACTAACGATCTTCTTCTGCCGCCCCCATCCTACCAACAAACACAACACTTTTCAGGAAAGTCCGTATCTAGGTACTCACTTTGTCAGAGTGGACTGAATAAACTCCCTGGCGTCCTCACACAGATCGTGCGGCAGCGAAGGCTCTGTAGGCTGCGTTGCAATCTTAAACAGGGCCGCCATTGGTTCGAACTCCGCCCATGGAGGCTTCGTCGTCAGCATTTCTACCACCGTGCATCCAAGACTCCTATACAAGAGACGAAGCAAGTTCGCAATCAAATTTCTCCTTAACGCCTTCTATAAAGCTGTTAAGTATTACATCATTAGACTTTTGAGAATTAAGTTTCACAGCTGAACTTGTGCTGTACCAGATATCATATCAAATCTACACTGGAGACAAAGCAAATTCACAGTCAAAATTCTCCTTAACGCCCTCTAAAAAGTTGGACAAGTATTACATTATTCAACTAAGGAGAATTTTAGTTTCACAACTGAGCTTGTGCTTCACCAGATATCATACCACATTTACACGAGACAAATTAAATTCACAATCAAAATTCTCCTTAAAGCCCTCCAGAAAGTTGTACAAGTAGTACATCATTCGATTAAGGAGAATTTAGTTTCACAACTAAAATTGTGCTTCACCAGACATCATACCATATCTACACTGGAGACAAAGCAAATTCACAATCAAAATTCTCCTTAACGCCCTCTACAAAGTTGTTAAAACTTAATATAACTCGACTTTTGACATATATTTTAAAAACATGACCGGTTCCTCACCAGATGTCAGCCTTGCGCCCGTAGCCTTCCCCGTTTATCACCTCTGGTGCCATCCAGTATGGAGTGCCATGAACTGATCGAAAACCAGTTTTACTTCGAATTGTCTGCGATATTGAAAGATGAAGGTGTTAAGACAAGGCAGTAGTACCACATAAAATTACTGGTCCGTGGCTTTAATACAAAAGAGCAAAAAACATCTTAACAAGACCTAAATTGAAAATTTCAAGGATCAGAAACGTTCAGAGTAACAAAGCACATTTTAAGTCTTCTTCTTCACTTGAGAACAAGGTTCAGTGATTGAGTACAGTTACCTGTAATCTCTTGGACGCTCCAAAATCGGCTAATTTCACATTACCACGAAGATCTCTAAGGATGTTTGCACCTTAATTGTAGAGAACAAAAAAACTGAATAAGTAGATTATATGATAATCGTAATTAGTTTCTTAATATCTCCAAAATACCTATTTCTGTTGCTATCTTCAGCCAGTTTTGCGTAGTCAAGTATCAGGCCTCTTTTATACTCATGTGCGGTATTTTCATATTTCAATACGGGTATAAATTTTATCGATCTTCGCGCCTTTTTCGTTATGACAACAACTCCTGACAAATTTAAGCCATAGAATTTAAAGTTTTGACATCTCAAGGTATGTCTGTAGCCCAGAGAAGTATCAGGTATATCGGCTTTCTAGTGCCAGACCCCTTAGGCCCTCCTTAAAAAATTGATGCTTAGGGCTTAGGCCACACAAAGGCTTCGTCAGAAAAAAGGCGAGCAATGAGTTAAAAAAATACATTAAAACATCTCCAGATCCATTGCTGTTTGAATTTCGATCTATGCAATAAGGATATATGGGCAATCAGCTCTGTATCATAGCACTCAATAGACTGTTTCTCTAGGGTGTAGTAATCTCATTCAGTTTACCTTTGATATCTCTGTGTACAATTAGAGTCGCGTGAAGGAAAGACACTCCTTCTAGAATTTGTCTTGTATATTTTCTCGTTAAACTCTCATTGAGAGCACCATGTTGTTTGATATGGTCGTGTACCGATGACTGTGGAATGTATTAAAAAAGTATGCATTAGTTTCCAGAAGAGGAACAACAGAATGGTTAGCAACACACAAGTTTTGCATTAGAAACACTCGGCGCGTAAACGAGTTTTACTCAACTAGACTGAAAATAGTCTTATTTTTTACTGGGTGTCGAAGGAGCTCCTGAATTGCATAGGCCTTCTTTTCGGTCTGCTATTGGTCTTCAAATTATACCAGCCCCTCTTAACCAGAGAGACGTAAAACTGAAACCAACCGCGTTTCAACCGCGTTTTCCCGCGCTATCAGCCATTTGCCTTTATTAAGTTTAAGTTCTCATTGGCTTCTATTGATGTTACCCTTTGTTTTGATTGGCTAATGTTACCATATGACCACTTTAGCTTTAATCTTATTAAATCATTTGAAACGAATCCTGGAATACACTTAATCAGAAAAATGACGGCTTAGAACCGCATACAGATTCAAAAGGAACGCATTGAATGCAGAGCTGGCAAGGATACGAAACGGTCAGAACAGTTAAAGAAGACAACAGATGAATACAAGTTATACTTTTAAGTTAATTTTAATTAGGAAATTTGGACTAGTATCCAAACCGTGCACCTACGCCACCCCTAACCCCCAACGTTAACCCTAACTTGTTATCCGTTGACTCTTGTTGGGTTAGGGGAGGAGTAGATGCGTAGTTTTTCAGATACTGACATTGATCTGGCAATTCTCACCCCAGGCATGTATTCCATAAATATGTAGACATGCAGATCTGTCTGTTGTGTCCCATAGTATAACACTATTCTGTCGTGTCTGAGATTCTTTAAAAGATCGATCTCTGCTTCGAGAGCTTTCACTTCCTGAAGAAAAACAAAGAACCATAAAGCTTTAACACCAATCTTACGACCAGGCTACTGAGTGCTTTACAAAATGGCGGCGCCCACAGCCAAACTTTTTACCAAATTTGGAGACAATTTTCGAACGATTAAGAGACTTGAAGAGAACTCAAGACGTGAAACGCCGTAAAATATTTATCCATACTTTTAAATAGTAGGGATAAAATTTCGTGGTTTTATAGATCAAGCTTCTCTTTCAATGCTCTCCTGGTTTAACCCTATTGCGGCCAAGATCTCATTAGTAATTTTCCTTACTGTGTGCCATACAATTTTTATGATGTTACTTCGCCGGATAATTCGGTATTGGATCAACTAATAATCCCCCAAGACATTTTTTTTCGAATCTCATTTCTTGTATGCTTGATATTGTATCGATATTGTAAGGAGATATGCTGTTTTGGTCACTTCCCACGTTGCTGGAAGTTGATGACAAACCTTTTGGGTCGCAGTGTTGAGGAGCCCAACTTCAACTTGTTTGACGGCTAATTCGCTCCCTGTATCATGGTCATGACACATGTATACCTATACAAGAAGAAACAACTCAAATTAATGACAATTTACCTACAACTAGTAAAATCATGACAGGAATTCTTCGTCCAAACAAAGACGCTTACACCCCAAGGGAAAAAGTCTTCGTTGTTCATTGCCTGAATCATATACTTTAGTTTGTTAATGCATAAAATCTAGTAATATCACTAGGAACTTAAAATCCAGGCAAATGTGTTTTATCTCATGCATAGTAGAAAACAGAGCCGTAATATGGAACCAGGGGTGTTGATATCAAATGAAAAAAGTAAGTAAAAAAGGGGGCACTTAATATACTGAGAAAAGATGTAGCAATGTCAGTATTGTAAGTAATGTCAGCAGTGTAAGAGATTTAGACCTTGAAAAATGTTACGTTGGAAGTTAACGCTAGCTTCATGTATATAAAGTTAGTTTTTTTAAGCATTGTAGTGCAAGTATTATTAATGTTGGAAGAAATGTACGCAGCGTAAGTAACGTTTGTCCTGTAAGTAATGTTGCTTTACAATGTGAAAAAAGGTCTGATAAGATCAAGAAGTAACCAAAATAAATGTATCAAATCTTACTTGACCAAACGCTCCTGCTCCGAGAAGCTTCCCTTTCGTCCAGTTTCGAGGCACCTCAAGCACTGAGGGAAAAATTGTCCATCACAGAATAAATTGTCAGAAGTAAAACAACGTAATGATCCCAAAACTTGACTTTTAAGTCTCTAGGCCTTTAAATAAAGTGGAGCCACACTATATCATACTCCTTCGCATACCTTAACCATCATGTTGATTTGTAATAAGATTAAAGTAGTATTCGTGTGGCACAGCAACAGGCGTTTTCCTAATGATTAGAGCACTGGGCTTCAAGCCTTCTCCAGAGTTTCTATTTGGGAGTAAACACTGTACTTGCAAAGTGTCGCTTATACTCCACCCAGAAGTATAAGTGAGTAGTGGTTTGCTGCTGGGAAAACCGAACAAATACTTAACCGCATTTTGATTGGCTGCCGTACAACCAAACCCAAAGTAATCACAGCAGCCAATCAGAACAAAGGTAAATATCACAAGTAGCCAATAAGAATTCAAAGTAAAAAGGAGCAAACTACAGAAAGCGCGGGAAAACGCGAGTGACCAAGTCGCGGTTGGTTTTATTTTAATTTGATTGGTTGAAAGTGTGGTGAGAGTTTTCTGCACCAATCACAAAGCGAATGAAAAGCAAAACCAATGCATTCGCAGATAAAGTTGCTCAATTCTTTTTACCTTTTGTTTCTGTTATTGACATGTCTTTAAGCTTCTGCACGGCGACTTCGAGCTCAGACTCTCTTCCAGGTCTTTTTGTGTTTATATCGATGTCAGCGATCAAACCACTACTGCTACTACTGCTGCTGGCAGGACTAATTTGCTGGTCTATTCTCATCGACAGCGGGATTGGTTTGCGAGAATTCTGTGTACCATTGTATCTTTGGCTTCCTGAAAAAGGAAAAAAAAGAAAGAGATCAACTTACATGCTCGCTCACAGAAACCTGACTATGTCGTGGTTTGATAACACCAGACATTCAAACCAAGGATGAAAAAAAAAAAACACTTTCACATTTCACCCAAGCTAGTCTCTCTCGTCTTCGATTTAGATGGCCTTTCTGCCAAATTAAACTCATTCATGTTGTCAAAAAAATTTCAGGAAATGGCTAAAGGATATCAAAAACTTTGTTTAGAGGAAAACACATTGACCTGTATTTAGTACTTTTCGATCGAGCGTCAATCAAAAAAATCACAACAGCCAATCACAAGAAAGGAAGGAAGACACCTCTAAGAGCCAATGAGAACTCAAAGTAAAAACAAGAATACTGCTTAAAGCGCGGGAAAACGCGGGCGACCGAGACGTGATTAGCCTTAGTTTTGCATCTGATTGGTTGATAGAATGGCGCCAGATTTCTGAACCAATCAGAGAGCAAAGTAAAGCAAACCAATACAGTCTCGCATCACTTTGGACACTGCTGAAAATTGCTCAATGAGAAGGAGTTGAAGACGAAAGTTTATTGATCGTTTTACTTCTGTGTCATACCGTCATTATAGTCCACATCTGGTCCTCCAATCGTGTGACTTCTCCTTCTCGGGTACGTATGAGCTTTACAGTCGGTTATATCTTCTTCTGCAGATTAAAAAACCGGTATAGATTCAGTTTGTGTAAAATTGAAACATCTCAATTAAAAAAAGATCTGTAATCAGAGGCAAAAGAATAACTCTTCAAACAAAAATCCCGGAAATAATTTTGAGTCCACGTTTGAGTTTGAGTCCTTGTGAAGTTTGGACAATAGGACACTACTATTACCCAAAGTAAACGCATATTCAACACTTTGAACCCTATCAGTGACCAGCATCTAATTTCTCCTTACAATATCACCCCTGAATCAAACAATATGGTCACAAGAATAAAGGAAATGGTCACCAACTAAAGATGCTCTTGACTGGTCAAAATATATTTCCTTGTCATCACCTTAGGAGATGTATAGAGAATCTGCATACTGATGTAGGGTGTAATGGGTTGAGGAAAAAAGAAAAAAACAGAGTATTTCTCCTTAAAAGAAACTCTACCTGAGGAAAACATTCCACTAGCCACCACTAGTGAGCTGTTTGATGCTGATCTTGTAGAGTTGTAAAATGATTGCATTTCTCCTCCACTGAAAAATAAATTGTAATTTTAACATTCATTTGTGTCCTTCTCTGGACACAGTTAAAAATCCGTCAGAAAAAGTACTTCATCTAGCCTTTCACTACCAATGGTGACCAGTAATCACTTCAGAAATGATATTGATATCTACATTACCTGTCCACAGAAAAGGATGATCCTCTCCAAGAACCTTCAGAGCTTGGACTGGAAACAACTCTTACCTAGGAACAAGGCAAGTTATAAGGATTACTGAAAATGGAAGAGATCTTCGCTGTAATGAACACTACTTAAACAGCAGTGACCTGTGGGTACAATGCTCTAATACTGAGCTAACATGCCAACCAGGAGCTGGTCATTATGTTGGTTCCAAAAAACCCCATGAAGTGATGAATAAATGACTGTAAGTCTAAGAAAATCATATACATGAACTACCAATAGAGAAATGAATACAAAAAGCAATCTTCCCAGTAATGAACACTACTTTAGCAATAGTGAGAATAAGGCCTGGAAAAAAATCAATAACAAGGATTCCTGTTAGAGTAGAAGATGAAATTTTCCAATGCAGTTTCCAAATTTTTTATCAAGCAGTAAGTTCACGAGCACGCAATGTAATGGATCTAATTAACAAATGGATTCCATCTTTCCCTTGCTTCTGTTCAGTAGTAGATCGGAACAAAGAAATGGCATGTGAAGCAGAATACCTCATCACCTGATGAGGGCTAACAGTATGCTGTTGTGATTTTATAATCTTTGTTACTAACAACCAATCACATAGAGAGACATGCTATTGGAATAGACAACTACAGTAGATATACAGTTCACTACCATGAGTAACTACAAACATTTTGCGATTGTGTTCATAAATTACCTGACTGTGTGATAGCGGATCGTACCACATATTCAATCGTCTATGAAATCTGGGAACCACCTGAAGATAAAGGAGGAAAATTAAATCCATACTCACAACTAAATTTTCCAGAAAAGTCTGGTAAGATTAAGAACGAAAATAACTACCGCAAAAAAATTGCATATTCCTACAACAATTTTTGAAAAAACTACAGGATCACATTTGTTTTCTGATAAATACCTTCTGGCCTTTAGAACAGAGCATGAAAACTTTTGAATTTCAGCTAGCCCTGTGCCACCATGTAAAATAATTTGAAAATTTTCCTTTGTCTGCCACCTATTAACACCACCTTTCAGGCTGAAAATTTTTGGGGGGGGGGGGGGGGCGAAAGGGGTAATCAGAATTTTTGGATCAATATCAGTATCTAGGCAACTGCCCACCTACCCCTCCCCTGACCCAACAACAGTCAATTGATAACAAGTTAGGGTGAATGTTGGGTTAGGGGAGGGGTAGGTGGACTGTTACCCAGATACGGATATTGATCCGAATTTTTAAAACTACTTAAACCTGCCATTTCACAATATTTTTTTTTTCTCTTAGTCTTAGTCACATAAAAGATGAAAATATTTAGTAGAACATATAATTTTCAAGATTGATTATGAAGCATACCACATGATCTTGGCTTTCTGGTATAAATTCACCTTCACCCTGTAATAGAACCAACAAAAATGTATTAACCCTTAAAACTTCTGTGAGTGACCAAGATGGAATTTTCCCCAGAATATTAATACAATATCGAGCATACAATCAAATAACAAGAATAAAGAAACATATCAATAAGGGGATTGTAAGTTGATTCAACACCAGATTCTCCAAACTAACATCAAAAGAACTGCATGCCAGATGGTAAGGAGAATTACCAATGAGATCTTAAGGGTGGTTAACGGTGAGATGTATGAGGAAAAAAGGTTGATTCTTGGTTGAGTTTTTGAGTATGTGTCAAAGTGGAGTTTAAGGCTTAAACTTCAAAGAAAATAAAGTAGACTGATCCATTCCCTAAAGAGCTTGCAGAGGACTTGAATCCTGATTTTTTTAAAACAAAATTTATCTCCTTAGAAATGCAATCTTATATAACTACCAAAACAGGTACTGTGAAAAATGTTTAGTGTTCAAAAAAGTACAGCGTAACACTTTATATCTCATACATGACTGTTTCCTTCATTCTCAAACCCTCTTTCCTAATTGTCAGGAGAAAATCTGTGTCAATCAACGCTCAATCACAACTTACCCTGACCATATGGAAAGGCTGAGCTGGGAATTCATCATGATGGAATCCTGGAGGGGGAGAGTTTCGGCCTCTGGTGTTGATATTACTGGATGACATGTACTGCACATTGATGTATCTTGATAAACTTGGTGTGTTGGGTGGATCCACTGCCATGTAAGCGATCTCATCAGGGGTTGACTGAGACCTGGAGAGATGCCTTAAATCCTCATTAATCAGGAACTAAATATTGTGAGTGAGTATTTGAGTAAATATTAGAAGAACAAAAGGCTACACAAAATGTAAGGCAGGTTACCTGATTCCAAGTCCATAACTTCTTGGTTGTCTTTTTTTCTATTCATTTAAGAGAAATGACAAAATTACTCATTACAAAAGATTGTCGTTTATACACATAGTAGGGTCTTGCCAACTATTTTAAATTCTGCAACTTTCTAAGCTTTTTGTCAAAATTTTCGACTCTTTCAGTGATCTATAATTGGGAAAAGAGGAAGCAAGTTTCTAAATAAAAGAAACTGTGGTGCAGCTGATGTTTCTTGTATCATCCTTCCCACAATCCTTCTGATGAAGGGCTGATGCTGAAAACATCAGCTTTAGAAGCTGTCTGCCAGGGTGGCCAGTTTATATTTTCAACCACATTGAAAAAACCAACTTATCCTATGATTGCAAAGCTAATTTCACAATGATAACATGGCCATAACTGTGGTAACTTACATGTAGCAACAATCCTTGCATTGAAAGGACAATTGATGAGAAAAAACATTAAAACCAAAACAATTTGTGACAGGGGATTTCTTAACTCTCACTTACATAGAAAGGTTTGCCAAAGAGAGATCCAACCTTTGGGTTGCTTGGAGGCATCACTGATGCATTTGGCACATTAGATTTGTGACTGTTGTAGTCACTGATGCCATTAGGTAGTGACAAGAGTATTCTAAGGCTGGTGAGGTGCTGGCTTCTGTCCAAGATTTCAATTGCTTTGTCAAGATCAGACTGGCTTACAAGAGGAATTGCATTCTAGAAGAAAAATAATGAGGGTCAACCTTTTAACCCTTAAACTCCCACGAGTGACAAAGACAGAATTTCTCCTTACAATACCAATACAATATCAACCAGATAAGTGATAAGAATGAAGAAAAATATTAATTAGGGGATAATTAGTTGATCCAATACTAAAGTCTCTGAAATAACATTATAAGAATTGTATGGTTGACAGTAAGGAGAATAACAAATTTGATCTAAGAGTTAAAGGGTTAAACCCCTAAGAGTAACCAGCATCTACATGTAATTTCTCCTCACAGTACTACTGCTGAATCTTTCATTAATATCATGAGAATAAGGGATGAGATCCCCAAGTTAAGAAGCTATGATTGTTTAATGAATTCTCCTTGTCAGTATTAAAAGAATGTTTAGAGAAAAGTATGGAGAAAACTGATACTGATGTAATAACTTAATCCGAATTTAGCAGAAGTTTGTTCACAAAGCAGTGTCTAAGTCTACTGCTTCAAGGTAAAATTTGGAATTTGGAGCTACAGCTAATAATGTTTCGACTAAAGAAGGTTCTTGTAGAATATTTCACCCAAATTAAAAACCTGTTAACCTAACTGGGGTACCTTTCACTTATAACAAAAGAGAACAAAAACACACCTCATTGCTGACATAGTTCATCGACAGATCCTGACCATACGCTGTCTTGACTTTTGAAAGTAACTCAGATAGAATCACAGGTCTGGCGATTGGAATGATTCTAATAACAGAAAATAAAAGTTAACATTGATAACAAGGCTGAGTCAATGTGTTGTGTTCTTTGGTAAGAAACTTTACTCTAACAGGGCTTCTCTCTCCACCCAGAAGTATAAATGGGTAGTAACAGTGAACTGTTAAGGAAGCCTAGTCAAATACTGAGGGGGGGGGGGGGGGGGGGTTAACCTTATGATGGACTACCATCTCAAACAGGGGAAGACTTAAATATTCTGTACCCCTTCATGCTAGGGAGACTGGAATAAGCACCAACCAGGTGGACCACTTAGGTTGAGTACAAACTTTACCTAAACCAATCTTGATACAGTGAAAATGAAAAGGTTTACTGTAACTCATTTTCTATGAATCCTTACCTCTTTTCACCTTTAAATTCAAATTTGATGCGAACTTTCTGTTCCATCATGTGAATATTGTTGTTCACATTTTTTGCTCTGTGGGTCTGAGATCTGGAGGATTCACTCCCAGGGCTGAGGTATCCACTTTCCAGATCATCATCTGCATGAATAATTTCAAGAATCAATATCATTTTATTTTTTCACCATTAAGTTAACTCTCTAGCACTTAACCTTTAAACTCTCAGAAGTGATAACATGTTAATTCTCCCTATATCATCCATACATTCTTCAGCCAACAAGTGATGAGAATAAAGGAAATGATCACCGCTGCTCATTTAAAAAATTCTCTTTGTAAGAACAACAGGAAACAAATTTATAAATAAAACAGTGCAGAGAGTAAAGTGTACATATTGGTAAGAACAGCTAAATCTCCGACTCCTAGAAGTGATTAACATGCAACTTCTCCCTATAATATTCATATATTATCCAGCAAACAGGTAATGAGAACATTCAAACTAATCGGATAGAAATTCTTGTCTTGATCTAACACCAAATTCTTGTAACTACTTTGCAAGTAAATGTGTAGCAGCTAGAGGGGAGAATTAACAATCAGATCTTGCCTCTTATCAACTACATTGGCTACTCATGAACCTTGAGTAATGGGAATGATAAAAAGAAAACTATATCAGTCTGAATTTTCATTAATTACAGAATTCTTCTTACAAATTACATGTACCTTAAAGTTTATAGAATGGTAAAATGAGATTTTCAGATTTCATTTGGACTTAACAGCCATCTTAATCACAATTATTAAGTGTACTGTCAATGTACCTTAAAGTTTATAGAATGGTAAAATGAGATTTTCAGATTTCATTTGGACTTAACAGCCATCTTAATCACAATTATTCAGTGTACAGTCAATGGGCACCAAAGACTTCAAGTAAACTTTATTTGACAAATTTACATCATGGGCAATCCTGTATAGAATGATCAATGTAAGTTTCTACACAATAATAATTAATTTTAACATAGAGAAACTTCTTTTGATCACTCCACAACTGGCTAAATTATTTAACTAAAAACATGGAGCCTTTAATTTCTGGAACCAACTTAAACGGAAACAAAGCTAATAGGAATTTAATGGGATCTCACATATCTTTTTAAATTAAGTTATAATTTGCTACTATATCTATAGAACTACAGCCTTTTCATGTATTACTAGTTTTCTAATTGTATTGCAAGTAGCTTTTATCACTTCATTAATTAAATATACCCAATTCAGCCTCTGGCTACCAAAATATCTGAAAAAGGCTATCTAACTCTCTAAGCCAAAACAAAATTGTCTGACCTCAAGGCTTGATATTGAAAACAAATTGATATTCTAAACATGTTTTCAACTAACAGGGTTGAAGTAAACTATAAGTTAATTTTCAGAAGGAATATTGACTCCAATTTACTCTCATAAAGAACCCAACTTTAACTTTGGCTACTTTTTAAACAAAACTTTTTTTATGATAAACAAGTGAGGGGCACTGCACAAATCGAAATGGCAAAAACATGTTTTATTTCTTGCATAAATACCAATGACAGATGAAAAAGTTGTCCTTAATAAATCTAATTAAAAAACCCATTTCGATGGTTTTTGCAACTGAGTGAGGAATTTACAATTACAAGCATGTAAATTGTTAAGTAAATATACTGTAAAAGGCTTTCCAAGCCACACAAAGATCTCCCAGAATAACAAAAACTGTCCGCTGTTTTCCTTCAATTCCTTTGCTTTCTGAGTATTAAATTTCTCCTGGAAACTAATCTCCACACACAGTCAACAAATTGCAACTCTGACAAGATTTTCGATTTCAAATGTGAAACAAAGCAAACCATAAGCTTAAAAATTTGGTTTTATCGACTGTTTTCACTTGATAATGTAACTTAGTCACTGTAGTGGAGAGTTTCTAAAGTTGATGTTTTGAGTACTAGCCAGAGATTTTAATAAGTGAAACCAGAGATTTACCCACTGGAAACAGCCTTGAGTTCACTGGATAATGTAACTTGGTCACAGGAAAGAGTTTCTAAAGCTGCCATTTTGAGTGTAAGCCAGAGATTTTCATAGGTGAAACCAGAAATTTTCCCTCTGGAAACAGCACTTTATATTTGAGTTTGGTCCTTGGAAAATTTCCATATTATTGTGCAGGAAACGAAACCGCATCAAAAGGTGAAATAGAAGACCAAGGAACATGCACTGTACACATGCATCAATATCCAGCAGGCTACAATGAATAATTCACGTAGAGAATCTTAGGTGTATCATCTTGACACCTCTTAGGAAGACACAAATTTTTAAAATCCTTTAAAATAAGGGTATGTTGACTCATTGATGTTGACAAGCTAACATTACTCACAATCAGTGTAATATTAAGTCCACTGAGGAAAAGTAAATTATCATTTAAATGAAGCTTGACAGATCAGCTATCTTAGCAGTGATTAACTAATTTGATGGAGTAAAAGTTATATGTCAAGGAGTAGCAGACGGTTTACTACTTTAAAAATGATTAAATTAGTGAAAACGGATGTTTTGGGGCAGTGAGCCGAGTTGTTTACAGTGTATGTTGTTGATCTTCAAAGATGAAGATATCAAAAATGTGAAGTTAATTAAAGAGGTTTATTAAGAATGGTTTGCTAAGTTTCACCTTAACCCAATTTGTCAAGTTAATTTTGACATAGGGAAGAAGTGTCAAGTCCTCGTAGATTTTATTGGCAAGGAAGAGTGTTTTGATCCTTAGGCAATATGAATGTAAAGTAATATTTATTGAAAAGTGAAATTTAGAGAACCAGACAGAATAATTAGTCTTCTCTTTGTTCTACTCTACAATAGAGTTTAAGCCATGGGATTACGAGCTATTTTTAATTTCATGATACAAATTAATGCGCGCTGATATGAATGCTGCTTTGGGGAATCAGGTTTCAAAGTAAATAATTTTTCTTAGAGAAAAACAAAAAATTTTGTGGAAGATTCAAAGCATGACCAACGGCTGCAAGGAAGACTGCCTATAAGTCAAGTATATTTTTCCTTTGGGTCATGCGATCACAGCACGTTAGATTGGTAAAACTCCAAGATTTTCTCACTCGAAATCTCATTAGCACAGTTGGCGACCTAAAGAAACGGCGAGTCTAAATCCGGAAAAAAATGCGTCCTTGTGGGATAATTTGGTCTTTTTGAAAAGGAAATAACATCAATAAACAGAATCCCTCGTACATAAATACGCTTACATGCTAATGACGCATTATTATAATTTGTTCGCGAGCGACAACTTTAATTTAAATTTTCACCTATGACATTCGATTTTCCCAAATATGGAAGCAAAATTCTCCTCCGGATGATAAAAATTCTGTAATCGGAGGGACAAATCAATGTAGTGAGAGGTTATCCCCTTTGGATGTTTGGACAAACAACTCATCCAAAGGTTTAGGTGTATTAAGAAAAAACAGTGCACTTAGGTTTAAAGGCCAAAATGTATTTGGTGCCAGAGGCATGTTTTTTGTGCGATCGAACGTTCTTCACACGAGAACCTCGACAATAAAATATTAACATACCACCACGCACCAAACGCTGAAAATGTGTGCGATCGATCTCTAAAAAACTTATCGCCGAAAGCACGAAAATAACCTTACAGTACTTAAGTGCGGAGCGTAAAATAACCAGAACATTAGACACAAACTTGCACTAAAGGATTTCATTCACGGTCACATTCTGATATGTATACAGCTGACAAAAAATATTGCACACTTGTCTCCAACAACTTTCGCTCACTACTAAGTTTTTAAAATCAGTGGAGCTAGAGTCATTTTCAGGAATACAGCAAAGAGAAAACGAGGCTCGACGATTATCCTGTAAAGTTCCTTAGAAAATCGAACGTAGTCGATGTAAAAGGAATTCTGTCATCCGTTTGAATTCAATCGGAAATATATTACCAAGTCCTTCATTTGTCTGCCAGCCATAACGAGGATACAGAACTACGAGATCTAAATTTAATGCGCAAATGTTCACGAACTATACACGAGTGTCACACATTGTACAAACATAAAACTCAGGCTTTTGTGAAATCAGAACGTACGCGAGACCACAAACGAACATGAAAATACACAATTAGTGTTGGACGAGGCACCGCTGAGCGAAACGGAAATTTACAACTCGTGCTCAAACGCTTTAAAGAAACTTAAAAATTGCATATTGCGACAACAGAGGACCAAGGCTACGGTCCATTTTTGTAATTAAGAAACAACTAGAGAGACTCCTTTAAAGAAAAAAAAAAGCAATACTTGCATTGTACCTCCCCAGCGAAGCGGAAGACAAAATGACATTTCATAGCAAGAGAATTCTACTGAAAGTTTCAAGCAGTGACTCGAAATACACTGGCTTGTAAAAATCGATAAGAGGAGTAGCTTTATCCACTAGAATTCTAGAATAAGTCCTTACCCATTTCAAAATATCCTCTCTTCACTTGCTGAAAAATTTCAAGAGTCCATGAACTCTACATAACAGACGCAATTGTTAAGATTCCCTCCGATGATGTCTGAGAGATTCGAAGACTGTTTTCCTGTGGCGTGAGCAAAATCGCATTTTCGTTACACAGTGATAGAGATACCCTTCTTCATTCTTTTCGAGATAATAGATACACGCTTGCAGCGGGACATTTCAAAGATCACTTGTTGACAATAGCAAGACAAAATATATACAAAACGAAATCTACAGCGCTTACCTTTTCTATAGAAACCCGCTAGCTGAGTGTCTTGTGTGCGCGCCGTTTTAAGAAACATGCGAAGATGTGTTCAAAAGGGAAATATCATACAGCTGCGTTTTTCTAGTTGTCCATCATCAAACGTCAGGTATCGTTCCCAAGTTACTAATGTCAGTGCAGGCGAACTTTAATTTCATTGCAAGTGTGGGAAAAACAGCGAAGACCTTCTGAATCGTCGATCAGGGAAATTGAATACATTCTCATCCCCAGGTTCCACTGAATTATGCCTAGGACGCCTTGTAGTTTATTGCAAGGTTTTCGGGTTATCTTCGTCTATAATCGTGAGGTTTCGGAAAGTTTTAGAACAATCTGTTCACCAATTGTACTTTTATAGAACGGGCAAGGTAAAACGCTAAAAAGTTGAAAAGGATAGTGTTTTTCTTTTAATTTTGTTTTTATTCTTGGGTCTTGACCATGTTATTTGAAGTCTGCTCATCCCAAAGTAAAATTTTCTATTACGTATACGTGCGTAATAACTTTTTGGAAGACCTTTTCAATAACGGAAAACTCACTCAACCTTGCACTTTCGTTTTCGATTTAAAATTCATTTCCTTTGAAGAAATCCGCTGACAGAGGCAATTTCAATGAGATGTCTGTGATTTATGGCAGCGAAGATCTAAACTTTTTTCGGCTCACAAAATGCGTTCATGATTATTCGACGGCAGCACTGAGAAAAGTGTTCATACAAGAATGGAATAAGATTTATGCTTCCTCTCCATGGCAAAATGACACTTCGAGCGGATCACAACTGTTAGCGGAAGAGATGCTACCGCATCACTCTCGACTTTTTGATCCGGTGTATTGTAATGATTACCGAGATGTCAAGAATCATTTGTCCAACGGGAACATCGAAACTTGGGACATAACTACACTAGTTTTTGCTCTAAGTTACTCGCACGCTCTTGGTCCCACTCGAGGCACAGTCTACGGGAAGAGAATTTTAAAAGCTATACATCAAATTCGAAGGGTTAGAAATGCAATGTCGGCGCACGCTGCAAGAGCATCGATATCTCACGCCACATTCAAGACAAGCGTGATGACTTTAATAACAGCTGTTCAAGGCTTGCTTTCAAAATCTGATCCGATTGTTGAAAATCTTCAGCAAATGCTGACTGAAAGGGAATTCAACACGAACGAACTTCTAAACTACAAAAAATGGTTGAAAAACGAACGTGATCACTCGCGGTCGCTTGAAAGGGTTGTGAAAACATTAGAAGAAAAAATTGAAGAGAGACCTGGGCACAAGAGGAAAACTCCACGGGATGAGACTAGGAATTTAAGTTCAGAACACCACAGAAGGAACGACGCCAAACAATTGGCTACGACTTCTATTGATCAAGTGCCTTCAAGATGGAAACTAAAAATTTTCACCAGGGGAAGGTACATCAGACTGATAGATAAATCTAATTCATTATCTTTCAATTTTTGCTGGGAAGATCTCGAGAAGTTTTTGCAAGGATTTAGCGGCGATAGGGATATAGAAATATTTGCTAAAATCCAAGCAGCTTGCGCGCTCAACCAGCGCTCAAGAAAGGAAGACTCGCTGAAGATGCTAGATGGCCTGAAGTCCTCTTGCGGTTTCAACAGAGAATACGGGTATGTGCGTTTAAGCATGAAATTTAAGAAATTCACATCTATGCTCATATATCAGTCAGCAAAACGAGGAACGAAATTAAATGGCGGAGTGACATGAACGAGGGGGGCCTGGGAAGGGTTATACAGCGAAACCACTGCTCAGTACCGACGCGCCGTTTGATAATTTCTCTCCTTTTCACTAACTGAACGGCTAGAGTGACACCAGAGCAGCCCAAGGTAATACTTAGCCCTTTATCTCCCAAGATCTGATCGTTAATTCTCCCCTTTCGCTGCTAAACACTTCTTTGTAAATAAGTTACGAGAATTTGGTGTCAGATCGAGATAAAAACTTCAACCCGATAAGTTTCCAGTGAGAATGGAACACTAAAACAAAACAACCAATCAGATTTCAAGAAATTTTTTAGAGCAACCTATCAAGTTGCAGGAAAATGCAAGACAAAAAGGCCATTGTAAAGCAATTTCGCTACTGTAACGAAGTCTCCAGAAATCAATAGAACATTGATTAACCATAACGCTATCGCATAAGCTGAGCTAGTAAATAGTGTTTCAGAAAATAAGTATGATGTAATCGGCTACTATAAATAAGGTCCGAGGTCGTAAGGTTTTCAGAAGTTTAAGATAAATAATAAGTGTTTGAAAAGGAAAACAAGAATCTTCTTTAGGCTTCTTGACACTACTCCCGTTGTTCTGTTAAGAAATTGCGGCTGTTGACCAAAATCCAGTATTATAATTATTGAATTACGTGGTCTCAGTATGAATGTAAAGACGTGTCGTTCAAGTTTATTCCGAAATCATTCTTTAAGTATCAAACTAATTATAACTTGATCTCTTCATTTACCATTATATCGTTTATAAAAACTAACAAGGGGAATAATGAACGCATGATGATCGCACAACATAGGCTATTAAATGTACTCGTATTGTAATTTCGTACAGCGTACTAGAACGTAGTTATTTCCTTGAATGATTAATTTTGTTTTAATTTTTAGGTTTTTAGCACATGCAAGGATAAGAATATGTGTGGCATTCGTTTTACATGACATGGGAAACGACGACGAAGCAATGAGAGAGGCTGACGAAGCACATAAGATGTTAAGAGATGGGGAATGCTTTGAGGATTTTGTAGAGATACACAACGTGAAAGCAAATATCATCTTATCTAGAAGCAAGAACAGCACAGAAGATCGCAAACTCGTTCTTTTTCATTTGAACAGTTCACTCGATTTTTGCGGGAAAGTCTCAGTTGATAAGAGTGTTACCATGGTACAAGTGACAATGCGCAAAGCTCTGGTTCATTTAGGTTATTATCAGCATGGTATTGCCAAAGAAGTGTCAAAATCTGACGTTGATGTCGCCGAGACTGTTTTGAGCCGTATTTCATCTCGACAAATCGAGAGATTGTCCGAGAGAAGCAAAATTTACTACAACTATTGTCAGGCATTGCTTGCCTTCAGGAAAGGTGATTATGAGAAAGCAAAGAAATTGGAACAAAGAGCAAGACGAAAATGTGAGCTGCAGTCTCTACATAACGAGATACAACAGCTTGATATGCTGAGAAGCCTCTTCAGTGAACAAGCGGAGGAGATAACGAGTGAGGGAGCCAACATATCCGGATAACGAGCGACTAGATTTTCAATGAAGAGTGCACGATAAACAGATAACCGCCCGAACATAACCGACGTGCGAACGAACTTCAACGAACTAGAGACTGCCTCGTGCCCAGACCTCTCCCTGCTGAAAAAATGGACGTACATTCGTGAACCGCCTGTGAAAGAGAATGGGTTGACGAACTAAAAAAATAAAAAAAAATAAAAAAAACACAACATACATAGCTACATTGATAAAACTGATTTCAAAATTTTTCCTCTAAACACAATTATCCCCGCCATCGCAAATATAACCTCACTACCATAAATCAAACTCAGAAATGGTCGTTCCATCAGATTTACTGAATTCTTAAAACATTATGGCCAGTTTTTTCATAATCCGTGACTGCATTGGTGTGGCTTTCCTTCGCTCTGTGATTGCTCCTGAAAACTGACGCCACTCTCTCAACCAATCAGAAGCAAAGCTAAGAACAACCAGGACTTGGCCGCCCGCGTTTTCCCGCGCTTTGGGCAGCTCTCATTGACTCTTCAAGGTATCTTCTGATTGGATGCTGTAATTACTTTGGTTTTGATTTTACTAAACTCAATCGAAAAACTTTCTAGACTGATACTATTGATTAACCCTCTAAACCCTAAGAATGACTAACATCAAATTTCTCCTACAATATCACCCCTGACTCACACACTGAGGTCACAAAAATAGAGGAAGTGATCACCAACAAAAGAAGCTTTTGATTGGTAAACAAATTCTCCATGTCAGCACCTTAGGAAATGTATAAAAAACTGTAAGGAGAATATTGTTATGGGTAATTGTTGTTGCTTATAGAAATTTCCAGACTGTTGAGTCATGCTGACTTGCATAACGAAGAACTTTCCAGAACATTTTATCAAGTTACGTACTTATTATGTAATACTAAAATAGTTCTTAAGTAAGCTTTTGGAATGATTCAGAACACTTTGTGAATATATGAATAAAGACTCGCTTATGTAGTAGAAAGTAGATGTTATCATTGTAGCGACGACTGTTTTGAAAGAGTTGATGCAGAGGATTGCTTGTTTCAAAGGACTTTGGAGACAGCAGTGAGATTTTGTCAGTGGTGAGCTAAGATATAAACCGTTTTGCGCTTAATTAAGTTTATTAACGATAAGTATTGTATTACTTTGAAGAGTCGCTCCTTGTTAAGAACATTACTCGCTGTTTAATAAAGTAGTTGAGTTCGTGGAATTGTAGCGTTTTCCTGTCTGTAAATTTAAACCGTAACAATATGCATACTAATGTTAGGTTGGATAAGATAATAGCTGTCAATAGTTATCCACTTGGACGCACGGATATGACCACAGTCCAGCATAGATCACCGTTCAACAATCGTACCAGGAATACATTTTCTTTGTGCGATAGTTAACACAAGTTATCATACTATGACTAATAGACAAGAGTCTAAGGAAAATTTTTTACAAGTTGTCCCAGCAACCTTAGCCATGCCTTGAATAAGAAGCAGTGTTACGTGCATATATATTTATACATAAAGGGGGTAAGTTTCTAAAGAAACTGTGGTGCTGCGTCGTTAGGAGAGTATAACAGGTAATTTAGTGTTAACAACTGAGTTGAAAACGTAAATTGACTACTGTGAAGAGTTTAATGGCTGACGCTTTGAGCGTTAGCCCCTCGTCTACAATCGCTCTGACGAAGAGCTGACGCTCGAAACGTCAATCTTTCCACTCTTTACGGTGGTCAACTTACGTTTTCAGCTCAGTTGTTAACACTAAATTACATATATATATATATATACATACGTCGATTTCGAGTGCTTACGCATTTAAGCTTCCAAATCAATGTCAGTATCAGAGCAACTGAGCACCTAACCCTCCGCCCTCAACACAACAACAATCAACTAATGACAAGTTACGATTAATGTAGAGTTAGGGGAGGGGGTTGGTGCAAATTTGCTCAGGCACGTCTACAAGTGAACTAGTACAAAGCAACCCAACAATTGCAACCCAAGGAATTAATCAAAAAAAGGCGAAATTCGTTAACAAAAAACAAAAACGTTTCGAAACACAAATCATTAAAACTAGAAACTAATAACGAAAAAGACTTAAATAAAATTACGTAAAAAGGGAGAGAAGACTGAAAGATGTTCTGAAATGACTTAACTTTGAAATGTAAGTTTTTAATGATAAATGAACGCAAAATGTGAAAAACAGCGTTTAGAATATTAGTTTGCGAGACGTATAAAATAAAATTTTTGAAAAATCAACGCTGAACTCTGATATAATTGTGTTTTGTCCTTAAAAAAATTCAAAACTAATATTACACTCAAATATAATTATACGTACGTATTAAGTAAAATTAGAATACTTTCAAGATGGTATCTTTTCAAACGGTCCCCGAAATAATTCAATATTTATCCATTTTTTTGGAGTGTCGCTGGATTCACAAAAATTTAACCCAATTATACACAAGTTAGGCTTCTATGAACGAAATAATAATAAAAATAATATTATTAATGATAATATTAAATCAAAAAGTATGGATTTAAATATTAGTTAAATATTGTTCCATTAATTTGTACGAAAAATTCTTTTCAATTCCAGTATAGACTTCAGGATCGTTAAGGAACAGCTAGCTAAACTTCTGATTTCAAAAACTGAGCTGCCCATTCAATGGCTACTATGGTGTCTGATAACTCCTCTTTCACAACCACCCAATTCCCATTATGTGGGCCATTGTTGACCGCTTCAACTAAGGCGTCGTGGAGGCCTGGGAACGTGGCACTTGCGTAAGAGTTGTAGAGACTAGGGGCGAAAATTGAATGCCTACGAACAAAAGAATAAAGACGTTATTCAAACACTTGGGCCGCAAAGAAATAAATGAAAAGGACACAAGTACTACAGACAAGCGCTTGCAAGCGGAGGCCCTTACGCGAGAAATAATGCCTTCAATTACGCACATGTGCCCGCCTTCTTTAACGCGTGGTAAAGACGTGCTTGACGCACGCCAGCGAAAAGACTATCACAGTACCTAAAGAGCAGTATGAGGAGTTCACTTGTTCTAATATTGAAAACATTGAGTAGGCCATATCAAGGAAGTAGCAGTCATGTTATTTAGCAAAACTTTGAATTCCTAACAGACGAAAGAAATATTTCCTAAGCTCGCGATTGCTAATCCACCATAATTGACTATAGCAAAATAAAATTCCTTTCTACCAGTAATTGGGCGTACTTTGCAGCGCAACCTTTCAGAACTTGAGGAAAGTCAATAGAAGATTGAGATGGTCCAACAAAAGTGAAGGATGAACATCGATAGCGATAAGATTTGTCACAAGATCCCGTAACGAAGATGGTCTCACGCATTCAGGGTCTTAGAGTGTCAAGTAGTTTGTCACTTCTTGCCTGACGGACTCGTCCAATCGCAACGTCTGATTTTATTACCACTCACCAGTAAAGAGGCCTTCCCGGCAGTCCTTCAGAGTTAAGGAAGTTCTTTTCCAGTCCTGTCAAACGGTCATTGATAAAGGAAAGCTTCCATGGGCTTGAGAAGAAAAGATAAACAAGGCGTACTGATCAGCATCGGAGAGTTACATTTACTTTTACGAACTATTGGGCTGATTAGCCTTAAACTAGAATGTTCCATGGAAAGATCTGATGGGCTTGTGAATTCTTGACCTAAGGCTGGTTGGCCTGTGACTTGGATGTCCTTAACCCAACAACTTTTGCTCCAACAGGGTTTCTCTTTACAAACATCTTGTGCATCTCGCAGCGTTGTTATTAATTTCGTCAGAGCCTTGGAACACGGGTTCAGGCGAAAAGCTTGAAGTTTGAGCTTGTTTTCTAGTTAAATTTTTGATTTTGTTTTGTTTTTGCGTTTGCTTTTTATTTTCAACCTATCAAATGGCACATTTGCTGAAAATATGAGAGAGGATTGTAGATAGAAATAATAGAGATAATAAGTTTCTGAGCTCGGAGAGAGGATTGCCTCCCTTTGGAACATAAATTAGCTCTGAAAAGCCGGACATTACTTAGGGACAGGGGGAGGGGAAACTTACTGCGATGGACTTGCATAATCTCCAGAAAGAGTAAAAACTCTACTAAACATTTTTCTTTTAGCACAGAAAAAAGAATTTTTTTAAATCACTGCATAGGAAATAAATGAAGTAGACATACGATACATCACTTTACACTTAAGTGGTGGTGCGAAACTCTCCTATGCATTCCATGGCAAGGACAATTAATTCTGCACTATTCGATCGAACCATAGCCTACCAACATACCCTTTTAACGGAGAGAAAAGGAGTTTTTACTTACTCATTGAGGTCTACATTGGCGATGAGTGACTGCATATTTTCAGCTCCATCTTCAAACTCTTTGACAGCCTTCTCCAAGTATTCTGAAACGAATAACAGAGTTCAACTCGAGGAAAATTTCCGCAATGGAAGTCCTGAGAATCCCTTGAGAGTCCAACAAAATTTCTGGCCTTTTTCCTGAAAATTGCGCCATGCGAAAATAGACCAGTGTGAAGCCTTTCACAGACGACCTACACTTGAACTAAAGCGGGGAACTGTAAATTTGAGTAATTTACAGTGAAGTGCTCAGCCATAATATAGGAAATGAGGGGAATAAATACACTGATTTCTCAAAGTATATAGAGCTAAAACAAATTTGCCTTGGTCAGTCGTGTTTCCCGCGCTTAACGCGCTTTCCTTGTTTTCATATCAGGCTCCTATTGGCTCTTTTTTATTATTCACCTTTGTTCTGGTTTGCCAATACGATAAGTATGGTTTTGTTTTCTCGACAATCAATTAAACAGGAGATTAACGCTTTATTAATGTCAAGTTTCGATCGCAAAAGATAACTTCCTCCACGAAGTACTGTTATGCATGAAGTACGATTATGCTCTGAAGTACTATTATGCTTTGATCGGCTGATACGCCCCATCAATATGTTTGTTTCGCTTTTTTTTCTACACGAAACGAAAGATGTTTGAAAGTCTCAATATTACAAAAGAGATGGTTAGCGTGCAGCGAGCAACCATCGAGTTATGGGTGCACGCGGGAGGTTGCTAAGCACGAAAGAAGCGTAAGAGTCGCACGAGGCGATAGCCAAGTGTTACTCTAGCATCTTAGGTGTTTAGCAACCTCCCGCATGCATCCATAACTCGATGATCGCATGCTACAGGCTAACCATTTCTTAATTCACGCTCCAAATAAAAACCACAACAGATATCACAATGTACGTACTTACTTAGAGAAATTCCTTTTTGTTTGAGAGATTTTCCATATTTTGTATTTATGTCGTGAAAACCTTTGTTAAGGGCAACGGCGTAGTCCGAGCAGTTGATTGGCAGCACAGGAGTCTCAGCCAATAGGAATGCAGTACTGACCCATATTCGTGCGATAGCTAAGTGGGTTGTAAACTGCGGATCCACGAACTTCTTGACGTAGTAGAAAGTATCATGGATACTGTGATATGTCGGGTACGCAGAGATGTTATGAAACTGGTACTAGAAAAAAAAATTGAGGAAAGGAATTGATAAAGAAGAAAGGCAACATTCTTGGTGGCCTGAGTTCCTAAACGGGGACCGTTTATTCTGAGTCGCAAATCAAAGTCGTGGCTGTAAGGCGCATGTGTAAATCCAATTTTCTTTTTTCAACAGGTAGGCTTCAATAAAGTGAAATGCATGTATAAACACTGAGCGGAAGAGACAGAATATTCCACATATTTTTTTAAATGCCTTACACGTCTTTCCAATGGAAAATTCCACACGGAAATGACATTTTCAAGTGCAATAAGCTTGCGAGTATGCGCCGATATGCGTCTAGTTTAAACTAAGTAGTGCATACCATGTCAAAAACGTATCGGATATCCGCTGAAGGGACTCCAGCTCTTTGACAAAATGGAGAATAGTCACTGCCAGAGCCAAGAGGAGGAACCCTTGGAACAAAAAGATAAAGGAGAGATGATCAGACCGGAATAAACAGAAACGTTATGTCACTTCACAATAGGAAGCTTAACCAATCACGACGAAAAGAACGAAGAAGACGTCAACTAAACGCGGGGGGACTTGAACAAGAACGTCGTTTTCGGCGAAAAAATACTACGGGACTACAACTGGTGGAGTAACACGGTTCCTGTAGTATGGGGCGATTTGGGGGTATCGCTACTCCTCCGGGGTGGACTGCTGATCCATAGCAAGTTCCCCCACCCCCAGCAATTCGTCATGTTTCCCTGAAAATTTGCTGGTACTTGGATACCATTACGCAAAAAGTAAATACAAAGTACATAAGGGGGCGAAATTTAATTCATGTAAACTGTTACTTACTTTGGATTCAGCCCATCTGCAGCTGGAAATTTATCCAGCCAGTTATCATAAACCGATTGTCTAATATCAATAGGATTTTTCACCTGAAAGAGAAGAGAGGAATTATCTTAAATTTTACTCTTGTACTGTGGCAGTCTCTTCATCGAAATTCCTCAGCTATACCACGACCCTCTTTTCCAGTAAGTTTAGGGTTCTAAGCTTAATTGGTGGAAAGAAATTCTCCCCTAAAAAGGCCATAAACGATCGATGTTTTAAACCGCCATTACAACCTGTATGTGCTTAATCGCTCCCAAGATCTGTCTGATACATAGCCTTAGAGAGTTCTCATTGGCCCGGCCTTGTTTTTGACAAACACACATGTCAAAAACTTACCTGTTTTGAAGCGTTAAACAAAACCTGGTGCAAGAGAGGGCTGGCTCTAACATAAAGGCTGTAGTTTCCTAGAGAAAAACAAATGACAAAATAAACATGTCAACAAAAAAACGACCCTAAAACTGCGGCAAGTCATTCCTTGTCGAGCTTGCAGTTTTTAGATAGGACCCTAGAGGAAAGGTGTTATTTTTTTAGCGTTTTACGGTCGTGTAGAGGCACGCGCGAGGCGAGTGTAAGGAGAGCGCAAAAGACGAGACACGCGTGTCAAGGGAAGTGCTGGAAAAAAATGTCCCTTCCTCTCTCTTCGCGTTTGCCTCGCGTGCACCGTGGGTTCTCCTCACTTTCACTACGCGTTCGACTCGCGCTCACCTCGCGTTCGCCATGCGATTGTCTCCATTTGTCTGAATTTTCGTTTCAAGTATTTAAGCCCAGGTATCAGTCCACTAAACTACGTACACATGTACATTCACGTGGGTCTTACCTCTAATGGGAGAATCAACATTCAGGTAAGCCACTGCTCTTTGATAAAGTAAGTGAACGTTGTCCTAAAAGACAAAAATTGTAGCACGTTACTAATGATAACTAAAAGTGTATTTACTCTGAGACACTCCGAGCCAAAGAGAACTAAAATCTGCCTGAAGCGCTTGAAAACGCAAGTCACCAGGTTGCAACTGGCCCAAGTACAAAAAAAACACTGTTAAATTGATGACTTTTAAGGCTTTTTGAATTATATGAAACAGCTCAAATCAGACTAATTATTCAATGGCAAGACATCTGTTGTACAAACCTCAACCCACTCTGTTGATCCCAGGAGACCATACTCCTCGCCTCCCCAACTACAGAGAACAATAGATCGCCGTGGTCTCCACCCTGAAAGACGAGTCAGACACCAATTTAGTATTTTAACTTCAAAGATCTTCTGATTGTTAATTCTCTCCTCTACCTGATACACATTTCCTTGTTAAGTAGTTACGAGAATTTGAAAAGAGATCAAGATAACAACTTCTGCATGATAAGTTTGAGTGTTCTCCTTACCTGTTACTGGATAATGGACGGATAAAGTAGGAAGAGGTTACATGTCAATCACTTTTGGGAGTTAAAGGCAAGCTATATTTCATTTAGTTCGGCTTTTTGCGGCTTCGGTCATTCAGGTTGTTGATAAAAGGCGACCCTTCACAGAATATCAGACAAGATACACGCACGCACACAAATGCAACGATTGCACGCTTAAACAACAGAGGGGACTTTTAACACGCTATCTGCGTGTAAGTTCTGTGCCTCGTTGGCTTTCAGTTATGGCTTGACACGATTTCAACGAAAGACCGCGTTCCAGGTTTGCATAGAATATTGCGCGACACACTGACAAGTTGATCGTGTGAAATCACAGTACGCAGCCCTATGCGCCTTCAGATTGGTTCTTTCTTATGATCTATTGGAAGACAGACACATGGACGACGGCACCATACACAGTTTTTGCGTCTCTTTAACGTAAAACAAATAGATTCCATTTTGCCGTGCGTCTGTCCAGTAATAGATCACAGAAAATGGCAACTTGTGTTTAAAACATCAGCGACACACTCGGCTTCGCCTCATGTGTCAATTTTGGTTCTAAACACATTTTGACGTCATCTGTCCAACAGACGCACGGTAACATGGAACATATTTTGTCTTGTCACGAGCGTGGTATAACCTTTCTGCACTAAAGAACGCTATCAAGTTGATTCACCTTGTTTGTACTTATTCCCCAGAGCTCTGGCAATCTCCATCAAGCAGGCGGTTCCACTGGAAGGATCAATTCCGCCAAACACCCAAGCATCTCTATGGTTACCTAACAATACCAACCTGTCTAAGAATTGAGATTAAGTTCAGTTTGAACGAAAACGATTTTTATAGCAAAAAATTTAAGATCTCATTTAGGATGAAGTCGACAACCTAGTTTCCTACAGCAGTCCAGTTCTGACCAGCTGTTGTACAACGTTGAGCAGCTGCTGAGTACGAAAAAAAAAAACTCTGCCTGCTCTACAGAGCTGAATAACGTTTGCGCATGCGTTTAGCTTTGGCGCAATTTGATTTTGCGTCTGTAGGGTAGGTTAAGTGAACCCAATATTAGTTATGAGTAGTTTTTCATCAACCTCTCTCAAATACCTGGTTCAAGTGATCCTTTTAAGATGGCAATGACGTTGGTAATGTTCCTCTGCGTGTGGTTGTTGTTGGTTTCCACTTCCACTTTCCTGTGTAATCACACAAACATAAATTTATCATGTATGTAACAGAGAAGCTTCGGTTTGTCTCATAATATCCAGTTCAAATACAGTGTCACTGGTGCGCTGTGCCAAGTTTATCCAGTGCAACATTGGAGTTCCTGTGATAATACCACTAGCTCAAACAAAAAACAAACATAAGAGGACGTATGTCAAAGGTATACTTTCAAATTATTTGAAAAAGCAAGTAATATTTTGGTGCACAAGAGGTTTCATCTATTTTATTCTGTAATGGTTCTTCATGCTACAGTTGAGCCACACCTCAAATTTTGCACCCTTTGAAATTAAACTTCCAAACCAAAATTATTTTTGCATCACCATTCTGTTACCAGTGCCATACTAAAACCAATACACCTTGTTCCAACCATTTCATTAGAAAAGACTGATGTGGATGAACCTTTGTGTCCTTCTGCTGGTTAATTTGCACCACTTTTTACTACCTAAATACCTAATACAGACTCTTTCACCCTCTAACTCCTTAAGTGATTTGCATCTGATTTCTCCTAACAGTCTCACTGCTATATCAAACATTAAGGGCATGAGAATATAGGAAATGATCACTGACCAAAGAAACTCCTGATTGTTTTAAAAACAGACTTGCCTTGTCGTTACATTAAGAAATGAGTGGTCAGAGAACAATGCGAAGAACATGCATACTGATGCTAGGGTGTGAAGGATTAGTTTAAATAAGACCTACAGCTGACTTACCAGTCACTGTAATTACTGGTAAATCCTGGTCCCAGTCGATAAGTGATTTGCAATCCACCTTGCCAGTCATCAGGGGCCTTATCTCCTCCAAGCAGGCTATAAGAGTCAGAGCAGGTAAAATCAAAAGAAAATACCATTAAAAAAGTGTGTCAAACCATAACTGCCACCTAAAATGGCCCTCACTAGTCCACTACTTAAACTTCATACACCAGAATTGATGATGAAAATTTGCACAGTTATTTAAATACCATCTTTGAAATTTGTAAAGTTACTGTTACAGTAGCAATTTCACAGTTTTGAGTGGAAGTGGATGCTCAACTCCACCTGTAGATTTTTCTCAAAGGTTGGTGAAAACTTTGTGGAACATGGGCCATACTAACTGAAAGGATAGTTCCATGCTTAAGGTGCAATTTGCCAAAACAACATGGCATCTTCAGAAATACATGGTCACATATACTACCTCTTGTCAGCCTTCTACTTCCAAACTTGCTAACAGCCCTTATAATCTACCTGCACATAGGTAGTTATTGGAGAAACTGGATAACAAGTCAGGTTTGACAAAAATCTCAACAGACCTCAGAAAGTGTTCTGCATCCTCAGCTGAAATTGGATGAGCAGGAATATATGGCATTTTGATTTCATCTGAACTTTTCCGATAAATACCATCTGTTAAAAAAGCCAAAAACTGTTTTTCACATTTGTGGAGTAATATTTTAATCAGAAACCCAGAGAGGGTTAAAACAATCTCAGGTTAACCCTTTCACTCCCAGTTCAAATTTGTAATTCTCCTTACTGCCAGCCATACAATTCTTAAATATTAGTTCAAAGAATTTAGTATTAGATCAACTAATTATCTATTTATAATTAAATTGATATTTTTCTTTATTCTCATCACTTACTTGGTTGATATTGTATTGATATTGTAAGGAGAAATTCTGTCTCAATCACTCATGGGAGTTTAAGGGTTAAAAGAGGTGACAACAAAAAGAACAGAATGTTTGGACAAGATGGCAGTTTCGAGGGTAACTTGTTAAGCACTGGGCATGATCAGGGAGGGAAACAGTACTTTTTTTTAACATAAAAAGATTACTAATATCAGGGTTTTCAAAATAAGGCAGCAACCAGCGCATTGCACCACCTATTCTGGAAAATGCATTGGTTATTCCAAATACTTGTTGCTCCCGGAGCCCTTGCATGCGGTAAAGCCTTTGACTGCTAATGGCACCTACATGTACTTTGTATTACAGTCAACCATGTTACATAAATGAATACTAAGCTGTCACCTTTAGAAGGATATCTTGGAGTGAGAGGATCACCAGTGCCCATGAGGATTGAACCACGCTGCACCCCTGATCTTGGTAGCCACCAGCCATGCGGAAAAAGATCCTCATCTGAGACAGGTGCAAAATCATGAGGGTCATTGTATATCAGGATAGCTTTTGCTCCACACTTCTGTGCATTAGTTACCTGAGAATATGGAATAGAACTCAAATCAAATTAAGCAACCTGAACCCAGTATCTTCCATATAGTTTTCCATACTCATTATCATGGTATTATCTTTGAGAGAGCAGGAATTGTGTAATGGTAGGTAGAGATTGCATTACATATGTAATCGCAGGAGAATGGTGTAAAGTCATTGCACATAATTCTTCTAATCTAACTATAAAATAGCCTCTGCCTTGAAATTTACCAAGATAATTTTGCAGCATAACCAGAGAATTCTGTAGCCCTTGGGTAAGGGTGTCTCTCACCACTGTGACTTGGCTTTGAACCTTACACTCAATGTCACGAGTGGGTTAAGCTTATTACTGGTTTATACCTTGATATTTTTTCTCTGCGTTTTGTGGTTTCCCACAATAAGATACAATTCTAATCTAATAAGGTGCATGAGTGAGTGAGAAGAACCACTCTGTGGAGGTCTACTGCCAAATCCAATTCATTTATCTTTGAGTTCATTTCCTATTCATTTATTTATACACTGACCATGGATAAAAAAAAAAAACCAGCAATCAGAAAGTCAAGACTAAAGAAGGCGCAAAGTGGGAGGGGGGAAATTGTGCATGTTCCATGTACATCAAAAATAGAAATAATGCATCGTGAAAAATCAGATAAACAACTTTAAGGTTCACATATTGCAAAGAGCATAAAATTCATGTGGTTTTAATTTTGTAATTTCACAGGTCATGAGAATTAAAAGCAATTCCATATCAAGCAATAACCCCTTCCCCCTCCCCCTCACTGAACTAAAACCACTGGACCCACCTGGGTGGGCCTCACCACACTACTCACTGCAGGGTAATTTGGTTTTATCAACTGAGTTGATGACATAAATTCGCACACATAGAGTTTTAAAGCTGACAAAGGGCTGACATTCCAAATGTCAGCTTTAAAACTCTTTATGGTGGCCAAATTACATTTATCAAACCAGTTTAAAGGACTAAATTACCTTGTTATATTCTCCCACTGACATAGCATCACAGTTTCTATAGAAACTTACCCCCTTTATTTGCTATAAAGATTAGTTGTACAAGTCAAATGGCCTGCTTCTTATCAAGCCTTACACCCTGTATTGATCTGTTACCTTGTCACCTCTAAAGACACGCCCATATCTTGCGATGACAATCTTCCCAGAACAGTTGACATTCATACTTTGCAGTAGTTTAAAATCTTCACGTCTTCCATAATTGACATAAACCAAGTCACCCTGAAAGGCAATACAGATCAAACTGCATGTAAAGGTTATAGTGACATACATCAACCTAACCTTGTTTAAACTACAGTGTGGATTGCAATTACTTTTGATAAAAGCACAAGTTCTAGATTGTTTGGATGAGAAAAAAGGAATGGAGGAAAACTAGGTAATAGAATTTTGAAAAAACAATTCCTGCAAAAAGTGATGTGAAAAGAAAAATAGAAATTTTCTTGAATTGAACTGTTTTATAGAGTGCTATCCTGAGTTTACAAAAATTCTGGCAGGAACTTGTATCAAGACGAAAAAAAGGCTAAATAAAAGGAGTGAATAAACAACATTAAAGGGCTCCCTGTGCTTTTCCCAGTTAATATTTCTGGCAGTTTTTCTTGCATTCAAAGAAATCAAACAAGGGCCATACACTGATATACTGTAGATCTTATCGTGTACATGAAGCTACATGGGTAATTAGAGTCTTATTCTAATTGTCTACCCCACTGACATTTTTTTCATGAACATAAATGTCTGCTTTACCCTCCAGAAGCAGTGCTGTTCAAAAAAAATGTTCCACGCCTAATTCTAAGCAAAGTTTAAGAAAATAATGGCAAGAAAATTTTCATAAATCAGCCATAATTATACTTCATTTAACTAGCACAGTTTGTTACCTTTTCTTTGCCAGTAGGTGAATAGCCACTGAAAGGAGGCAATGCATTAGATGAATTTTCAGATTCCTCCATAACCTTCTCCTTCTCAGCAGTTTGAAACCTAACTGTTCCACTTCCATCATAAAGTTTGGCTCCATTAATTTTTCCTTCCACAGGGAAGGAGAGAAGAACATTATATTGAAGTAACTTGACCTCAAAGCCATAACTTTCCCATCTTTCCTTGATCCACTCCGCTAGTTCAGTATTTCTTTTAGAGCTCGCATGATGAGGATGAAGGGTCAAATTCCTGAGGGAAAAAAACAACGATCATGCTTTAAATCAGCAAAACTATGAGAAATAACTTTTTAAACCCTGATCGAATTCATTTGCAATAAAAGAAGGCTTAAGTCCGCCAATATGAACAAAACTCAGCATTTTTATTCAGATACTAACTTTGATGAGCTATATAAAACTATTTTATTCAGTGCTGATTAAAAAAATCCTAACAAAAATGTTTCTTCTTAAAGTCACTTAATAATATCTGTTTTTATTTGACTCAGTTTTTAAAGTCTCACAGCATGTTCATTTGTACCCTTGTGAGCTACACAACATTTAATTCCTGAATCACAATGGATATTTCAAGTGAGTTGGATTTGATTAACATACAAAGCACACTGTAAGAGTGAAGATGGTACACTTTTTTGTCATTTTATTCTACCAGATTTTTTTGCAGAAGTTTATTCTAAAACTTTGATCTTTAGGAGTGACTAACATCTAATTTCTCCATACAATACCACCCCTGAATCAAACATTAAGGTCATGAGAATAAAGGAGATGATCACCAACTAGAGAGGCTCTTGATTGTTGAACAAATTCTCCTTGACAAAACCCTTGGAAATGTCTAGGGAGAAGTATGGAGAATATGCATATTGATGTTAGGGAGTAAAGGGTTAAAGCTGACAGGGGACATTTCTGACCAAAACAACCGCAAGAATTAAAATGTAAAACATCTAAGCAAGGCTAAGATATGACAACATGAATGATGGCCTAAAAATGTATTTTCAACATACTTAAAAAATGTAATAATAATTTTTAACCCTTTAACTCCCAGAAGTGATTAACAGGTAACTTCTCCCTATAATATTCATACATTATCCAGCAAACAGGTAATGAGAATACTCAAACTTATCAGGTAGAAGTTGTTATCTTGATCTGACACCAAATTCTCATAATTAATTTACAAGGAAATGTGTAGCAGCTAGAGGGGAGAATTAACAATCAGATATTGGGAGTTAAAGGATTAGTAAGAATTTCTTACTGACTGGAAGTCGTTTACTTATAGGGAGGGAGGAAGGGGGATTTGACTCGCAAAAATGGAAAGGAAAAAACTCATTTGGGCCCAAGTCCATATTGATGTATTTTTTAAAGTGTATTTCTAGGCTCCATCAAAAACTGATAGGAAGATATAAACAAAATCTGTGAATAAACCGTGCAGAAAAAGCTGAAACCTGGCTGCACCTTCGCCTAGTCATGCACGAAACGTACATGTCAAGAAGGTGCCAAAAAAATAATCTACATGCTTCGTGCATCCTCGATATGAGTCTATCTGCTGACAACCCTTCCAGATCGACTACATCCTGTGTTACCTGCTGTGCGATAAGCAAAAATTTTTAAACACGCATTTTCATCGAAGTAGAGCGCGTCACAAAACCGCTTCCAACTCCGTTTCTGTGCATCACGCACAGAAACTAACTGATACACTGTAACAAATTTGCTTAGAGAAGAAACGATTAAAAATAAATTGATTTTTTCTCACCTGCTCTTATGAGAAAACGTCGATCTTTAAGCTTCAGTTAATCGTCAATTGATTGCTTTCAAAAGATGCAATAATGTAAATAGTTTGAACAAACCTTAAATTTCCTTCGATCTGATCTGCAGACATTTCTGCCAAGATATCCTGCAGTCGAACTTGCGAAGGTGCCGGGGACGACGGAACATCGCCACTGCCTTCTTTTTTACATTTAAATACAGTTTTTCGTATCATATACCCACCAATAAATGCCGCAGCTACAACACCAATTATTACTACAACGGCTGTTATTCGTATAACATTACACCGATTTTCCCCTTTATTTTTGAGAATTATCATGGGCTGCGCAAGGCTCTCCTCCTCAGGGTGTAGCTCCATTTTGGCATCGATCAGGTTAGAAGTGTCAAGCTTATCCATCAGATTACCCCTTTGTGGCCAAATTCAAAGAAATTTCAATTGATCCTGGGAATTTTCATCAAGACTGTAGGTTGCAAAGTCTGACGAAAACCAAATGTTATTGAAATTTGCGACCACGCCTTGTCACATATGGTTCGTTCTCGCGCGCCCAATCATGCATGCAATCGCAAATTTATCCAACATTGCACGAAATTATATGGTATTTAGATTTATCATGATTCTTTATATATAAGTGACTATTCCATTAAACACCCATCTTTTCTAATGCACGAGACTAGGCTTAGAGAGTTTTAGCGGCAAAATTTTATTTTTTCACTCTTCGGGGGCCTTCATGTCTTCTGGAACATATGGCGTTGATACATTGCCTAATTGACTCTTCATTTTAAACCAATCATTTCTCTAACTGTTAATCCCGATTAAGTGTAACACGAGAACGAAAAATTCATTACCAATATTAAGTTGTAATATGCAAAAACTCACATAGTAAATGAAAAAAGTCGAGATGTTTGAAATAACTATCTGAACCTTTTAAGGACAGTATTTCTCAATCTTAGTCTTCATTTAATAGAGGGAGATTCTTGCACTATGGCGGTTTAAACTGACTTCAAATCTTACAAGCGAGTCACAAAAGGTTTTTTATTATTGCCTTACCTTAAATTACTGTTTTACATTTTTATTGCGTTTAATTTTGTTCTATTCACTTTGTTGCCGGAAGAGTTGTATTAGAGAAAGAACTTTTTGTACATGATTTCCATGTTTTATTTATTTCATTCTTTCGTTTCTTGTTAATTTTTAATCACAAACGACCGACATTTCGGACGGCTGTTAGGAAGCAAAAATTTTCTCATGAAAAACGGACTTAAGGTTGGGTTTTCTATAACGATTATGGAACAAAATAGTGACAATATTAACTTTGTTGATTGAAAATTTTCTTTCGGGATTCTTCCTGGCTTATGGAGAAGATACATGAAGAAATTTTTGCTATTTAGAAATGAGTTATCTTTCATCTGCTTCAATTTACAATAAAATCTGTGTCCCTCAAGATATGGGTTTTATTCTTAATAATAAGTACATAGGTTATCTAATAGGACACCACTATGTTCGGCGCAACATTTTTTTTTAGTTTCTGTCCTTTGAAGTTTTTTTTTTCTTTTTTTTTATCTTCAGATAGGAGAGATCCACGTGCATGACAAAACGATGGATACAGTTTCTAACCCAAAATTTCAGAGAATATTTTAATTCCCTAAACAACAAGATGAAACACGTATCGCGGGAGCGTTTCTTTATAAAAACAAATTATTATCATTATCATTATTCATTTACTTTTATTTTACTTTTTATTTTTTAGCTCAAATAACTTGCTCAGCAAGGTACATCACGATCGTCTCATTTGAACCGGGAGGATTGGTGACTATCCGCGTCCACGAGAAGATTGGAAACCAATTTATCCGCGCGATATTTGATTTTTTTTAAATTACCCGGAAAGAGATTCATAAATACGGTGAGAATCTTTCGTATTGTTATACAGTTGTCTTTTATTTATCGTTAAGATGAACACAATTTTGCTTTTTTTCCTCCTCTTTGCTCAATTTCAAACAATGAAAGGTCGAACATTTCATGATTGCGTCGACACGATGATAAAAACTGTCGCCATAGACGCCATGTTGATTGCCGTTCTTGTTCAGTCGATAAACTATTTCACTCTGTTTTTCTATATACGATGAACTTCTGTCTCTGGATGACTTGCCTCTTTGAAAGCTATTGAGAACTGGGTATCCTAGAGTTCTGAGATTTCCTGAAAGCCCCGTTAAAACTTTGCAGGCATGAAACAATATAGCAGTGCAATTAAAAGCTCCAAAATTAAACCAATTAATACTAGCTGTGTCTTTCCCTGATATTTATTCGGTGCTTGACTTTCTTTAACTCTCGATCCTGAATGTAACCACTGATAAAGAAAAAGGCTCTTTCATCGGCAATTACCACTGCTTTTCAGAAACGTGCCCCTGAGCCCTTAAAGAAACTTGTGAGTAGAATCATCTTAGTTGGGATTTTACAGACATTACACTTTCTGCTACTGAATCTCTCTTAACAGGTATATGAGAGTGGTGGCTCCGGTAAATGGGATGCATAATGTCTAAAAGGACAGGCAGAAGAAGAAGAAACAACGCTAAACACAAGAATGAAGAATCGGCTACTGCCCTGAATGAATCAGAACACATATTGGATCTTGGAAAGTTTGAAGAGATGAAACGACCTCAACTTCAGACGTTATGCAAACGGTTTGGACTTAAAGCTTCAGGAAAGGCAAGAAATTATCCTTATGAATCTTTTCCTCTGTGGACCTAAAGTAACAGTTATATTACAGACAGTTTTCTCTTTATAGGTATAAGTAAAATTAAAACTTGGTGGGATAAAAGGGTGATTTCCTACTATAGATAAAAAAAATATTTCCAAATAGAAAAATATGAAAAAATCCCTGACTTTGTCCTTGTTACGAAATTATTTTCACCCCTTCAAAGTGAATGATTTTACTCTTAAAGTGTTAATATGCTGAAATTTGCATCTTCTTAATTCAATCTAAGTCTTTCAGTTGATAATACATCATTATAATACGAAATGCACACATATATGGAAAAGTCTGACTTCGTCCTCATTAAGAAATTATTTTCATCCCTGTTAAGTGAATGATTTATAAAAACTCTTAAAGTGTTACTATGCTGAAATTTACATTTCTTCAATTCAATTCATGATAATGCAAAATGCGCACAGGTCCAAGCCAATAGATGGCTAAACTTTGACAGTTTTGTTATGCTTATTGACAGAGCACACACTATATTTAACCCTTTAAATCCCATGATTGACTAAGACAGAATTTCACCCAATGATATCAATATCAAGTAGACAAGAATAAAGAAAAATATTAATTAGGGAATTATTAGTTGATCTAATACCAAATTCCTCGCAGCTAACATCAGAAGTAAGGAGAATTACTTGTGAGATCTTAGTGGTGAAAGAAGTGAAGACTAGATCATGAACAAGGTGTCAGCAACTGACAGGAGAGCTTTGACTCTATTTCTGTCTCTCCCTTGTCTCATTAGAATACTGAGCTTGTTGAGAGACTTAAAGAACATGTCAGCAACAACAACAACAACAACAACAACAATACAGAGGAACAACCATTGTCATCAAGTTCTCACCAAGAAACAGAGGAACCTGAAAAGCCAGGCAATGTTACCTTTGAAAAAGCTGACAGTCATGTACAGGAAGTGAATGAACCCAAAAAACTAAGCAATGTTACTTTTGAAATAGCTGATAGTCAAATTCCCACAGATGAACATGTCCATATTAGCAGTAATGATAGTAGTAGCTGTGACTCTCCAAGTAGTCGTGTAGACCTTCAAGCAGGTGACGTGAATGGGTGTGTCAACCCAGACAGCACAGTAGAAGCAAATGATCAAGCAAATGCAGAGCAAGCAAAGTCTAAACCTGATTTGTCTTCAAGCAGAATTTTGAAAGACCTGAACTGCATAGACCCATCTTCCACAGGTCAGTAAAACGATAAATGTGTAACAGCTAAAATTATTTGAAGTGACTCTAAAACCTAATTTTGCAACATATTTTCTATAAGTCCAATAATTAGAAACCCTGAAAATCTAGCTAATTTGGATAAATAATTACATTGTAGCATGAGAACCTGACATGTTTGAACCTACATGTGTGTGACTGACAGCATTCAGATAAAATTTTGCACATGCTATCTATAGTCTCATTTTTCCAAACTAAACCTTAGCACTAAGGAGTGACCCAAATCTAATGTCTCCTTACAATATCACCCCTGGATCACACAATTAAAGTCACAAGAATATAAGAGATTATCACAAAGTGAAGGAGCTCTCCAAAAAAATTCTTCTTGTCAGCATCTTAGGAAATGTGTGGGGAATGGTTCAGAGAATATGTATACTGATGTTAAGCAGGCAATTTAGTGTTAACAACTGAGTTGAAAACATTAATTAGCCACCGTAAAGGGTTAAAAAGCTGATGTTTTGAGCGTTAGCCCTTCGTCAGAGCCATTGGGTTAACACTCGAAACATCAGCTTTTTTACCCTTTACAGTGGCTAATTTACATTTTCAACTCAGATGTTAACACTAAATTACCTGCTATACTCTCCCACTGATGCAGCACCACAGTTTCTTTAGAAACTTACTCCTTTATACTGATGTTAAGCAGCAGAGGGTTGAAAACATGATTGTCTTACCTGTATCACTAAAAGATTTAAGAGGAAGTAGTAACTAGTGCTTACAGCATAGACAACTTAGCTTATCAATGGCTTGCAAACACTTGATAAACAAAAAAAGTTATATCCATCATCAAAAAATTAGCCCATGTGTCAATGCGTTTTCATTGAAATATGAAGTATGTGGGAAGTTTAAAACACAAAAGATGCATATTGTAAGGGTTGCTGATGGCTTAGCTCAGGGCAACTGCAGCTTCTTAAGTGCTTCATATAGGCTTACAGCTGCCAAGTGAACCAATTACATTGTAACATTTTTAAACACTGTCAATGTGGCACATACTTTAGAGAGATTCCCTCTGTCAAGCTTCAATGTGCTTGAACAATTGACATCAGCATGGAAAACAGGAATATGAAGCATTCTCAGAAAACTGAATTTAGTCTGCAAATTTCATTAAGTAACAGATAGCTAAGTTATTACATTGATTTATAACCTTTACAGGTCAAAACAGTGATACAAAGAAAGCTAAATTGGATACTTGTACCAAATGGTGCGTTGTTGAAGGCCTTTTTAAACAGGAAAACAAGGCCATGTGGAAGAAGATTTTTCTTTCTGGAGGGAAGGCTATGATTTCCAACAGTTTTGGTAAAAGAGTCCCTTTTGTTTTGGAGCCATGTGGATTGATGACGCCCAAAGACTGTGATGACAACTATATCTGTGGAAGCTGTGTCAGGGACAATGAAGTAGCATTAAGATGCAAAGGTAGCTCAAGAGTTGTGCATTCTTCTGCTGTGCCACAAGAACCTGATGATGCTGGTAAGGTTGTTACCATTTCTTGTTCTCCCAAGCATTCAGTTACTTTAAGTTGTAATGGCCAACTCAGAGTGGCTGATAAATGTTCCTGTTTATTCCTGGATTCTGTAAAGTGCAGTAACTTTGGCAGGGGGCTTGTTACAGTTTAAAAATTTCAGGCATCCGTAATTGGGAGAAGCCTGGCACAAAAAAAATCAAAATTAAATATGAATTCTTTAATGTCGTAGATGAAGGAGGCAGGTACTGACTCTTGGATATCCAGGTGCTGGTATATACACCAGCTCTGTCTTTTAATGGGAACTCTGCCTAGAGAAGTATTCTGCTCCTCTTAGTCAATCATTGGATACTTGTCCATGGCATGTAACCCTGAGACACTTTTTCCTGGTTTCCCTGTAGCTTTTCTCCAACCAGTTATACTCTAGATATCTGATATTTCTCCCCTTCTTATCAACTTTCTGTTTGGAAAAAAAGTGATATTTTAAGGAGAAATTCCTCTGAGGACATTTCAGGGAGTGAAAAAGTTAACTATGGATCCTTGTTCTTTATTGGCTTGTTCTTGCCTGACTCCCCCCAGGAGTTTCAATGCATTGCAGCAAATCATAAGGAAAGCCTAGTGAAATGCAGGGGGGTAACCTTCCGGTGGATTGGCATCCCATCCAGGGAAGAGTAATAATACTCCTTGTTGCTTCATACTACAGAAACCAGAATAAACGCTAACTGAATGGGTCTGACTCAGCTGGAGTACAGATGTTACTCTTTTTACCTTGGGAATAGACAGACAAAGCTTTTTTTGTATAAATCAGTTAAATTAAATTATTAATAATAATTATTTTCTTATTTCACAGTATTGTTGATTGATTAGAAAATAATATTTTTTTTCCTTAGTATCAAGATGGTTATGTGACACTTCATGAACCATACTTAACTATGAAATAGCAGTCCAAAAGTGACATGCTTACCTGTACAATGTAGATTTTTCATTAAACTTGGTAAGTTTCTTTGCTCATCCTGAATGCTCTGTTTTTTTTTCACTTTAGAGCCCACTGCTGTATGCAGCACACCCTTATCATCCAGTCACAGTCTGCTGACAAGCTTTTCAAGATCAGGCTCAGTGAAGCGCAAGAGGAGTGAAGATGCAAACAGTTCTGTAGTGAACTCATCGACTGACTTTAACCAAATGGAGAAGAAACCGAGGAAAGATACCATTGTCAGATCTGGTAGCAGCACTCCAGCAAGCCCTCAAGTTCGCAGAGCCAGGGGAGAACAGCTGGTGTTACCCAGGTGATGATAATGTTACCTCTCCCAAACATCTTCCATCTATTTTCCAGCAACAAGTTATGAGAATAATGATTTTAGATATATGAAATTCATATCTTTGCACTGCGGTGAAGAAACAAATTTAAGAGATCCTTGCAGCTAAGAACACCACTGAACTAGTAGTTGAAAATAGGACCTGAAAAAAATCTTGTACGGGCCTGAATTTTTTCAGGTCCTATTTTAAACTACTATTTCAGTAGTGTTCTTAGCTGCAAGGATCTCTTAAATAAGTTATGAGAATTTTTTTAACTCGTCAGCTTAGAGTTTTTATCTCCAATTTGGTATCCTCTTCAAATGATCTAACATCAAGTTATTATAATTGTTAAATAACTTAATCTTATTGAATGTAACTGCTTCATCCTTTCAACCCCTAAGGCTGACTAGCATCTATTTTCTCCTCACAACGTCACTGCTGAATCAAAAACTCAAGTCGTGAGAATAAAAGAAATGATCACCACCTTAAGAAGATCATGATTATGAGACAAATTCTCCTTGTCAGTACCATAGGAATTGTATTAGAACAGTATGGAGAATATGCAAACTGATGTTAAGGACTCACAGGTTAATAATCATTTTTTCAGAAACCTCACGAGACCATGGCAACCAAAGAAAACAACAAAGACATCACAGAGTGTTGTTAGAGAAGACACAGAATTTGCCAAAAGAGTTGAGGAGATTATCAAAAAAACACAACCAGGCTCAGAAGAAGAAATGTTCATGATAATGTTTTCTAAATCTAGCAGGATTCAACGTTCACCCACTAAGACTACTGAGTAATGTTCTTATTTAAGTGAGATTGCATCAAAGTTTTAATTTGCAGGAGGTTTTGGCAGCCTACAACTTTGATAAATATTGTTTGTAAACAAGATTGTAACATAGCTTCATCGAATGAGTAAACAGCAGTAATTGAAATATTTCAAGTTGTAGCCTAAGCATCCAATTTGACTCAGAATTTCTCATTCCATCTAATTGTAAAACATTCTTTTCAAAGTAATTCCTATTTTCCTTACAATTTTTTGAGACTTTATTTTAAGTACATTTACTGTTAAAAGTTTATTGTCCTAACTTTTAGATCCTGAATTTTATTTTGATGTTGTAGTTTCCTTGTTAAATTTGTTTAGTTACAGATCAAAAACATAGAGAGGACGTTACTCTAGATATTTTTTTCATGAAGTGTTTTGTAACTGAAAAAAGCCTGTCTTGCACTTAAAATGGGAAGGTATATTTGAAGCTCAGTGAAGGATGCAAGTCAGAAGAAAATTTATTTTTAGGAACAGTGAAATTATAAACTGTGAATTGTTTTCTCCCACAATAATGGGTATAGTGAAAGCCAAAAAAAACTTTCATGCACTTTAGGCTGAAATTATTAACATCCTGTGGAGAATTCAAGGATTCAAGAAAACTGCTTTTAGGAGTGCTTGTTTGAAATTCATTACAATCCACAGGAGTTTCAATAAAAGTCAGAAACTGGCATTCTTCCACCACCTTTAAGAGATCTTACTTCTTTCAGTTTTTCTGAGAATAGTCTCTCATGTGGGGTTCTCCTGACAGCCCCTTTCCAGGCAGAGCCACCTATTGCAACATCAGCTGCCTCTTATGGACAAAGTTATTGAAACCTCTGAATCTCTTTGATTTTGAACCTCTCATCCTGGTTTAGATGAGTCAATTTAAAACAATTCTTAAAGTTATGCTTTTTTTTAACAAAATGAAGTGCATTTTGAGTAATGAACTCTCGTAATAAAATGCCTTGTTTAAAAATCTACAAAATCTATTTTGTGGTGTTATTTATGAATGAATTTCTGTGAGATGTGCCCTGTTCTCTGGAATAGGTAGATTAGAAAATAGAAACATAGGGGTTTGTCAAATAGTTGTCTTTTCAGATTGGAAATGATTTTTTTTCCTTTGAGGGGCTTAAATGAAGGTGGTTTGGATTTATTATATTTTCCTAACACCTTACTGGTTCTGATTAAAAACCAAGGTAAAGGTGAAGTCTCTACTTAAGTCAAGAGGCCCATCTTGCTGGTGTTTGTCCAGGTTTCCTAACTACCCACTTGCATGGGGATGCTTATAACAACTCTTCTTTTAAAGTTCCATTAGACCTTTTTTAATGGCCAAAAAATTTTATGATGGTGACTGAAATTAGATATTGCCTATAATTTGCATCTGGTAGGTGAATACGTAAAGTAAGAATGTATGAAAAGTAATGACTCATTCAAACGTTGAACTAAATCCTCCTACTTGAGTGAATGGTATACCTGTAAGGATTCTTAACCCTTGAACTCCCATGAGTAACCAAGACAGAATTTCTCCTTGCAATATCAATACAATATCAACCAGATCAGTGATGAGAATGAAGAAAAATTTCAATTTAGGGATAATTAGTTGATTTGATGCGAAATTCGCACTCTACGATTGTTATTCGAGGATTGTCGATTCATTTATTTTCATTCATTAACGAGGTCGGCTTTTCTTCCCAGTAAAGGGCTATTACGTTTACATGATAAACAAAATAATACATGGTTTCTTGTAGAAATGGAATTTCTCTACTCGTGTACAACTCGACATCTCACTCGTTCGCTGCGCTAACTCGTGAGCTATCGAGTTGAACATTCGAAGAGAAATTCAATATTTAGGCGCGCCCAAGAATTATTCACAATTTTATTTCAAAGCACGAGCATTATCGCGCCAAGAACGAAAGTCACATCAACTTCATAGGCAAATGTCGCAGGGAACTTGTATGGTGTGTTAGTTATAATATTTCTGAAAATAACAATGGTTCATATAGTTGACACAAGTGTATAGTTGTTTAAATCGAATTTTTTTTGTATTCAAACTACACCGAAAAAACAGGCGGTCGGCATATGAAATCCCATTTCAACATGTTTCGAAAATTAAATGCTTCATTCGAATTGTTTAGATATTTAAATGACTTTCACAAGTTTATAGTTTAAACATCATCACACATGTTCTTCAAATTCTGAAAGACATAACTATCGATCCGCCATCAAACTAAAGGAAAAACCTCAACAACAATTTTCCTTGTACCATTTCTAAAAATACCTAGCGTTTAAAGTTTAGAAGTTGAGCTATGCTTGGCCACAAGAATTTAGCGAACCCCTCCTAAAATAATTGTCTTCGAAGGTGTGGGTAAACTCAGGAAAAAGAAAATAAGAAACTAAGTGAACTTTTGTATAGACATGAGCATTGGCACTTAGCTTAGAAACACAAACCGTGTATTATCAAAAAGATCGAAACCGAAGATTCAGAGACCTAAACAATATTGTTACATGTGCTATATTTCACGGCTATTTTGGTAGCAGTAAACAGGGAAAATCACAAGAAGTGAAAGTGGTGGAATTATTGCAGAACAAGCTTCCCTGTTAAGTTGAAACAATACACGCTTATCAAAACCATCAGAACAAAAATCTTTGACTTCCGAACCAAGCTTTACGTGCCCCACAGAAACTTTCGTGTCACGCAACTCGAAGGAAATACCACTTGTTGTCACGCTTCTAAAGAAATAAATTGAAGAGTGATAAACCAGAAAATACTTTGTACATCGGACCTAAAGTGCATTACATAAAAAAAGCTGTCTTCACCGATTCAAACTTCACCTGGTGGCGGAAATTTGCTTGGCTTTCGTACCAGAGTCGGAAGTTAGGGACGAAAGTAAAAAGTCCCACTCTCAATCTATGAAGTAATGTCTGGGTCGAGCTGGTTAAATGTGACCGAGTTAACGAGTCAGGAATCACTCTTCGCTACAGCTCGCGCACTTAGCTTCGCAACCGTAAAACATCCACAGATTTGCAATAGAACTCGTTGTTCTCATGGAGACCAGAGAGAGTGGGGGAAATGTAAGTTCAAATATTCAATTTAGATTTCAAATATTCAACGAAACCTTAATTCGCTTCACCTTCGAAAGCGCATTTTTGTGTGCTTATCCCCGAGCACAACTGAATGGCATTGCGATCATGCAGACTTATGAAATACTTCGGCTCTGCGCTTATGATAGAGTCAAATCGAGTATGTTTTAAACCCGTTTCCAACACAAGCAACTGAATCCCTTAATTCCGGTGAAAATCTACATTTTTCCTAAATTATTGGCTTTTAAGACATTTATACTTCTAGTAGATTGGAAATTGAAAGGCTCGTTTTGGACAATTACGCTCTTGCACAAATGAAAATGGGATTTCAAATCCGAAAACAGTGTTTAATAGTTGTCGTAGATCGGCACCACTGTACCTCATGGCATGATCTGATGGACAAAATTTGCTCAGCGTGCCTCTTGCTGTGAAGACCATCCCACCACATACTAAGGAGGCAGAATAGGGGCGGGGTGAATCTACGAAAGACAAGTATACCATCTAGGGGAAAAGAAGGGGATGAGCTCAACCCAGATGGGTCACTAGGCTTTTAAACACCCTTTGACTTCAAATCTCTCCCCCCCCCCCCCCCCACACTCCCCTCCCCTCATCTTAGTACCCCGCTAAACTCTTATCTGTTAAATCTCCAGACTTCTCTGAGCTATTTTCCTGCAATACCTTTGCCAAATGGAAATGTATGCAATTAATGATGTATTTACCCTATAGCAGACAAATGGCGAAATCTTTAAGCACAGTCTCAAAATGTGCAGAGAATTTGCACGTGGTCTGACTTTGGTTTTCATTGAGGCAAGTCTGAGAGACGACATGTAGATAGATAGATAGATAGTTTATTATCAAATAAAATACATTGCAGCCATAGGCTGAATTGCGTGCTTTTCACAATCATTGATTATATAAGACTATATAAGACTACCTATTACAAAAATGCTAAGACCTAAATAAAATTACTAATATAACTAATATAGCTAATATACAGCAGTGGAATAGCTAAAAATCTAGGTTAGCACACGCGCACATAGCCGGGATAAATGAAAATTTAAAACGGTCAGTGCGAAAGCGCGGCATGTTAAAAACGCGCCGGTGTCTAGTATTGTAAGCTGAAAAATGCCTATCTGGCAGCAAATTATATAATTTGTGAGATGGATTTGAGACAGACAAAAACAGATCCGTAAATAATTTCATGCGTCTGTCATAGAGCGAAGCTAAACCTTGCCTGTCTAAAGAGTCATGGTATGACAGTTCTGGTGAAATGATGGATAATGTGCGTCTTTGGATCCTTTCAATGGTATCACTAAGATACGCTGGTAACGCATGATGGAATATTTGTGCGCAGTATTCCAGAACAGGACGTATAGTTGTACAATAAAAATTAATTATGTCATCCGCTGGAACGCAGGCTCTCTTTAGGAGGACTAAAAAGAATAATCGTTTGTTTGCTCTTTTTATAACATCATTGACGTGGTTATTCCATTTGAGGTTACACGAAATAGTCACGCCTAGGATCCTAGCCGACTCTACCGTCTCTAATACTTTGCCATCGACCAAGAGTTTCTGCCTTTTGTAGTCGATGTGGGTGAATGGCAGATCTGTTTTACCAAATGCAATCGGTGAGAACCAAAAAAGTAGGTCTATCAATAATATTCTTACAATTAAAACTACAGAAATAATGGCACCTATGCTACAATCAAAATAGTCAACACCTTGGAATAGCATCACAATCTTTAACCCTTTGATCCTAAGGGGTGACTTTCATCTAATTTCTCACTACAGAACTTTATCTAAATCCCACACTATGGTCACAAGAAGAGGAAACATTACACGAAAATACAAGTAAGTAGAAAAGAAAGTTTCTTGCCTTGTCTTGACCTGTCAATATAATATTAATGTGGTTTACTAAACAAGTGTCTTGTTTATCACTATACTTTTCAACAGCTCATTTTGAGATCCACCCTGCTGTGGAGCAGGATCATCAAGTTGTCATTTCAGAACATGAAAGTGGTAGTGTTCTGGACATAAACGAGGTATGATGGCAGAAAATTGCCTGTTAATAGTTGTATGTCAGGGCTAAATCAAACATCAAAAATCAAATGTGTCCTTGTCTTGGACATTTTTTTATGGACTTATTGAATGAATGAGCAAGGATCTTACTCACTCACCCAGAAACTCAACGCAGAAAACTGGACAGATATTTCTATATGTCCCATTCTGAATTTGCTGTGCCATCATCAACCATAACATGATAGAAATCATGAGCTAATCATGTAATTGCTAGATGATAGCCAAGGATAATCTTCAGACATAGACTGTACATTGAGTGGAGACTCTACATGAAAACTGGGGGGTATTACACCTTAACATCAGTATGCATATTCTCCATACTGTTCTCTATACATCTAAAGGTGCTTACAAGGAGAATTTGTTTAATGATCAAGAGCATCTTGACATTGTTATCATTCCTTTATTCCTATGACCTTACTTTTTCATTCAGGGGGGATAATGTGAGGAGAAATTAGATGCTTATCACTCTTAGGAGTTGAGAGTTGACAGGGGGTCCTAGTGACTTTGGAATGCTCATATTATATGCTAACATTATACTTCAGTCACATCCAGTGGTTTAGATGTAGGAATTTTTAAAGAAGAGCCCAGGGGGAGGGGGTGGGGAAAGTGTAAACAACTGTGCTCTATTTGAATTTAGGATTATTATTCCAGATTATTATAATGCATATTACAAATATATTACAAATTATTTATTTTTGAATATCACAGAGTACTTTACTGAAAAGGAATGTTCTGGGTGATATGACATGTGCATTGACAACTCAGTCAGAGTCTGATGATGACCTTCTGAGTAAAAGCTAACCCCTTAACTCTCAAGATCTGATTGTTAACTCTCCAGTCTAGCTGCTACACATTTTTTTGTAAATCAGTTATGAGAATTTGGTGTGAAATTAAGATGAAAACTTCTACCTGATAGGTTTGAGTCTTCTAGTTACCTTATCAACATGATAGGAAGAAGTTGCATACTGGTCATTTCTGGGAGTTAAAGGGTTAACAATGACCTCCAATGAGGCCTCAAATATGCCTTCCCATTTTAAGTGCAAGATGGGCTTTTTTCAGCTACAAAACAATATATGTTACTCATGCTACAATCAAAGTAGTCAACACCCAGGAATCGCATCACAAACTTAACCCGTTAACGCCAAGGAGTGACTCACATCTAATTTCTCACTACAAAATCACACACCAATGTCAATGGTGAAAGAAACATACTCTTGTCCTAAATGACAAATAAGTAGAAAAGAAAGTTTCTTGCCCTGTCTGGACCAGTCAATATAATATTAGTCTGGTTTACTTTAAACAAGTGTCTTGTTTATTACTATGCTTTTCAACAGCTTCTTTTGAGATCCACACTGTCATGGCGCTTGACAAAAATGAGAAACTTTGTCAAGTTCTCATTTTAGAGTATAAAGGGCCAGGGGAGAACAGCTGGTGTTACTTAGGTTATGAAAATGTTACTTCTCCCCACATTTTCAATCTATTTTCTGGCAAACAGGTTATGAGAATTTTTTAAGTCATCAGTGGTTTCCTCTTCAAATGACCTAACATTAAATTATTATACCTGTTAAATGTCTTAATGTCATTGAATGGAACTGCTTCACCCTTTAAACCCCCAAGAGTGATTAGCATCTAATTTCTCCTCACAGCATCACTGCTGACTCAAAAGCTCAAGTCAGGAGATTAAAGGAAATGATCACCACCTTAAGAAGATCATGATTATGAGACATTCTCCTTGTCGGTACCATAGGAAATGTATAGGAACAGTTGGGAGAATATGGAAATGAGAGTTAGGGACTCACAGGTTAATGATTATTTTTCAGGAACTAAATAGAACAAGCAAAGAGAACGACCAGAGAGAACAACAAAGACATCACAGAGTGTTGTTACAGAAGAATTTACGAAGAGAGTTGAGGAGGTCATCAAAAAAACACAACCAGGCTCAGAAGAAGAAATATTTTTAATGTTTTCCAAATCTAGCAGTTCATGAAGACTTCATTTAAGTGAGATTACATGTTCACACTCTAAGACCAAGATTGTAACATAGCTACATTGAATGAGTAAAGAGCAGTAATTGAAATATTTCAAGTTGTTCTCATAATTTCCCTTATTCAATTAAAATAATTCCTATTTCCTAACAATTTTGCGAGGCAATTTGATGAGATTCTTTTGCCCTTTATTTTGAGTAGATTTATTATTTACAGTTTACTGTCCTGACTTTTCAATCCTTGAATTTTATTTTGATGCTATAGTTTCCTTGGTAAATTTGTTTAGTTTCAGATCACAAAAATAGAGAGGATGTCATGATGGATATTTTTTTTCATGTCAGGCTCAGTGAAGGGTGCAAGTCAGAAGATAAATTATTTTTAGGAACAGTAAAATTATGACTTGTTTATTGTTTTCTCCTGCAATAATTGGTACAGTGAAAGCCAAAAAAACAAGGATTCAAGAATGCTGCTTTTAGGAGTGCTTGTTTGAAATTCATTTCAATCTGCAGGAGTTTCAATAAAAGTCAGAAAATGGCATTCATCTGCCACCTATAAGAGGTCTTACTACTTTCTGTTTAGCCTGAGAATAGTTTCTCATGTGGAATTTGCCTTACAGCCCTTTCCAGGCAAAGCCACCAATTGCAACATCAGCTGCCTCCTATGGACGAAGATGTTGAAACCTCTGAATCTCTTTGATTTTGAACCTCCCTTCCCACTGAAGATGAGTCAATTTAAAACAGTTGTTAAAGTTATACTTCTTTTTAACAAAATAAAGTGCATTTTGAGTGATGAACTCTTGCAATAAAATGCCTTATTTAAAAATCTGCAAAATCTCTTTTGTGGTGTCATTTATGAGGGAATTTCTTTGAGATGATATGCCCTGTTCCGTTGGGTAGGAAGATTAGAAATAGAAATGTGGGGGTTTGCCAAATAATTGTCTTTTTGGATTGGAAATGATTTTACACATTTTTTCCCGGTTAGTAAGGTTTCCTCACTACCCCTCTGCATGGGATGTTTATAACAACTTCTTTTAAAGTTCTTATTAGCATTTTTCGGATCAATATCAGTATCTGAGCAACCAATTTTTCAATGGCCAAAAATATCACGATAGTGATTGAATTTAGATATTGCTTATAATTTACATCTGGTGCATGTGTGATTACATAAAGTAAGCAAGGCGTGAAATTTCCACTAATACAGGCGCCACTGCACTAAATTTTTCACTTTGGTGACCAAATCCTGAAAATTAGTCGCCAAATTGGCGACTAGAATGTTTCATCGTAACCTTACCTAGAGATATAATGAATAAAAAGATAAATCCGCGGCAAACTTCCTCGTTAAGTTTGTTTCCAAAACGCACCACATGCATCCCGATCGATAACTAGTCGTCATTTTGGATTTAGGTGAGCTTGAACGTTGCATATCATCCATCCTAGTGTCCACTTTGTAGTACGTTAAAGAACTTGGCAAAATTTATGCACAGCCCCAACTTCATTATGCATCCATATATTGGGGCTTTACTATTCGGTGTATCACCAATAAGATGTGCATGCATAATTAAGTATAGGGCCGTGTTGAAATTTTTCCAACAACCTTTTTTGAATTGGCTGCCACTTTGAAGAATTTAGGAGCCAAGTGGCTATCAGAAAAAAAAAATCACGCCCTGGTAAGCTGTGTGAAATCGAAGTAGTGAATAGTTCAAATGTTGAAGTGCTTTGACACACATTGCGTGCCTACTTTAGATGCTCATACCCAGGCCTCACGTTACCCGTATGATTTTTCCAAAACAGTCAAAACACTGCGAGGCGCCATTTTTGGGCGAATTGAACAGGAAAAAAAGCCATGTGTCAAGCACTTTTCGTCCTTACAGAAATGTCACGGTGTAGAGAGATCACGAGGTACGCTTCCTATGTAGTTAGCCAAAGATTAAGTAGGCCACGTGTTGTACAAACTAAATTCTTTGCATCTCAATCCCATCCGGAGTAAAATTGACGGCCATTTGTTTCCAGTTCATAATTATTATTTTGCGATGCAATTGTGTTTTATTAAAGCAGTTTTTCCCATCGCAAATGCTGATTGCCGAGTAAGAAATAGACGTAACGTGGACAAAATGCAAACTGAACCAATGCTATGCGAATATATAGACATTAAAACAGCTGCATCTTTACAAATGTCGCACAATCGTACATAAGCTAGTATTTACCTTATTAAATTATTCATTACTTGCGTAATTAACCCTTTCACTCCTAAGATCTCATTAAGTACTTCTCCTTATTGTCTGTCTGCCCTACAATGTTTAATTCGATTGATGACAATATAAAACAAATCGCAAATTAATTTTCAAAGAAATATTTATTTAAGATTGTTAGCAACATGTTCACAACCATTTTGCTTCATGCAGGTCTTAAAGAAACTGAAAAGAGATTTTTTTCTATTTTTAAAATAGTCCCATTACCTTTTACTAGGGAAAATCAGTAGAAAAATGAAATATCTCCTAGAAATGCTAGTGAAATATTATGAAACTTTTAAGAGGATATGACACGTATCAAATTCATTATGAATCTAAATTCACCATCAGCTTAAATGCAGTACTTTTCTTAAAAATTCATCTGTAATTAAGCGTTTTGAAATAACTTGGGCATTAAAGTGATATTCATTATGAAAAAAAATTTAGCAAAACTGTGGATTTAATTCCTATTTTATGAAAATATTTTTCCAACATGTATAAAATTACATTTTGATTGCTATTTCATCCTAAAACAGACAGTAAACAAATGTCTAATCATGCTAAACTTCATGAACTTTGTTGTCAAACTTACACTGCATATGACATCTTAGCTAAACCTAAGTGAAAAATTTTTCTTACCAGAATTTATTGTTTGGAAAATATCTTTTACTTCAACTGTAAACTAGAACTTTAATTTTGCAGTTGCAAGAGATTTTACACTACAGAAAACAGACTTTCCTGCTGCTTGGGTTGTACTTGGGAGGTGTTCATTGGATTTCCTTCCGGATCAAAGCCAAGGATGCGTTGCTTATCTTTGAGGTAGGACTTGAAGTAATACAGCTCACTGCCAGGTTCCTTAGCCACTTTGTAAAACAACACCTCAGGACTGTCTCTTTTAACTTCTTTAAGGGTGTCACTTTGGCTTGGAGGTTTAGGAAGTTCCTGTTGAAAAGAGCGGTCAGACTCTGAGTAAGAGTAGCTGGGGAAATGACTGCTGTTGGTGACAGTGGCTAATGTTGTGACAGCCTCATTGGAGATCATTGTTCACCCTTTAACTCTCAGAAGTGATCAATGTGCAACTTCTCCCAATCATGTTCATACACTATCCAGTAAACAGATAATGAGAAGACTCAAACTTATCAGGTAGAAGTTGTCATCACACCAAATTCTCATAAATGATTTACAAGAAAATGTGTAGCAGCTAGATAGGAGAGTTAACAATCAGATCTTGAGAGTTAAAGGGTTTAGCTTTTGCACAGAAGGTCATCATCAGACTTTGACTGAGGTGTCAATGTGCATGTCATATCACCCAGAACATTCCTTTTCAGTAAAGTACTCTGTCTGTGATATTCAAAAATAAATAATTTGTAATATGCAATATAACAATCAGGCATATTAATGCTAAATTCAAATAGAGTATAGTTGTTTGCACTCTCCCCACCCCCTCCCCCTGCCCTCTTCCTCAAAAATTCCTACATCTAAACACCTGGATGTGACTGAAGTATAATATTAGCATTCCAAAGTCATCAGGACCCCTTGTTAACTCTCAACTCCTAAGAGTGATGAGCATGTAATTTCTTATTACAATATCACCCCTGAATGAAGAAGTAAGGTCATATGAATAAAGGAATGATAACAATGTCAAGATGCTCTTGATCATTAAACAAATTCTCCTTGTAAGCACCTTTTGAAATGTATAGAGAACAGTATGGAGAATATGCATACAGATGTTGGGGCGTAAAGGGTTAATATCTCCTGGTTTTTTAAGGGCATGAAATTATTTTTTTTTTCTGATAGCCACTTGGCTCCTAAATTTTTCAAAGTGGTAGCCAATTCAAAAAACGTTGGTCGCTGTTTTTAAAAACAAACAAAACCTTTTTTTTACGCTGTCAGTGTTCTAGATAGACACTCCAAAATTAAGTAAGAAAAAACATCTTCAACACGTTACGAAGTGGACACTAGGATGGATGATATACAACGTTCAAGCTCACCAAAATCCAAGATGACGTCTAGTTATCGATCGAGATGCATGTGCTTCGTTTTGGAAACAAACTTAACGAGGACGTTTGCCGCGGATTTATCTTTGCAAGTCTTTTAATTCTCTATATATCTAGGCAAGGTTATGATAAAGCGTTCTAGTCGCCAATTTGGCGACTAATTTTCAGGATTTGGTCGCCAGGGTGAAAAATCTAATCGCATTGGCGCCTGTATTAGGCGCAATTTCACGCCCTGTTTTCATGTAGAGTCTCCACTAAGCAGACAGTCTCTGTCTAAAGATTATCCTCGGCTATTGTAAGCAATTATATTGTGAGCTCAAGATTTCTATCACATTATGGTTGATGATGGTACAGTAACTTCAGAATGGGACATATAGAAATATCTGTCCAGTTTTTTTCGTTGAGTTTCTGGGTGAGTGAGTAAGATTCTAGCTCATTCAATAAGTCCATTAAAAAATGCCCAAGACAAGGACACATTTGATTTTTGATTTAGCCCTGACATGCAACTATTAACAAGCAATTTTCTGCCATCATACCTTAGCAATGACAGTGTCATCATCCTGGTTTATGGCCACAACACTTCCACTTTTATGCTCTAAAATGACAACTTGATGAGGTTTGTTGTTTTCGTCAAGCTCCACGACAGTGTGGATCTTAAAATAAGCTGTCGAAAAGCATAGTGATAAACAAGACACTTGTTTAGTAGACCAAACTAACGTTATATTGACTGGTCCAGACAAGGCAAGAAACTTTCTATTCTACTTACTTGTCTTTTTGGAAATGAGTAATTTTTCTTTTACTTGTAACTGTAGTGTGTGATTCAGGTATGATTTCGTTGTGAGAAATTAGATGAAAGTCACCCCTTAGGCACAAAGGGTCAAAGATTGTGATGCTATTCCAAGGTGTCGACTATTTTGATTGTAGCGTAGGTCCCATTATTTCCGTATTTTTGATTGTAAGAATATTTATTGATAGACTTACTTTTTTGGTTCTCGCTGATTGCATTTGATAAAACAGATTTGCCATTCACCCACATGTAGTGACCTGGAACCTCTCCTTCTTCGTTGCGAGAGTAAAGCTGATGATCTGCAGTGCTCCATTCTCTGTCACTGTGGTCAATGATTCTCACATTTTTCTTCTATGGGGTAAATACATCATTAACTGCATACATTTGGCAAAGGTATTGCAGGAAAATAGCTTAGGGACAACTGTAGATTTAACAGATAAGAGTTTAGAGGGGTATTTAGATGAGGGGAGGGGAGGGGGGGAGATTTGGAATGGTGTTTAGAAGCCTAGTGACCCATCTGGGTTGAGCTTATCCCCCTCCCTTCCCCTCGATGGTAAGCTAGTCTTTCGTAGATTCCACTCCGCCCCTACTCTGCTTCCTAAGTATGTGGTGGGATGGTCTCCACAGCAAGAGGCACGCTGAGCAAATTTTGTCCGTCAGGCCATGCCATGAGGTAGAGTAGTGCCGATATACGACAACTTTAAAATACTGTTTTCGGATTTGAACTTCCAGTTTTCATATGTGCAAGAGCGTAATTATCCAAAACGAGCCTTTCAATTTTCAATCTACTAGAAGTAAAAATGTCTTAAAAGCCAATAATTTACGAAAAATGTAGATTTTCACCGAAATTAAGTGATTCGGTTGCTCATGGTGGAAATGGGTTTAAAACATTTGACTCTATTTGACTCTATCATAAGCGCTGAGCCGAAGTATTTTGGAAGTCTGATTGCATTGCCATTCAATTATGCTCGGGGATAAACACACAACGATGTGCTTTCGAAGGTGAAGCGAAGGTTTCGTAGAATATTTGAAATCTAAATTGAATATTTAAACTTACATTTTCCCCACACTCTTTGGTCTCCATGAGAACACCGAGTTCTATTGTAAATCTGTGGATGTTTTACAGTTGCGAAGCTAAGTGCGCGAGCTGTAGCGAAGAATGATCCTTACTCGTTAACTCGGTCACATTTAACCAGCTCGACCCGGACATTACGTCATTGATTGAGAGTGGGACTTTTTACTTTCGTCCCTAACTTCCGATTCTGGTACGAAAGTTAGGCAAAGTTTGAAGTTTGAACCAGTGAAGACATCTTTTTTTATGTAGAGCACTTTAAGTCCGATGTACACTGTATTTTTTGGGTTTATCACTCCTCAATTTATTTCTTTCGAATCGTGACAACAAGTGGCATTTCCCTCTAGTTGCGTGACACGTAAGTTTCTCTGGGGCTTGTAAGGCTTGGTTCGGAAGTCAAAGATTTTTGTTTCGTTTGATTTTGACAGGCGTGTATTGTTTCAGCTTAACAGGGAAGTTTGTTCCGCAATAATTACACCTCTTTCACTTGTGATTTTTCCTGTTTCACTGCTACCCAAAATAGTCAGCTGAGCTTTGAAATATAGTACATGTAACAATATTGTTTAGGTTTCTGAATCTTCGGTTTCGATCTTTTTGCTAATGCACGGTTCGTGTTTCTTCTTGGGTGTACCCACATCTTTGAAGACAATTATTTTAGGAGGGGCTAGCTAAATTCTTGTGGCCAAGCATAGCTAAGCTTCTAAATTTTAAATGCTAAGTAATTTTTCAGAGTTGGAAGAAATACGGGACGATGTTCTTATGACGTACAGCTGATAAATTTTAAAACTACAAACTTGCGAAAGTCATTTCAATATCTACACAATTCGAACGAAGCATTTAATTTTCGAAACAAGTTGAAATGGGATTTCATATGCTAACCGCCTGTTATTTAGGTATAGTTTGCTTTCAAAAAGATTTCGATTTAAACATCTGTACACTTAATTGCGTCCACTTTATGAACATTTTTTTATTTTTAGTTATATTATAATTAACACAATCTAGAAGTTTCCAATATTTGCTTATGAACTTGATGTGACTTTCGTTCTTCGTTCGATAATGATCATGCTTAAAATAAAAAGCTGTTATCATCAAAATATAGCATATTTTATTTCATTTTAGCTTATCTTCTCGAAAATATTAGTTCTACGGCTACACTGTGAGTTTCGAGCATAAATAAAGTATATGCATGTATGTATGTAGAATCACGTGGTGGGCGAATGAAAGCTAATATTTCCCTTGACATGTTGTTTTAGTTTCTAGACTCCACCGTCGAGGGACCAATTTTTTTTTTAAAGAATCAACATTTGCCGTAGATTGAGAAGTCTAACTGAGCGAAAAGACGTTTCCTTCTAGTCATAGCTGGCGTTTGGACGTTTATTGGTTTTGCAGTAGTGCCAAGAACGCGTTTTATTCTTTGGGGGAAGGGTGGGGAGGAAAGTAGTGGAAGCCATTTTTTCACTCCAAAACTACGTATGCCCTTAACAGAAACGGCATGTTAGGAGCGGACTCGAACGTAGCACTTGAACTCGACAAGTAGCGCTGGAAACGGGCGTAAACCAGAAAATGTTTCTCATGCGAGCGATAATGTTTAATCTAAAACCACTTTGCATCTAGTGCGCTAACAAATACGCAGGCAACGTAGAACTTTATTGAATATCTTATGTTCTGTGTTGTGGTCTAAAGTCAACAATATAATGATATTAACTTCGGCAATCACGGTGCGGCTTTAATTACTAGACGTTTCATTTCTATAACTTTTTGATTGATACACTGATAAAGGCAATATCCTTTGCTGAAATTCCGCTTCAGGCTTTTATTTGAATTCTATCATCACCTTTGAGTTACAGGAAACTAACAGAAGCTCTTATTATTGTGTGAATAGTTCTCACATCGTTCTGCAATGCACACTGAAATTAATATACGGCGCTCTCATTGATATGTAAATAGTTCTGAAAACACTTTCGTAAGCAAATTTTGGTCGAAAGACATTCACTGGGAACAAAAAAGTCACCAATTGGTCATTAATAACTTTAAAGGTAGAATTTCCGCTTTTATTGTTGTTTTTAAATTTGTTCAACCTGGGGAATAGAGTACACAGTTGTTAATTGGGAATTTACCGAAACCAAAACAGTCACAATTGCACTCTGTCACAAGAAAAGGCTTCTTCGCGCAGATCCTTGTTGTCGCTCTGTTATAAAAGAATTTGCTCATGCTTTTAGCTGTGCGTATATCGAGTTATGGATGGGAAGTTTGGAGAGCACTCGAAAAGCTAGAGTTGCTCTCGGCTGCGCCTCGAGCTACTCTTACGTATTTTTCGTGCTCTTCAAACTTCCCGCGTGCATCCATAACTCGATATACGCACGCTAAGCATGAATAAATTCTTAAATTAGAGATGTGGGACGAACTGACTCTTTTTTGGAACGAACTGACTCTTTTGTTAAACGATCTGACTGTTGGGGCAAATTTTTCCCTTTATTTTCATTTCTCACTTGTCATCGTGTACTTTTGTTTTTTTTTCTTCTTTTCGCTCTTCGGTATTTTGTAAATTACGCTCCTTTGTTACGTGCTGTATGTAAATTTGGTTATAGTTTGTTGTCTCCAACCACCAACACTAGTTATCCTCAGCATTTGGTAAGCGGTCTCATTTTCATCGTTTTCTTTAATTTCGTTTTGTAGTTGCCTTTAGGTAGTTTGTCTGTGATGTAATTATTATGTTTTCGCTCTTGTAGGAATTTCCTTTTTTCTAACGTTATAGTAAAAACATTTGCTAAGGCATCGTGTTGTGTTTTCTTCGAATTGGCTCTTGCCTGTACATTTGTAAATTCTAAATGACGGAGTAAAGTATGGCGCAACCAAGGACAGCGTCGAATACCCGCTCAAGCTCTCGGAAGAAAATGGCGAGTTCATTTCGAGAAGAAGCGTTACCAGAAGCTTTATTCGGCTTACGAAAGTCACTGGCAGGATATGTTTCAGCAATGACATGAGCTTGTCGGCAAATTGATCCTCTTCTCGTCGATTACGGGAATCTGGCGAGCGCAGAATCTCTTCAAGCTAGTTTGGATAAGACATGGAACAACTATCAAGAAAGCACCGCGCATTATCGAAGTCTCGTGGACGAAAATAGTCTGGAGATTCACGAAGTGAATGATCAGTACGCCCCTCAGGAATTACGGAAGCACCATTTCGATCAACGGATTAGGGAATTCACTATCGCTGCAGCCACACATTTTAACGGGCAAGTATCTCGAGACCTATCGAACACTGGGTTGGCATCACCTGCACCATCTGTGTGCACCGTAAGCAGTCGCGCTTCAAAGTTAAGCGAAGCAGGGGAAAGACTTCACAACACGAAGGTGGCGGCGGCAAAAGCTGCTTTAATGGAAAAGCAAACGGAATTGAAAAGGAAAAGATCAATGGAGATTGAAATAAAACGTCTTGAAATGGAAATGAACCAGAAACAGTTTGAGTTGAAACAGCAATTAGAGTTGGCAAAGCTCGAAGCTGACAGAGACATTTCCAAAGCAAAAGAAAAGACCGAACTGGCTGAGCTTTAAGCTAAATTTGCAGAAGCCGAGTTCTCACAACTTTTGTGAAATGGAAATTTATCACCTAGTCGTGGTCTCAACGCTCTAGAACTGACTCCTGAAATTACTACTGTCACCTCGTCATTCGTGGTCCCGGTCCACGCAGGCCTCCACGCCTCCAGTCACGCCTAGGCGAGTTTACACGTTTCCTGCAGCTCACGAACGAGCTTACGGGGATCCGTCACTTCCCACACGAGTTAACACGTTTCCCACCGTTGACACTCGAGGTCACGCGAATTCGACTCTTACTACTCGAGACAACACGTTACTTCCTATTGCCTGCACACTCCTTCCATTCCTTCCGTCCCAAACCGTGACATCACAGCCCGACAACTTCCCTTCATGGTCTCTCCCTTTCGTGGACTCCACGCATGTTTACACTCGCCCAATTGGGTCCATGCGAGTTCCCACGTCTTCTTCTACAGACGTCATTCCAGTTACGCCTACCAGATTTCCTCTCGCGACTTCGCGCGTTTCTCCATTCCAAGACAGACCTGCCATGTCTTCAGGGGCATCTAACATTGCGAACCCCTCTATTACAAGAAGTGTTTATAGTTCTCAGCCCATGGTAACTTCACACTACTCAGCTTCTAGGTTTAACACCGCTGGTCAGGACTATACGGGTACTACAGCCTCAACTGGCTTTGCCAATGTTTGGTGTCCTCCACCTGCCCCTTTGCCTACAAGTGAAAAGCTTCTCGCAATGATTGCCTCAACTGTGGAGAAAGTGAACGCCGATTGCGGTTCACCACTTGTGCGAGTACTCGAGTTTGATGGTTCGCCTGAGAACTATCCGGTTTTCGTTTAAGGTTTCATCAGATGGTTAACTCAAAGGCCCTAGACGAGCCAACGAAAATGGCCCGCCTGATGCAGTTCCTTGAAGGACCAGCGTTGTTAGCTGTTCAGAAGTACGAGTCCGTTCCGGGTGGCTGGACCGTTCCGGTTAATGAGTACGTAAATAGGGGCTACGCAAGAAAGTTGACGCCCGAAAAAGCAGCCAGGAAAAGGGGAATCACCTGGTACCTACCACATCACCCCGTTTTTAACGTGAACAAACCTAACAAAAGTCGTGTGGTATTTGATGTAGCTGCAAGGTTTAATGGTGTTTCCCTTATCGACCAGGTGTATCAAGGGCCAGATCTCGCTAACAGTCTTATTGGTGTCCTTATCCGTTTTCGCGAGGAAGAAATTGCATTTACTGCTGGCTTAGAAGCCATGTTCTATCAGGTCAAGGTTCTCCCCAAGGACGCCGATGCACTGAGATTCCTTTGGTGGAGTGGGAGTTTAAACGACCCCCTTGATGAGTACCTGATGCTCGTCCATATCTTTGGCGCCACGTCGTCACCTTGCTGCGCAAACAAGGCAATGCATCAAACCGCAGCTGACAAAGGGAATCAATTTGACCCAGAAGTAACTCACACAATGTGCAGAAACTTTTACGTCGACGATGTTTTAAAGTCCGTTCCGAACGAGAGACGTTCAATCCGGCTAGCACAACAGTTGATTCAGCCAATGAAGAAGGGCGGATTCCACCTTACAAAATTCCGGCTCCAGTAACAGCTGCAGGTTTCTGGCCATGATTCCCGAAAAGGAGCGAGCGAATCATGAGTTAAATCTAGTCTTGGACGATCTTCCTATTGGACGTGCGATTGGACTTCATTGGGACGCAAATTCGGACACCTTCCAGTTTAAAGTGGTACCAACTAGCAAACCACCGACCAAACGCGGCATCGTTTTCACTGTTAGCACTCTCTTCGATCCGCTAGGATTTCTGAGCCCATTCATTCTTCCCATGAAAGTTCTTCTATACGAGTCCAGTGGAATGAAAGCATTCCTTAGCCTTTACTTATGCAGTGACGCAATTAGACTTAGTCTCTCTCTTCCGTCTCAGATATAGTAAGTAAGTAAGTAAGTAACAACTTTATTTTAAAGAGGGTGGCACATAACGGTATAATTGATAAACTAGCGGCCCTCTATCTAAAATTAGTATTAAATTACTAAGATACATCCAGGATATTAAAAAATAAGGATATCATTAAAATTTTAAAATATTTGAAAACTTTAGAATTTAAAAATACGCAAAATATATAAAGAATTTTAAAAACGAGAAGAGATATGTGCATAAGGAGGGAAACTGGGATTTAAAAGGCGTTAAGACACTAATTAATAAAATTAAGCTGAGTATTTCTAGATAAAAAATATTTTCAAACAGAAAATTTAAAAGCGCAAATAGACTATTTCTTGCAAATATCAAAAGGAATGCTGTTCCAGAGTTTGGCTCCACTGACTTGAAAGGAGCTACCCCCTTCTGTTTCTCTATTGTAGGAGGGAGAGACCGAGTTGTACCTTCCATAACGACTTGTTCTATTATAGCGGCCCGAGTTCTTAATGAATAGTTTCGTTACATAACTTGGACAGCTGTTTTCATCTTTAATACGCCTAAATATTAAATAAGACTTTTGGAGATTTAATTCGTCCTTAAAACGAAACAACACCTTCTGTCGGCCTATTTAACTTAAAGTGGTTCCCTTTTATGCTGAATTATATGTAAATCGATGCACTTTAACCTACAAAAGGCTGAACGGCAATACCCCTGAATATATAAATGACTTACATATCAGAAGCTCTGACACATAATAGATCAACCCGTTTCTTTAATTTTAACTTAAGTTACCCTCGATATAAGAGAAGTAAGGAAGGTGGTCGAACGTTTTCTGTGAGAGCAACAAAGGAGTGTAACAAACTAAGTGTGGACCTCAAACGGAGTACTAGTGTCAAAAAACTTTAAGCGTTCCCATCTTAAAATAATTTTAAATAATCAAATTCTTACGCAATTATTCATGTAAATTTTAATCTGTCTATAACCACATTTTATAATATTATTTTGCGATTTACAAAGGCTTATATACTATTTCAATTACTATTAATATTGTTGCAACTATTGCTATTAGTTTGTTTGTTTGTTTGTTTTTTGAGGGCCATTAGTTATCAGTTTTAGTACTGTCAAATGTTACCCTCATTGAATAAAGTCTTACCTACATACCTACCAAGGTAGTTTTTGTGTGATATAATTATTATTTTTCGCTCTTGTAGGAATTTACTTTTTTCTAACGTTATAGTAAAAACATTTGCTGAGGCATCGTGTTGTGTTTTCTTTTCGAATTGGCCCTTGCCTGTTCACTGACTATTGAGTGGAATGATCTGACTTGGAACGATCTGACCATGGAACGAAGTGACCGTAAACCGGAGATACACATAACCGGTGGACAAAATGCAAACTGAACAAATGAAATACTAATAAAACAGCTGTATCTTTACAAATGTCGAACAATCGTACATAAGCAAGTGTTTACCTAACTTAAATTAAGACAATTAACAGTGCGTAATTAACCCTTTCACTCCTAAGATCTCATTAAGTTCTTCTCCTTATTGTCTGTCTGCCATACAATGTTTAATTCAATGGATAACAATACAAAGCAAACCACAAATTAATTTTCAAAGAAATATTTATTCAAAATTGTTAGCAACATGTTCACAACCATTTTGCTGCACGCAGGTCTTAAACTTATGGGAGGTTTTTTATATTTTTAAAATTGTCTCGTTACCTTTTACCTTTTGGGAAAAACAGTAGAAAAATGAAATATCTCCTAGAAATGCTAGTGAAATATTATGAAACCTTTAAGAGGATATGACATGTATTAAATTCATTATGAATCTAAATTCACTATTAGCTTAAACGCCGTACTTTTCTTAAAAATTCATCTCTAATAAATCGTTTTGAGATTACTTGGGCATGAAAGTGATACTCGTTATGAAAATAAATTTTGCAATACTTTCTGTGGATTTAATCCCTATTCTATGAAAACATTTTTCCAAACTTCATAAACTTTGTTATCAAACTGATACTGCATATGACTTCATTAGCTTAACCTAAGTGACAATTTCCTTACCAGAATTTACTGTTTAGAAAATATCTCTTCTACCGTAAACTGCAATTTCAATCTTGTAATTGAAAGAGACTTTACACTATAGAAAACCAACTTTCCCGCTTATCCGGTTGTACTTCGGTGGTGTTGATTTGTTTTCCTTCCGGATCAAAGCCGATGATGCGCTGCTTGTCTTTGAGGAAGGACGTGAAGTAATACAGCTCACTTCCAGGTACTCTAGCCGTCTTGTAAAACAATATCTCAGGACTGTCTTCTTTAACTTCATCAAGGATTTTGTATTCGCTTGGAGGTTTAGGGGGTTCCTGTGGACAAGAGCAGTCAGACTCTGAGTCAGAGCAGCTGGGGAAATGGAAATTAACCCTTTATCTCCCAGCAATATCAATATGATCAATATGCAACTTCTCCCAATCATGTTCCTACATTATCCAGTAAACAGGTAATGAAAAGACTCAAACTTATCAGGTAGAAGTTTTCATCTTAATCTCACAGCAAATTCTCGTAGCTGATTTACAAGAAAATGTGTAGCAGCTAGATAGGAAAGTTAACAATCAGATCTTGAGAGTTAAAGGGGTTAGCTTTTACTCAGAAGGTCATCATCAGACTTTGACTGAGTTGTCAATGCGCATATCATATCACCTAGAACATTCCTTTTCAGTACAGTACTCTATCTGTAATATTCTAAAATAAATAATCATAATCTGTCACATGAATCCTAAATTCAAATAAAGCACAGTTGTTTGCACCCTCCCCACCCCTTCCCCCTGCCCTCTTCCTCAAAAATTCCTACATCTAAACACCTGGATGTGACTGAAGTATAATATTAGCATTCCAAAGTCATCAGGACCCCTTGTTAACTCTCAACTCCTAAGAGTGAGAAGCATCTAATTTCTCCTCACATTATCCCCCCCTGAATGAAAAAGTAAGGTCATATGAATAAAGAAATGATAACAATGTCAAGGTGCTCTTGATCATTAAACAAATTCTCCTTGTCAGCACCTTTGGAAATGTATAGAGAACAGTATGGAGAATATGCATACTGATGTTAGGGTGTAAAGGGCTAACACCCCTAGTTTTCATGTAGAGTCTCCACTCAACGGACAGTCTATGTCTTAAGATTATGCGTGGCTATCATTTAGCAATTACATTATGAGCACAAGATTTCTATCAAGTTATGGTTAATGATGGCACAGGAAATTCAGAATGGGACATATAGAAATATCTGTCCAGTTTTCCGCATTGAGTTTCTGGGTGAGTGAGTAAGATTCTTGCTCATTCAATAAGTCCATAAAAAAATGTCTAAGACAAGGACACTCTTGATTTTTGATTTTTGGTTTTGGATTTAGCCCTTACATGCAACTATTAACAGGAAATTTTCTGCCATCATACCTTAGCAATGACAGTGTCATCATCCTGGTTTATGGCTAGAACATAACCACTTTTATGCTCTAACATGACAACTTGACGAGGTCTTCTCTTGTCTTCGTAAAGCTCCAGGAGAGTGTGGGTCTTAAAATGACCTTTGAAAAGCATAGTGATAAACAAGACACTTGTTTAGTAAACCATATTAATATTTTACGGCCTCGGGCAGTATTTTCAAGACCTCGGTCACAGTTTTTCACCATACGGACCTCCCAGCCGGCAAATAACATATAAATATTGACTGGTCCAGACACGGCAAGAAACCTTCTTTTCTACTTATTTGTCATTTTGGAGAAGAGTAATGTTTCTTTTACTTGTGACCGTAGTGTGCGATTCAGGTGTGATATCGTAGTGAGAAATTACATGAAAGTCACCCCTTAGGCACAAAGGGTCAAAGATTGTGATGCTATTCCAAGGTGTCGACTATTTTGATTGTAGCGTAGGTTCCATTATTTCTGTAGTTTTGATTGTAAGAATATTTCTTGATAGACTTACTTTCTTGGTTCTCCTTGGTTGCATTTGATAAAACAGATCTGTCATTCACCCACATATAGTGACCACGAATCAGTCCTGTGTCGTTGCAATTTAAAAGCTGATGATTTGCAGTGCACCATTCTCTGTCGCTGTGGTTAAAGAGTCTCGCGTGTATTTGCTGTGGAGTAGATACGTCATTAATTGCATACATTTCCATTTGGCAAAGGTATTTCAAGAAAATAGCTTAGGGGAGACTGTAGATTTAACAGCTAAGAGTTTAAAGGGGTACTAAGATGAGAGGAGGGGAGGGGAGGGGGGGGGAGATTTGGAGTCAAAGGGTGTTTAAAAAGCTAAGTGACCCATCTGGATTGAGCTCATCCACTTCTCTTCCCCTCGATGGTATGCTAGTCTTTCGTAGATTTCCCCCCCCCCCCACCCCGCCCCTGTTCTGCCTCCTCAGTATGTGGTGGGATGGTCTCCCACAGCAAGAAGCACGCTGAGCAAATTTTGTCCATCAGATCATGCCATGAGGTACAGTGGTGCCGATCTACGACAACTATTAAAGACTGTTTTCGGATTTGAAATCCCATTTTAATTTGTGCAAGAGCGTAATTGTTCAAAACGAGCCTTTCAATTTCCACTCTATTAGAAGTATAAATGAAAAGCCAATAATTAACGAAAAACGTAGATTTTCACCGAAATTAAGTGGTTCAGTTGCTTGTGTTGGAAACGGGTTAAAGACTTACTCGATTTGACTCTATCATAAGCGCTGAGCCGATGTATTTGGCAAGTCTGATTGCAATGCCATTCAATTATGCTCGTGAATAAGTACACAACGATGCGCTTTAGAAGGTGAAGCGAAGGTTTCGTAGAATATTTGAAATCTAAATTGAATATTTAAACTTACATTTAAATTTTCCACACCCTCTTTGGTCTCCATGAGAACAATGAGTTCTTTTACAAATCCGTAGATGTTTTACAGTTGCGAAGCTAAGTGCAGGAGCTGTAGCGAAGAATGATCTCCGGCTCGCTAACTCGCTCACATTTAACCAGCTTAATCCGGACATACGTCATTGATTGGGAGTGGGACTTTTCACTTTCGTCCCTAACTTCCGATTCCGGCACGAAAGCCAGGCAAATTTTCCGACGCCAGGTGAAGTTTGAATCAGTGAAGACAGCTTTTTTTGTAGAGCACTTTAAGTCCGATGTACACAGTATTTTTTGGGTTTATCGCTCCTCAATTTATTTCTTTTGAAGCGTGACAATTAGTGACATTTCCCTCGAGTTGCGTGACACGTAAGTTTCTCTGGGGCATGTAAATCTTGGTTCGCAAATCAAAGATTTTTGTTTTGTACGGTTTTGCAAGGCGTGTACTGTTTCAACTTGACAGGGAAGCCTGTTCTGCAATAATTCCACCTCTTTCACTTCTTGTAATTTTCCCTGTTTTACTGCTACCCAAAATAGTCGGCTGAGTTTTGAAATATAGTAAATGTAACAGTATTGTTTAGGTTTCTGAATTTTCGGTTTCGATGTTTTTGTTAATGTACGGTTCGTGTTTCTAAACTAAGTGCCAAAGCTCATGTCTATATAAAAGACAACTTTTGGTTTCTTCCTTTTTTTTCTTGATTGTACCCACATCTTTGAAGACGATTATTTTAGGAGGGGCTAGCTAAAATTCTTGTGGCCAAGCATAGCTCAGCTTCTAAACTTTAAATACCAAGTATTTTAAGAAATTGCACGAGGAAAATTGTTGTTAAAGTTTTTCTTTTAGTTTGACGGCGGATCGAAAGTTATTCCACTCAGAATTTGTAAAAAATATGTGACGATGATCTTATGACGTACAGCTGATAAATTTTTAAATTACAAACTTGTGAAAGTCATTGAAATATCTACACAATTCGAACGGTGCATTTAATTTTCGAAACAAGTTGAAATGGGATTTCATATGCCGACCATCTGTTACTTAGGTATAGTTTGAATACAGAAATATTTCGATTTCAACAACTGTACATTTAATGCGTCACCTTTATGAACCTTGTTTATTTTCAGTAAGTTTCCAATAATTGCTTACGAACTTGATGTGACTTTCATTCTTTGTTCGATAATGATCATGCTTAAAAATAAAAAGCTGTTATCTTAATCACGTGGTTAGGCAGTCATATTTGGGCGAATGAAGGCTAATATTTCCCTTGACATGTTTCTAGACTCCACCTTCGAAGGACCATTTTTTTAAAAGAATCAAAATTTGCCGTAGATTGAGAAGTCCAACCAAGCGTAAGACGTTTCCTTCTAGTCATAGCTGGCGTTTAGACGTTTATTGGTTTTGCAGTAGTGCCAAGAACGCGTTTTATTCTTTGGAGGAAGGATGGAGAGAAAAAGAGTGGAAGCTATTTTTTCACTCCAAAACTACGTATGCCCTTACCAGAAACGGCATGTTAGGAGCGGACTCGAACGTAGTGCTTGAACTCGACAAGTAGCGCCGGAAACGGGCGTAAATCAGAAAATGTTTCTCTCGCGAACAATAATGTTTAATCTAAAACCACTTTACATCGAGTGCGCTAACAAATACGCAGACAACTTGGTACTTTGTTGAATATCCTCTGTTCTGTGTTGTGATCAAATGTCAATAACATAATAGTATTAACTTCTGCAATCACGGTGCGGCTTTAATTGCTGGACGTCGTTTCATTTCTTTAACTTTTTGAATAATATACTGACAAACGCAATATCCTTTGCTAAAATTTCGCATCAGGCTTTTAATTGAATTCTAACATCATCTTTGACTTACAGAAAACTAACATAAGCTCTCGCTAATATGTGAATAGTTCTCACATCGTTCTGCAATGCACACTGAAATTAACATACGGCGCTCTCACTGTTTTGTAAATAGTTGTGAAAATACTTTCGTCTATGTTCCGATCGCTACTCTGTACTCAGATCACATTTACACGTTTAGAAAATATATATTATATATGTGGAACGAACTTACAATTTTGTGGAACGATCTGACCACGGAACGAAATGACCGTAAACCGGAGATACACATAACGTGGACAAAATGTAAACTGAACAAATGAAATACTAATAAAACAGTTGTATCTTTACAAATGTCGCATAATCGTACATAAGCAAATGTTTACCTTATTTAAATTTTAAACAATTAACAGTGCGTAATTAACCCTTTCACTCCTAAGATCTCATTAAGTACTTCGCCTTTTTGTCTGTCTGCCACAGAATGTTTAATTCGATTGATGTCAATATAAAGCAAATTACAAATTGATTTCCAATGAAATATTTATTTAAAATTGATAGCAACATGTTCACAACCATTTTGCTGCATGCAGATCTTAAAGAAACTGAAAGGAGGTTTTTTCTATTTTTAAAATAGTCCCGATACCTTTAACAAAGGAAAATCAGTAGAAAAATGAAAAATTTCCTACAAATGCCAGTGAAATATTATGAAACTTTTAAGAGGATACGTACCAAATTCACTGAATCTTAATTCACTATTAGCCAAAAGACTGTCACTTTTCTTAAAAATTCATCTCTAATTAATCGTTTTGAGGTTACTTGGGCATCAAAGTGATATTCATTATGAAATAAATTTTGTAAAACTTTCTGTGGATTTAATCCCTATTTTATGAAAATATTTTTCCAACATGTATAAAATTACATTTTGATTGCAATTTCATCTTAAAACAGACAGTAAACAAATGTCTTATCATGCTAAACTTCATGAATTTTGTAGTCAAACTTACACTGCATGACATCATTAGCTTAACCTAAGTGAAACAATTTCCTTACCAGAATTTACTGTTTGGAAAATATCTCTTACTTCAACTGTAAACTGCAACTTTAGTTTTGCAGTTGCAAGAGACTTTAAAACACAGAAAACCAGCTTTCCAGCTGATCCGGTTGTACTTGGGAGGTGTTCATTGGATTTCCTTCCTGATCAAAGCCGAGGACGCGTTGCTTATCTTTAAGGTAGGACTTGAAGTAAAACAGCTCACTGTCTTCTTCCCTAGCCACCTTGTAAAATAACACCTCAGGACTGTCTCTTTTAACTTCATCAAGGGAGTTGCTTTGGCTTAGAGGTTTAGGAAGTTCCTGTGGACAAGAGCAGTCAGACTCTGAGTCAGAGCACGTTCGGAAATGACTGCTGTTGGTGACAGTGGCTGATGTTGTGACAGCCCCATTGGAGTTCATTGTTAACCCTTTAACTCCCAGAAGTTATCAGTATGCAACTTCTTCCTATCATGTCCATAATGTAACGAGAAGACTCAAACTTATTAGGTAGAAATTATTATCTTAATCGCACACCAAATTCTCATGACTGATTTACAAGAAAATGTGTAGCAGCTGGACAGGAGAGTTAACAATCAGATCTTGAGTGTTAAAGGGGTTAGCTTTTGCACAGAAGGTCATCATCAGACTCCGACTGAGTTGTCAATGTGCATGTCATCACCTAGAACATTCCTTTTCAGTTATTACTCTATCTGTAATATTAAAAAATAAATAATTTGTAATATTCAATATAATAATATGGCACATTAATCCTAAATTCAAATAGAGCACAGTTGTTTGCACTCTCCCCACTCCCTCCCCTGCCCTCTTCCTTAAAAATTCCTACATCTAAACACCTGCGTGTGACTGAAGTATAATATTAGCATATAATATGAGCATTCCAAAGTCACCAGGACCCCCTGTTAATTCTCAACTCCTAAGAGTGAGGTCGTAAGAATAAAGGAATAATAACAATGTCAAGATGCTCTTGATCATTAAACAAATTCTCCTTGTAAGCACCTTGGGAAATGTATAGAGAACAGTATGGAGAATATGCATACTGATGTTAGGATGTAAAGGGTTAATACCCCCTGGTTTTTAAGTAGAGTCTCCATTCAACGTACAGTCTATGTCTGAAGATTATCCTTGATTATCCATCGTGTTATGGTTGATGATGGCACAGCAAATTCAGAATGGGACATATAGAAATATCTGTTCAGTTTTCTGCGTTGAGTTTTTGGGTGAGTGAGTAAGATCCTTGCTCATTCAATAAGTCCATAAAAAAATGTCCAAGACAAGGACACACTTGGTTTTTTTCATTTTTTATTTAGCCCTGACATGCAACTATTAACAGGAAATTTTCTGCCATCATACCTTAGCAATGACAGTGTCATCTTCCTGGTTTATGGCCACAACACTACCACCTTTATGCTCTAAAATGACAACTTGATGAGACTTCTTGTTTTCGTCAAGCTCCACGACAGTGTGGATCTTAAAATGAGCTGTTGAAAAGCATAGTGATAAACAAGACACTTGTTTAGTAAACCATTCTAATATTATATTAACTGGTGCATACAGGGCAAGAAACTTTCCTTTCTACTTACTTGTCTTTTTGGACAAGAGTAATGTTTCTTTTTCTTGTGACCGTGGTGTGTGATTCAGGTGTGATATCGTAGTGAGAAATTAGATGAAAGTCACCCCTTAGGCTCAAAGGGTCAAAGATTGTGATGCTATTCCAAGGTGGCGACTATTTTGATTGTAGCGTAGGTTCCATTATTTCTGTTGTTTTGATTGTAAGAATATTTATTGATAGACTTACTTTTTTGGTTCTCACTGACTGCATTTGATAAAACAGATCTGCCATTCACCCACATGTAGTGACCTGGAGCTTGTCCGTCTTCGTTGCGAGAGTAAAGCTGATGATCTGTAGTGTGCCATTCTCTGTCACTGTGGTCAAAGATTTTCATATCCATCTGCTATGGGGTAAATACGTCATTTATTGCATACATTTCCTTTTGGCAAAGGTATTGCAGGAAAATAGCTTAGGGACAACTGTAGATTTAACAGATAAGAGTTTAGAGGGGTACTTAGGTGAGGGGAGGGGAGGGAGATTTGGAGTCAAAGGGTGTTTAAAAGCCAATTGACTGATCTGGGTTGAGCTCATCCCCTTCTCTTCCCTTAGGTGGTACGCTAGTCTTTCGTAGATTCCCCGCCCCTATTCTGCCTCCTCAGTATGTGGTGGGATGGTCTCCACAGCAAGAGGCGCGCTGAGCAAATTTTGTCCATCAGGTCATGCCATTTGGTACAGTGGTGCCGATATACGACAACTATAAAATTTATTTGTCTAAGAGCGTAATTGTCCAAAACGAGCCTTTCAATTTCCAATCTACAAGAGAAATAAATGTTTTAAAAGCCAATAATTTACGAAATATGTAGATTTTCACCGGAATTAAGTGGTTCAGTTGCTCGTGTTGGAAACGGGTTAAAGACATAATCGATTTGACTATATCATAAGCATCAAGCAAGTCTGATCGCAATGCAATTCAATCATGCTTGGAAATAAGCAGACAACGATGCGATCTCGAAGGTGAACGAAGGTTTCGTGGAATATTTGGAATCTAAATTGAATATTTGAACTTACATTTTCGTCTTTGGTCTCCATGAGAACACCGAGTTCTATTACAAATCTGTGGATGTTTTACAGTTGCGAAGCTAAGTGCGCGAGCTGTAGCGAAGAGTGATTCCTTACTCGTTAACTCGCTCACATTTAACTAGCTCGACCCAGAAATTACGTCATAGATTGGGAGTGAGACTTTCTACTTTCGTCCCTAACTTCCGACACTATACGAAAGCCAGGCAAATTTTCCGGCACTAGGTGAAGTTTGAATTGGTGAAGACAGCTTTTTTTACATAGAGCACTTTTTTGTGAAGGGCAGTTTAAGTCCGATATACACAGTATTTTTTTGGTTTATCGCTCCTCAAGTTAATTCCTTTGAAGCGTGACAACTAGTGGCATTTCCCTCGAGTTGCGTGACACGTAAGTTTCCCTGTGGCATGTAAAGCTTGGTTCGGAAGTCCAAGATTTTTGTTTTGTTTGGTTTTGCTAGGCGTGTACTGTTTCAACTTAACAGGGAAGATTGTTCTGCGATAATTACACCTCTCTCACTTGAGATTTTCCCTGTTTTACTGCTACCCAAAATAGTCGGCTGAGCTTTGAAATATAGTACATGTAACAATATTGTTCAGGTTTCTGAATCTTCGGTTTCGATGTTTTTGTTAATGCACGGTTCGTGTTTCTAAACTAAGTGCCAAAGCTCATGTCTATACAAAAGTCCATTTTTTTTTCCTCGATTGTACCCACATCTTTGAAGACAATTATTTTAGGTGATAATTCTTGTGGCCAATCATAGCTCAGCTTCTAAACTTTAAATGCTAAGTATTTTTAGAAATGGCACAAGGAAAATTGTTGTTAAATTTTTTTCTCCAGTTTGACGGCGCATCGAAAGTTATTTCATTTAGAATTTGTAGAACATATGTGACGATGTTCTTATGACGTACAGCTGATAAATTTTTTAAACTACAAACTTGTGAAAGTCATTTAAATATCTACACAATTCGAATGAAGCATTTAATTTTTGAAACAAGTTGAAATGGGATTTCACATGCCGACCGCTTGTTATTTGTTTAGTTTGAATACAAAAGGATTTCGATTTAAACAGTTGTACACTTAATTGCGTCAACTTTATGCACCTTTTTTATTTTCAGAAATATTACAACCAACACACTGTAGAAGTTTCCAGTATTTGCTTATGAACTTGATGTGACTTTCGTTTTTTGTTCGATAATGATCATGCTTTAAAATAAAAAGCTGTTATCTTATTCACGTGGTGAGGTAGTCATATTTGGCCGAATGAAGCCCATGACACGTTGTTTTGGTTTCCAAACTCCACCTTTGAGGGACCATTTTTTTTAACCAAGCTGTTTTCCGTTACATCAATGCAGTAACTTTAGTTTCCTAAAAATGTACCACATCTCCTCTCTTTTAATATTACTGTGCTGAACTTTCTCGGAAGTTACAGGATGATTTGGTTTGATTAACTGAGTTAACAACATAAATGGCTACCGTTAAGAGTTCCTTAATCTGATTTTCCGAGCGTTAGGCGAACGTTTCGTTCTGTCGAAGAGCTAAAGCTCGAAACTTCAGCTTTAGAAACTCTCTACGGTGGCCAATTTACATTTCCAACCCCGTTGATAAAACCAGATTATCCGTTATATCGCCCCGCAAGGACCCAGCACCACATTTTCACTAGAAACTTTCCCCCTTGATCTTCCCGGAGGTTAGGCTCTGTTACTTGCATCTGCATAATTCTCATTTGCAATTGTACTCTCTTCATACAGGAAGAAAGGCGGATTTTGGTGTTCCATTTTCTTTACGAGTCGCTCAGCAGTCTTTAGATGATTTACCAAGTTTCGTTTCCTTAACCTCGTTCTTCGTTCTCTTGGCATAAAACTGTCTTTTTTTTCCCTGCCCTAATTCAATAAAAGTAGATAAACCAGTATTAAGATTTGTGGAAGATTGAAACGTTTCCTTCTAGTCATAGCTGGCGTTTGGGCGTTTATTGGTTTTGTAGTTGTGCCAAGAACGCGTTTTATTCTTTGGGGGAAGGGTGGGTAGGAAAGGAGTTGAAGCCAAAGTTTGACTCCAACACTTCGTATGCCCTTATCAGAAATAAAAGCTAACCGTAATTAGCTGGTGAGCAATTGTTTGAGGAGAGTCTCCTTTAAGAAAACCTCTGATGTACTCTAATCACCCTGAAACGATTTAGAAAGATTTTGTAACTAATCTTAGTAAAAACAAACATCGGGTATCTCGTTTATTGATGCAGGATGCAGCGAGCGTAACATCATCATAAAGAAAAGACAGTAGTGAATAAACACAAAAGCAAAGTTAAAAGAGATGCCTTCGAGTGGCTGTTGCATATCTTACAAAATCTTAACTGAAAAGCCTGGTAGCCCCCTACGGATTCATCACACTTAAAAGCACGCCTAAAATGCTTGTACAGTTAAAATGAATCATACCTGATGAGCATACTTCAGTTTCATTTGCAAATCGTTACAAAATATATTTAAAATAACCCTAAGTTAACCACTAGCTCAAGTGCGGCGAGTAAGCTAGAACAGAAAAACTAAAGATAAAATCTAGAATAAGAGAGGGACAGATTAGTGTTTGGATTCCGGTCAGCCTCGAGCCCTTGAGTTAACTCAAATAGGGTCTAATTACGAAAACAGCTACCAGTTTCTTAGTCGATAATCTTATGCTCGCCATGTGCACCGACTGTTTGTACTAGTTGTCGGAATAGATTTCCAAAACTGTTTAACAGGGCAAACTTTCAATGCAATACACACGTCCGAATAGTCACAACAAACGGCAATACAAGATTAGGTGGTGCCAAGACGCATGAACTTCGACTACATAGACTTTCTTTCACAAAGCATCGAGTTTCTACATCCCATACAAAGATAGATAAACACTGTATGTGATCCCTTTCAAGCTGAAACAACGATGTTTGTTTATGAGAATGAAATACTGTATCGTAAGCTAGAGTCGTAGCTGTATTTAAGCAGTCGCTCACGAGGAATGACTTAATACAGGTTGACCGCTAATTTCAGGTTCCACAGAAAATGGGTTAAACGCGATTGAAGAAAACGCCATTTGGTTCTTATAGTCCTAAGAAGAAAGATAATCTACTTTGCGTTGAACTCAACGTGCTAACATCGATTTCGGGAGATAAACATGGAATGAAATTAACTTGATAGTAAATTCTCAGTTTTATTTGGTTGGTTCGCCTCTTAGTGACTGTTCCATACAGGTGAAGGACAATACAAACAGGCCGTTGAGATTCAAAACAAGGGTGATCACGACCGCGTTGTAGAGTTAGAAATTATATTTCTAAAAATAATTTCGGGACTGCCCTTAGCAAAGGAGGGCATTTATGAAGGTGAAATTTGCCTTGTGAGGAACGCGCTATCTGTCGCACGAATGCTCGTTTATTTCTGGTCAAAATGAGGAGTTTCTGTTCGACTTAATTTGCATGTAATAACAATTTGATTTAACAAGAGTTTGTTTCATTTGGCTCTCGTGGAAACCATGATCAGATTTTCACGTGTGTAAACATTCCTGATCATTGCCAACATATTTCTTTAAATTCGAGTTTGTTTATTTCTTTTTATGTGTGCAGGATTGTCTCGAATCACTTTTCATTAAATTATATTACCTATTAATGTTAATGTCAACCTATATCATGGCTTCATTTATAACTTTCCATTTGCAAATAAAGACCAATAAAGGCAAAATTTCGCTTTCTGGCAATGAAAGTGTGATACATGCAGTCAAATATATTTTTGGTTGAACTCTTTATGAAAGGACTTTTAAGAAAAACGTAACACCTTTTTTCTTCGAATTGCTGAAAGCCATGAGAACACAAGCAAAAAAGTGTTAGGTTAGAACTGAAACAAAAAGATATTATGAAAACAGTCTGTGCAACTGAATAAACCCGATGGCTCTCAATCTATAGTCGTAAAGCCGAAGTTTTCACTTCATTGTGCAAATTACAGAGAGAACTCTAATTTCGTTTTCAGGTAAAAGAGAAAAAAACCGTCGTTGATGCCTGAAATTTTATATCGTATAAGCCCAGTTACTCTTGAAATGTTTGAAAAATTGCGTTGATTTTTTAACTACTATCGGACTGCTTGAATATGAAAAAGGCAGTTTAGTTCTTGCACTTGTGTTTTTCGATAAACCATGAAATTATTTATTTCTCCGAAAGACCGTTTTGGCTTTTTGTCTGATTTTCTTTGTGGCATTCATCACTCCTAATTTATATTAGGGAGTTTTTTTGTCAACAAAAAATGCTTTTCCGCAGATATTTATTTCATGTTTAAATGTTAGCTGGACCTTTTTCTACCCTTTCTCTGTAGGATGGCGAAAGCGTTTCTTCTCGGACTTTGCGTCTTCTTTGCCGCGTTCGCCTTTGGCAGAGGCCTTAAAGGTGCTATGGAGCAAATTCTTGAAGCCAACATGAATCCAGGTAATAAACATTCGAGAGTTAAACGTCCTTTCCGGTGTGGTCTTTCTATTGCAGAAGGAAAGGGACGTCCACCGTGCTAAAAATGGTCTTCAAAATTCATCTTTCACCAGTCTCCTCTCCATCAGGTGAAATTTAAGTGAAACTCGCGCGTTTTTCATGATTTGCTTCTGCGTAGGAAGGATAAACGGCGCATGTGATGTCCATGCGATAACGTTCGCTGCGCGGGATTGGTTTTGTCCAAATTCTCGAGGGTACCTTGAAAACGGGTTTGATCTAAAAATAACACGACGGAGATTGGCTTGGGAAGAATTAACTCTATGTGAAGTCTTTCTCTTTGCCTGATCATCTCTTGTCAACATAAATTGGAGCGATTTCGTCAAATCTTCAGCCGTTTGATCGGGAGTCAAATCCCTCACTCCATTGAGAAATACTCGTTACTTACTGGCTTTAACCCTTAACTCCCAATATCTGATTGTTAATTCTCCCCTCTAGCTGCTTATGAATTATTCTGAGATGAGTGCCTTGCAGTTTTCCTATACAGGATCTTCTGGCAAAATGGCGGTCACCCACGCTGACTGCCATCGTGGTGTTCACATATCTGGAGATTGTGACCCAACGGATTGGACTAAAATCCACTTGTGACTCAAAAAATTTAGAAAATACATGTAACCCAAGTGTAAGCTTGTAAAGACATATTCGTTGCTTCATTTACAGACCCACATCACAGCCCTCCCGGCAAGCATTTGCCCTACTATCAAGGAGACATTCGTCTAACAAAGAAACAACAGGAAAATTTAAAGAAATATGGCGACCCGTCCAAAAGCTCGGCTGACTCTCGTGCAGCTAGCAGTGTGGACAGTGAACGCTGGCCTAATGCTATCATCCCCTACACATTTGACTGCTCGATAGGTAAGTTAATATGGCCCCTGGGAAATGACAAAACCTATTGAAATTGAGCTTATCGTCTGATGGGAGTTGAGGCTCAAATTTGAGGTTCATCATTTTATTTACAATACGTGTCAATCCTTGGTAACCCCTAGCCATCCTTAACCATCCTTGGCCAACCCTGGCCATCCTTGGTCATCCTTGTCTATTCTTGGCTATCCTCAACCATCTTTGGCCATCCTTGGTTATCCTTGGCCATCCTTAACCATCCTTGGCCATCCTCAGTCGTCCTTGGCTATCCTTGGCCATTCTTGCCTCCTTCTATCTCACCGAACTAATAATATTTTGTAGTCTTCTCCAAGTCTGGTAATTTTCACTTTGCAAAAGATGACTGAGATGTTCATGATGTAGCGCTTTACATCATCCTCAGAACAATTAAGTCAATGAACGCAAATTTTTTTCTCCCCCTTCTCTTTGTCTAAATTGTAGAAAGGCTGCACAACTGAGATGTTTCGAGAAAAACCTTACTTCTTACCTTACTGCCTATGGTATTTTAGCGTTGTTTACACGAGATTCTAGTCTACCCTTGCTGAGGTTTAAGCTTCTAAAGCTAGACTCAGAAGAGATTATGTTAAATCTCATCCTACTTAAATTCGAAAAATGTAGGTATCTGTTTCATCGCATGCTTCTCCATGATCAACAGGAGATAAGTCTTTGCTTTGAGATAGGGTTATTTATATTTTATTCACCATGTTTCTTGCAGGAAACATGGAAAGTGCTGTTCGCTCTGTGAAAAATGCCATAAAGCAGTGGGAACGTAAAACTTGCTTGCGGTTTGTGCCCAGGACGAATGAAAAGGCTTACTTGGAATTCTTTAAGGACCAGGGGTAAGATATAGGAAATTTTGCTTCCTTAACTGACTGCAGCCGAGAATTGATGACACTCGAGTCAAATGCGGAAAAATGTTTATGATTACAAGGATCAAATTATCTAGTTGTATCATAGTTCATGACAAAAACCATCCAAATGCTTGTCCTTGTTCATGCTATTTGACATCTTGCAAGTTGCGTTATTGAAAGTCGTATTCTTTGGACGCTTTCCTGCCTCTGACAAAGGTGGTATGAACCTGAGTAATGGTTTGCCTTCAAATTGGAAAACACTATCCTGGAAATGAAAAACCTTTCCCTACTACAGGGACAAGCACGACTAAAAGAGAAAAAAGTCAAGAAAGATTGAAAACTATATATTCAAAAAATACTCCAGTTTTCACACTCTGTCTGGAGACAGTGGATTGGGAACCACGCCGTGCACGAGCCAATGTTATAATTTGTTTGAAATGCTACTCAGTTTTATTTACATTTAATCTTAAGCCACCTCAATTAGCTTCTATCATCTCAACTTTATTATGTAGCTGTTGGGGTCACGTGGGCCACCATGGTTACAAGACTCAGATCTCTATCGGTAGCGACTGTGATTTCACTCACGTGATGGTGCACGAGATCGGACATTCAGTTGGGTTCTGGCACGAGCAGAGCAGACCGGACCGAGACAGTTACATTCAGGTTATATGGGCGAACGTCCTGGATGGTGAGAATATTCCACAGTTGATAAGCGCCAACGATAGGATTTTCGATAGTCCTAAGTATATGGGCCACATGAGGGCAAACCAAGGTGCCATGAATAGCGACACGTAAACTTTCAACCTCGTCGCAAGACGAAGACTAGCGATATAGCAATTGAAACGTTGCGATCAATACAATTGATATCGAATTGATAGCTTGACTCTTCATCGTGAGAAATACGATTAAACATTCGTTTGTCTGTAAAACCACGAGGAACAATAACATTTTCTTTAACATGGGAGGTTGTGTTTTTAGAGAATAAAGGGTGAAAGATAATTGTTTTTTGTTCGTGCAAATTGATCAGTTAGAAGTATATTGTTTACAAGAATAAGAGTTTTACCAAGGACTTAAGTTGCGCGATGAACGCTCTATCAGGTATGAATAAACCAATTTTCAATCGAGTGTCGAAAGTATTCCGATATTGGATTGGTTTTCTCTGCCTCACACTAGGCATAGAGATCATATACCACGGCCGTATGTTTCCTCTGAAGACTGAAATCAATAGTTACCTGGTTACTTGTGTTTTCCGACTCTTCAAGCAGTTTGGTTACATAGCAGTTTATCGATGCTTGTGTTGTAATCATTTGTGTACTCCACAATGTGCTATGTAACCTTATTCAACTCTTCTGTTTTCTACCATTCACTTGTTTTTCTTCTTCAGGTCTCGAAGACGCTTTCGCCAAAAGGAAATGGGGAACTGAAGTTGTTGATTATGGCGTGCCGTATGATTTCGAGTCCATCATGCACTACCCGTTTACGGCTTTCTCCAAAAATGGCAAACCCACCATCCGTAACGTAGTGCCAATGAATGGAAAGGTCCCGTACGTGGAGCTGAGTGACGGCGACGCGCAACAAACCAATGCAATGTACAAATGTAACGGTAAGCCATTGAAAGGGGCTATTTCAACAAATTTTTTTTCATAATTTTTTTCCCTAAAAACGATTCAACGCCCTTGGCTCAGCATCGGTGGGAAAATTTCACCATTTGTAATTTGCCATAATTTTTTCCATCGCAAAACCAGCTTATTTTCTTTTTGATTTATAACGACCTTGTTTGATGGTTCTCTACAAAAAATAGAGAATACTTTAAGGTTTTCTTTGGTTCAGAAATAATTATACACAACCCAATTTGACTCTGTCACTCGTAAATATTTAAGTCCTGTGGTTGTTTAGAAATCACACGTATTTTTATTTTACTCAACAGTGAAAATATTTTTCTCATCCTTTTTGCAGTTGTTATGAGAAAAAGAGCCATTGATGACTTCAGTTCGTTCAGACCAGCTCCACGCCTCCAGAAACGTAGTAAGTAGTGTTTGCTGCGATTGGCTGGTCTTTCCTAAAAAGGAAATTTTTTTTAATTCCCTTTCGGCACAATCAATTTGTTGTTAGTATTGTCGGAATCCACGATACATCTTTCCATTATTTCTCTTATTCGGATTAAGACGATGACAGCTTGGGAAAAACTCAGATTTAATCAAGTTACCACCTTGGAGAAAGTAATCCAGAATAAAATCGGTTTTACTACGTTACGTTGTGTGATTGGTCAAAAAAAAACTCTCGCTGCCCTCTTAACCAATCAGATGCAAAACTAGAGCAAATCGTGAAGTTTTCATGTTTTACCCTGGTTTCTCGTTGGCTGCTTGTTATACCTTCACTTTCTTGATTGAATGTTTTGAATACCTCGGTTAAGTTTTGTAGCTCTCGAGTGAAAAGAGTTTTTTTTTGATGTTATGACTTTCAAGGGTCACTTCACTTTCATGATTTTACAATCGAACACCATTTCAAGGTTTTGTTCAGATTGACTTTTTCCAGGTTCACAGTCTTCTTAGTTGTACATTTGTTTTGTGAACACAGAGGAAGTGCTGCAACTGTTACTAGCCTCCCTTGTGTAACTTTGTTCACCAGGCTCTAATTTGTGTAAGGACGACGCGGACACATCAAGTTGTCAATCATGGAAGAGTGCGGGGTACTGTCAGAACCAACCTGACGCCATGCACACGTGGTGTAAAGTCACGTGCAATCTCTGTAGCAGCGGTGAGTAGTAAGAGATTTTATTTGACTTCAAGGCAGCCATATATTTCGACCAATATAAAACGGCGGCCATTTTGTTGTGTCAAAATTATATAATGGCGGCCATTTTGTTGTACCAAGTCAGTCCAATGGATTTTGAACTTTTTTTCATTTCCTTTTCTCTCTCTTTATATTTTTTTATTTTTTTTTTCATGCTGCATGTGTTAGATTCCTGTATCGATAGAAACGGTAATTGTCCAGCATGGAAGCAAAGTGGAGCTTGCCAGACCGATCCAGACATCATGAAAGACTGGTGCCTTCACTCATGCGATCTTTGCAACGGTGAGAAACATTTATTCTTTGGCACTGTCACTTCATCTCTAGTATTCTCAGTCAAGTCCACAGGCACTCTTTCGTGTCAGGTTTCCATTGGAAGCGGAAGTCTAGGTGGTGACGATTAAGAGAGGTTTTCAGCGACGTAACGGATCCACCGGTCTAGTCCAGTTTGACTAAGCCAGAACACCTTGGGACTGGACTGTGTTGTTTGGTTTTCTAAGTTACCTTTTGATAACATCAAACTTAACGGATTATCTTTTTTTCTTATAGTCCCACCGACCCAGGCTCCCACTCCACCCACCCCTCCTCCTCAAACGCCTCAGCCAACACCACCCACCCAGCCTCCACAGCCTCCAACAGGCACAGGCAGCCCAACTGTACCACCCACTTCCAGTCCATCAGCAAATGCAACAGGTAGGAAGGTATCATTCTTAGCTACATACTTAAAAATAGGCTTTTGGATCGCGGAACAACTGCGTAGCTGTTCTGTCAGCCAATCAGGATCAAGACCAAAACCAGTCATTTCTGCAGTCAAATAATCGTCTGATTGTCGCCGACTTATTTTTTTCCCTACATTTATGAGCGTTGAGCTCTGGCTGTAGCTTAAGCACCAGGCAAAAATTATACGTTTTCCAGCTCTCGGTTCTAAATTCGTCTCGTACTCAGAAAATTTTTAATTCCCTCCCTTTGTACGTGATTTCCCACCAGCAATAATTCATGTTTCAACTAAATTACTTCCTGAAACTAGACAAATTTTTTTCCGCGCGAGGCGGACTCTGTCCACGGTCTGTAATGTTTTGCAGTTGTATCGTTGCTGCGCCCCAAGTCTCCCTCGCTCTTCGCCCCTGAGCTCCCATGCCGTGACGCTAGATACAATCTTCCCGTGCATGTCACAAATAACATGTTACGAGTCTCTTTTTTACTCACTTATGGCTCACTGCGCCTGCTCTCATTGTTTACCTTAGGTCTTCGTTGTGTGGACAAATCAAGCAATTGCCCAAGTTACTCATTATCACAATGCGAGCATTCAGGGTGGATACTTAGGAATTGTCGTAAGACTTGCAAAGCGAAATGTGACGCTGGACCTCTCAGACCTGAAGGTTTGTACGGCAACTAATTTTTATTACCTGAAAAAAAAAAGTAAAAATGGTAGAACCACCTAACATTAGTTACACTCTCGGTTGCGCCTCCTGGACCACTGTTTTGTTCTTAACATATTTTTACGTAAATAAAATATATTAAAGTTCACACGCGCCTGCTCTCATTGTTTACCTTTAATGGTCTTCGTTGTGTGGACAAATCAAGCAATTGCCCAAGTTACTCATTATCACAATGCGAACATTCAGGGTGGATACTTAGGAATTGTCGTAAGACTTGCAAAGCGAAATGTGACGCTGGACCTCTCAGATCACAGTCATTGAAGGATTGTACGGCAACTAATTTTTATTACCTGAAAAAAAAAATCGGAGCATACTTGTAAAAATGGTAGAACCACCTAACATTAGTTACACTCTCGGTTGCGCCTCCTGGACCACTGTTTTGTTCTTAACATGTTTTTACGTCATCTGTGATTTATTACTGAACAGACGCATGCGCAACGAGGAATCTATTTCTTAAATAGTTAATAGATGGGAAGTTATGAGGGCTTACTGAGAGGATCACAACCTCAGTAGAGTAGCAATAGAGGGGCTTGATAAGGCTTTTTAGCCACTAAATGAAAACAGCGCTGTAGCTAATTACTTCATGTTTACGCCAAACTTGAATGCATGTTCTATAATTCCAAGATAGACAAATGTAAAGAAGAAAGATGTGTAAATGTGTAAACATGTGAGCGTGTATTCAAGTTTGGCGTAAACATGTAGTATTTTGCTACATTTCATTCAAAACTTGTGGCGTGACCAGGTCCGATAGCAAAAACTCTCAAACAAAAGTACCACGGCGCTAGCAAAAACCAACGGAAGGACTGCCCTAGTTGAGGTCAACTGGCAAATGAAAATTATCCAGCAAAAACAACGCTTATACTGGCTACCAACGTTACGTAAACGTTACGTAAACCTTACGTAACTTCACGCAAAAACGCAAACTTAATGAATGGAAAGAAAAGCAATATAAATTCATTTCGCAGTTCTTGACGAGAAACAAATGTAAATTCTAGTGGCTACAAGTGCAAACTGTAGGGGTTGTATTTAATGCAAAGCCTGTTATGCCTAAGAGGAGTGAAGTTATAACAATAATAATATTTTATATCCCAGGTTCCTGCGCTGAACCACTCGGTCTCGGTTGGGATAACAAACTCCCTGACAGTGCATTTACTGCCTCAACCGAGTTAAGTCCAGGTGAGAGGAGAGAAATTCATGATTAGTTGATGAGCTGTGCAGCCGAGGGGAAAGTCTCGAATTTTTAGTTTGTGGAAAAGCTCGGAAAAAGGTTCCCGACTTGCATTCCGAAGATAGATGAGGAAGTTGCTAGTTTTTTTTTTTTTATAGTAATTGAATTTTTGTTAGAAACTCACCAGACGAAGGAGAAGTGGTGGCTTTATAATTAGTGCGCTGGAGTCTGGGTCGAGAGTTGTGGGTCCGAGACGTAGCCGGGTCAATGTGTTGTGTTCTCGGGCGAGTGCCTTTCTTCACCCAGGGCCTAGCTGTAGAAAGGTCGGATAATTCTGTACCGCTGATGAATTGCTATCCGACAGATAGCAAAACAGCAAAGCACTTAAAGCACTATCCACCGCATAGTCTTATTCAATTAGTGGATCGCACCATCCAACCTTCAATCAACCGGGGCCAGGAGTATAAATAAGTACCGGTGAATTATGAGGGAGCCTGATGCTGGGGGTGATAGACTGGCATTCCATCCCGGCGGGGGTGGAGGGGAGGGAGTATTAATACTCCAGGTCTCCTCATGCTATGGAAACCGGGATAAGCTCCGGCTGAATCGGCCATTTTGCTCGAGAACAGGCTCTATCTCTTTTTAACTTACTATTTATGACTTTCGCGGTTACGTCATTCCTTGTATTGAATACTTACGCTGAGATTTTCGTAAACTTCACTGATCATTTTTTTATGATCTAGAAATGGAATTTAAAGTAAAACTCGGGGTTCATTATAGTTATTGAGGAGGACAGCGGCTTTTTTGCCTTAATTTCTTGTCAGCTTTTTTATGCGATAATTTTGCATCGCATTTATATGATCATTTTTTAGTAAGTATATACCAAGTTCTTGTCAGTTATATTTAAAAATAAGCTAGGAAGCGGTCCACGTGTTTTTTAAGGAAGGAAAGTTTGCGCCAATTGAAAAAAGACGATTTAACTCTTTGGTGCGTTCCGGCTAGAAATAAAACTTTGCCCTTTTTTTTTAGGAGCATGCGATAACCATCAATAAGAAACATCAGCAGAGACGCTTTTGAGACGCGAACGACAGCATAAAGATCCTTGTCGTTAGCTTTTAGTTCAAAACCAATGATTTCCCATTTGCTTTTTTTTTTCTTGTTTTTGTTGTCAAAGCACTTCACAAGTAGTTTACTTTACTTTCCCTCGTCGTCCGTGTGCGCCTACATTACCAGCAGACACTATAAGCGCAGCTCTGCTAGAACTCGCGATTTAAAAGTACAGAATGTGGTTGAGCACCGTCTGTTGTTTCTCTTTACGTTATTCTTTGCCCAGGTGGCGGCTGGTGGGCGTTGGCAAGCAACGCTCGTCTTTATTTTGAAGATGATTACGACAACAAACGAATCGGTAGCTGGTGCGCAGTGGATCGGAACCCACAGTGGCTGAGAATCGATCTAGGACAAATGAAGACCATTACTGGAATCGCTACACAAGGTGAGAAGGAATGAGAGGATGATTAGCATATGAATTCTCTTCTGTGATCACCATATATTTGTCTTAAATTTAGATGTGAGAAACAAGTATTTCATCAGTCGGTGATTTTCTTTCTTCGCATAGCTATGGTCTTCGTGTGTCTAAGTTAAGGGCACAAAGCTTTCAGTTTTTTTGTTTTGGTTTTTTTTTTTTACGATTTTTAACGAATAACACATATTTGACGAAAATGAAACTCCAAATTAAGATTCAACTGAACTTAGAAATTTTGTTTTTTAGGACGTGATGTGTTTGTTGAGCACGTAAAGAAGTACGAACTTGCTTTCAGCACTGATGGAACGAACTTTCAGAATTACCAAGAGAATGGGAGATCGAAGGTGAGGAGCTTACAGTTCTAAGATCGAAAGAGATGTATCAGTAATACAAGGTAATTTAGTTTTATCAACTGAGTTGAAAACGTAAATTGCCCGCAGTAAAGAGTTACAAAGCTGACGTTTCGAGCGTTAGCCTTTCGTCAGAGGGGCAAACAGTATTTGTTTAAATCTACTAGTGGTTTATCGCAAGTCTTGCAATGTGATTGCGGTTGTAAAATACAAGAGCCTATTAAGCCTTGTCACTTTACTCACCGTCCATCAAGGATTAGATAGCGAGTAGCGTAGCCAATCAGATCGCAGAATTTGTTGTAGAGTGCTCGTTGGTATCACGTGATGGAAATCAAAAGTAACTCGTGGAATTGTGAAATAGTACTCATAATTGTATTTACCGTTAAAAATGTTGGAAATGGTCAATCACTTTCAAGAGTTAGTGCATGGCTAATAAGAAACGCTCAACACTGATGCCTCTTGCTACCCGAGTTCGAGGTCCATTTTGTATGTTATGGACCAAGTTATTTTCCGGCCGATTGGATTTATGGCCCCAGTGCGAAGTTCGTAAGCCATAAATCGGGGCTGGAGAAAACGAGGTTCGTAAGATATTTAGCACATCTTTGGGTTCAAATAGATGAGAAGGGTTTCAATTCAAACAATCTTTTGAATTTAGCGGGCGGCGCAGTGAAATACGGCCCACTAAATTGACCAATAATAGCACTCGTATTAAATAAGAGACATAATAAAGTTTATTACATCACGAAATGCAATACGTTTTACTTATCCTGATTTGGCTTTATTTGATCTCATTTATTTACACACAAGTAAGTTATTTCTCATCACTTGTTCCTCGATCTTCAAGTACCTGTGAGTCATTTTGCTTTGCTTTCTTTCAAGGTGTTTGATGGTAATTGTGACAACTTCACTCCAGTTCTAAACAGGTTTAGCCCTGTTAAAGCTCGTTATGTCAAGGTCCTTCCTCACGACAGCCCCTCAACCTGGGTCTGCATGAGGGTAGAACTGTACGGCTGTGAGGCTTGAGGTAAGGCAACAGTCATTATGTATAAAGGGGGTACGTTCCTAAAGAAACTGTGATGCTGCGTCGGTGGGGGAGTGTAACAGGATAATCTTGGTTTCATCAACTTGGTTGATAAAGTAAATTAGTCACCGTAAAGAGTTTCAAAGCTGACGTTTCGAGCGTTAGCTCTTCGTCAGAGCGATCGACAGTCATTATTTATTGCCTTGGGGTCGGGGGTGTTCGGAGGATTTTGGGGGATCACATGGATTTCAGGGGGAAACGGAGGGGGGGGGGGTCAGTCGTCACCAACAGAGTCTAAAGGGGACTATAGACGATTCACTGCCAATTAGGAGGGAAGGATCTTAAGAATATGGCAAAGCCTTATGGGGGATCAGGGCAATGTTTTCAAGTCCAGTACTCGGTTTGAAAAAGAGGTCAAAGGTAATTCGGAAATGGACAATTTTGTACTTGAACTTAGGGAAACATATTTGAGGCAAAGAATCACGTTTTTCGATGAAATGTAAGTTTCTTGTTTTGACTCGCAAAAAATTAAGGAAAATTTGCATAACATAGGGTAAAGAACAAGTTAAAATATATTTCATGATTAACTTAAATACTAACAATCCACAAACAAAATTATAAATATTGAACTCGGTTTTTGATTCCAGACGTTTACTATTTTCAGCAGCCAACAAGTAAAGAACATCTACTGCTGCAGACACTTCTGGTTTAAATATGGTGTTTACCTTGTGTTCAAAGGCGATAAAATAAAGCAAGATCTAAAGTGAACATGTCAGTTTGATGTTAATGAAGTGTTTTGAAAAATTCTTTTAAGAGCTTTTTAAAACACTTCATTGTGATGAAGAACAAGATCAACACTTTATTTGCTGAGGCTCAATCAGCCGTTACTCGTTTAAGAGCTTTTTAAAACACTTCATTGTGATGAAGAACAAGATCAACACTTTATTTGCTGAAGCTCAATCAGCCGTTACTCGTTTAAGAGCTTTTTAAAACACTTCATTGTGATGAAGAACAAGATCAACACTTTATTTGCTGAGGCTCAATCAGCCGTTACTCGTTTAAGAGCTTTTTAAAACACTTCATTGTGATGAAGAACAAGATCAACACTTTATTTGCTGAGGCTCAATCAGCCGTTACTCGTAGTATCTACTAACTGTTGACGTTGCTTTGCCTTAAATTTAAAATTTACGGAAGGCAAAATGACCAACAGTTTGATTTACAGATATCCTCATCGGTGTTTCCTTGTTCCGTCTGACTACCTTTGTGAAGCACAATTATGTCTAAAAGTGATAGAGTTAGTAGATACAAGAAAGAATTTTTTGCAGAAAATTGAGTTCTGTCACCGCGTTTTCCTGTAACAATCCCCGTTCTGATCCCATGGGATTGTACTTTACTCACCAGGGTAATGTTTATTCAGCTTCAGCATCGCCCAACAGTAACAACATTGGCATTATTGGTAGTTCGTATTAAATCAACCTCCCTCCAATTTGGCTAAATTTTGTCCTCTTTGGCGTCTACCTGTCTATATTTTACTTTCATCAACTGCCATTTGCCATGGTTTTGATATCAGAAAAACGCAATCCTACCGATCCCTTTAGCCTTTCCAATGCATTAATTGGAAGGCCACATCAGTTACAGAAGCCGTGTTTTTACGGCGCTCTCACCCCGAGCAATCTTCATGTTGTCGTTCATTCATAAAACAAACGCCTTGAGCAGTTTTTTTAATAACTGTCATGCGAAAAAACTTGCGTGTTTATATGAGCCACAATTCGGCCGAATTTCACTGAACATTTCACCTTCTGATTCTTCATAAAGACTAAAAAACTTCAGGGAGAAGTGTTGAATTCAACCTGCCGAACTATTTCAGTTTATGGACTATTACATATTATAAACTTGGTTGGACACTTTTGAAAGCTTTTAATTAAGAGAATAATCTGATTGATTAAAAAAGACCAGTGATCCTATTCCACCGATCAGATTATACTCTCAGTTGCACTCAAGAAGTAGGGAAAGACACTCGACTACGTCTCGTGTTTCCCTCTTCTCTTCTTTCGTGCTCTGGCTGCTTCCTATGTGCTTTAGTACAAACAGGTGATGAGAATATTCAAACTTATCAGATAGAGGTTGTTATCGTGATCTGACACCAAACACTTGTAACTTATTTACAAGGAAATGTGTAGCAGCTAGAGGGGAGAATTAACAGTCAGATCTTGGAGTTAAATGGTTAACTTTACAAAGTCACGCAATCGCATAACGCGGTTGTTTTTGTAATTTTTTTCTTTTGGGAGCGAGGCCTAAAAAGAGCTGGATGTCACATGGCACTCGTCTATTTCAGCACCTGGCACGTGTCACCCTTTCTAGTAGAAGAAAGCAATGTATATGTAGTTACTGCTAAGTTATCGAATGGAAATAATGTATTTAATGCGAGGTCCTCAGTGTAAAATATTCTTTGACAATCACAATCCTATAGTATTTGCCTTTACTACATTATTACGAGTATGCATAAATGCCACTAACATACAAAATTGAAAATCTCGAAGCTAATTAGTTCAGTTGTATTCGATAAAGTTTCCTCGAGGAGAAGAGTAAACTTACAAATTTCAGTCTCCGATTATTGCACTTAAGGAAAGAGACAGTTCGGACCATTAGAAGTAGAATAGAAACTGGAAAGTTAATAAGTGTCTGTTGAAACAGCTACTTTAATATGAAAATCTTTTTAGGGGTAGTCACGAGAATACGTCCATCTGATGTTGCTGCTATTCCACGAGGACTAGGTAAATGAGTGATACTTTTTCCAGTGAAGCGACCGTCCAGAGAAAACTGCTGAACTCGATGATTGAGCTGATCACACACCAAAAGGCAATGGGATCTGTTTATAAGCAAACCATACGGGCTGTCAAATTGTCCATCTTGATTGCCCCGTTTGCCAAATCTGTGTAAGAATGTTCCCGACTTGTCGAAAGCCTTAATGCAATGATTTCCGCTATCGGATATGAAAAACTTGTCTTTGTAAGGGAAGCAGCTCTTTGAGTTGTTTAATTTTTCTGGGTCGATGTTTCCAAAGATGGAAATGGTCTCTCCTTCAGGTGACATCACCTGTATCCTACTCTTCCAAAACTCGGTTACAACAATGCGACGTTCTTCATCCAAACAAACATCAGAAGGGAAATGAAACTCTCCTTTTCCTACTGCTCTTCCTAAAGTGTTCACAACAGTTCCCGTTTGGATATTAATTTGTTTTATTATGCCGTTACCTGTGTCTGTAATCAAAATTTCGTCATCGTTCAAATATGTCACGCCAAATGGGTTTCTAAATTGCCCTTTAACTCCAATGTTTCTCAGACATTTACCATTTTTATCGAATATGTAAACGGAGTTTGTACCACAATCAGTTACGGCAATATTCCCTATCGTATTTACCGCGATTCCAAATAGATCGTTGACCCCTTCTCCTTTTAATAAATTCAGATCCAACTCACCGACCACAATAAGTTCACGCTCCTTCACCGCCACAGTGAACGGAGAGTTGGCGAGTGTATCTCCATTAATCTTCACTTCAATGCTGTAAGCACCGGGTACTTTGGGTATAAATTTCACTTCGAATCTACCGCTTTCTGTGTTGCAAACAGAGACTTGTATGACATCTTTGTCTGGTTGTATGAGAACTTCAATTTGCAGTATGAGATCAGGCTGGTTACTTATTTCTCCATCAGGTGTATTGGGGGACAAAATGAACTTTGCTTCTAAACCAGCCTGAAAAGTTTGATCCAGTCCCTCTAGAGTGGACCAACTTGCGTCTGCTATGTCTTCGGTGCCGATGTCGCCCAAGTCGAAGCCCATAACAGGAGTGGGGTAAAACTTGATGAACGAGGTTTGATGGTGTTGTGCAGCTTGGATTTCTCGAAGTTCTTCAAATCTCTGTTCCAAATTTGGCTTGTTTTGCATGACGTCCCAGCTCGAGCTTTTCTGTATCAAGTTTTCTGCAAAGTCGGCGACGTTATTGTTTTGTTTCATGAGAGATTCTACTGCCTGTCGAGCCGAATGGATTCTTTGGAGTCTCGTCACGTACGTTGTCTCGATTGATTCAATGGCTCGTCGCTCGCGCTTTCGAATCTCTGCAATCTTCTGCTCGGCTGCGCGCGAAACTTCGCGTTTGGCGAGTTGGGCATTGTCTCGCAGCTCAAAAGCTGTGTGATTAAACTGTCGAATCGTTTCTTTTAAATCGTTTTCCCTTGTTCGGCTCATAACAGCTTCCGCCATGATATCCCCTTTCTCGTTGTCCGCTGCTTCATCAAGCAAAATAACCTCATGGCTTTTATGAGCCGTGACGATGCAAAGATGGCAGAGACAACATTGACACCGAAGGCAGTAAAATCTCGTGATTTCTCGCTCGTGGTACTTCTTGGTGCAAAAGGGCTGTCGCTTTAACAAAGCTTCGTAATCTTGATCTTGGAAGTCTTTAACAGGCATCGCTTTGTGTCCCTCGAATGCATCGCGCATAATTTCATGTGCGTACAGACATTCGGAACACATGAATCGAGCACAATCAAAGCAGTAATGGACATTGGAGCCAGTCCTCTTACAGTTGCCACAAGGGATGTTTGTTCCATCGCCACTTTGTCGAACGGCATGGATAATCAACAAACTGTTGTGAAAAAAGCTGGTTGGCAACGCTTCGAAGCGATTTCCTTCTGGTAAGTGGATTTCTGCCTGACACTCGGGGCATCGGAATTTTCCATGTCTTTGGCTCACTCTTGCGTGTTTTTCCAAACACTCACAGCAAAACGTGTGAAAACACGATATAATTTTCGGTTCTTCGAAGGTCTCGAGACAAATTGAGCAAGTAACTTGTTTGGTGAGGTTTCTTAGGAAGGACTCCAT